TTCTAGAAACTTTCATAGTGTATGTCAGTTTGAGGGATTCTAATTCTATTTCTTCGTGTCTGAATAGTTTATATAATTCCTAGCTCCGTCCCATGATGGTTGATTATTACTGTACATATACCATATTGTACCCATTTATTTCTGTTGAGTAATTCCCTGTAACATTAGTACGCGTTGTCTTTTTAGCCATCATCAGGGTAACCTCAAAACTGAAACCCAACCGGAATGATTGGGTACAGTAATATTCATGATATCATCCAATGCATGATATCGGCTATCTATGGAACATTCCTTGGGTACTTGAGCCAGCCATGAACTAAACATAATTCAGGTACAACTATTTCGGGCAAGATTCATTCAAGTTATGTTCTCAAATTGTTCTGAAAGAACATGCAAACATGATTAAACAATTCAATACATTAATTCTGCTTTGCAATCTCTTCAACATTCATATCATCATATAAATCATATAAATCATATAAATCATATATTAATAACATATATATATGACCATGTTACATTTCCACATCTTTCCACATGTTTCGCCCATTCATTCCTCCACCCAGTGGCCACTTCGCTGACTTCGCTGGACTCCGACGCCTCCGCCTCCGGCTCCGTCTCGGAGCCGGGACGGGTGGCCACCTCCACCGCTGGGAAGACGACCTCGGTGGCCCTTTGAAATCCCGGAACTCAGTGGGTAACTGATGGGTTATTATATGGGTGTAGTATGATATAGTATTGTTTTATGTATTTCAATGGGATATGTGGGATCATGAAGTCTTTCTATATATATATATAGAATGTTTATTTTTATTGTTGTTGTTATTTTTACTATTATCATTATATATGGGATATAGTGACGGACATGTACTTAGAACATCAATTTTCCAAAATTTCGAAACCTCCTCTTAGAACATCAAAATTACCATACTTAGAACATCAGAAATGTTTCTAAGTACGCACTTAGAACATCAGAAAAACAGATACTTAGAACATCTCCATTGATTTTTGCATACTTAGAACATTAAAACACACATATACTTAGAACATGTCCTGTTACTTTGGTAAATCTGCATATATACATACAAATACCTTGGTGAACACCATACTTAGAACACTTTCTCCCCTCACTGCTGCAGCATTCTATACCTTTTCTTCGGGAACAATATCCCAAGCAGTCTTCGCTGCAATGGGAAGGTCTCTAGTAATTTGTGGGTTTCCTACAGGGCGTAGTCAAAAAGCATAGGTTTCAATACTAAAATGAGCTAGAATGAATTAATGTATTATGTATAATTTTGAATGTTTTGGAGATGCTTCATGTATACAATGGACAACTGTGCCGTGGAAACCCACATTGCGAACTGTGCTGTGGAAATGTGTGGAACTATATGTGTACCAGTGTACCACTGCCGCTGTTCACACACACACATATGATGTTAAAAGCGACGGACAAATACTTCGAACATACATATATGTATGGTTCCCATTGGTTCCCCACTGGGATGTTCTAAGTATAGCTTGGAAATGTTCTAAGTATAGGTTTTGGGTATGTTAAAACTACTTTTTTTGAAACCCATACTTAGAACATCCCCGCTGTGACGATTTTCAGATTTTTTCCAAATGATGTTCTAAGCAGTTGTCCGTCACTGTAGGTGTCATAGTTTGGGGATGTGTAACAATATAATGGGTTAATATATATATATACATATATATTATAAATATATATAAATATATATACACATATTAGTATATGGGAGATGTATTTATTGGGATATGCAATGGTATGCTTACTATGTGGGTTAGATTGGGTTATATTGGGTTAGTATATTAGTATATGCGCGAAGGAAGTTTAGAAGTCAAACTTCCGACAATATGGACAGATGAAAAGCAGAGATGGAAAGGGTCAGAGAGAAGAGAAAGATTAGAAGAGAGAAGAGTAGAAGAGAAAGAGTCAGAAGAAAGAAGATGCAGATGCGCGAAAAGGTGGGGAAGTCGCGAAACACTGTGTTTTTCCCATGATTTGTGGCTCCGGAGGGTTGAAAAGTAGGCTCGCTAAAGCGGCGGGTGCGAACCCAGCTGGCCAGATGAGAGATAAAAAATTGCACGCCGTTGTGGCGCGAAGCACATTTCCAAGTCAAAATGTGCGAAACACACCACGTTCGGACCACTTTTGGAAATTGAGATGTTGAAAAAGTGCACGCAGTTGTGGCGCGAAGCACATTTCCAAGTCAAAATGCACAAGACACACCATTGTCGGACCACTTTTGGAAGTTGAGATGTCGAAAAAGTGCACGCCGTTGTGGCACAAAGCACATTTCCAAGTCAAAATGTACAAAACACACCATTCTCGGACCACTTTTGGAAGTTCAGATGTCGAAAAAGTGCATGCCGTTGTGGCGCGAAGCACATTTCCAAGTCAAACTGCACAAAACACTAGGGGTGCGGACCACTTTTGGCAGTTGAGATGTCGAAAAAGTGCACGCCGTTGTGGCACGAAGCACATTTCGAATTCAAAATGTACAAAACACCACATGTTTGCGCCACTTTTGGAGGTTCAGATGTTGTTTCGCGTGGCAGGCGCAAGGGATTGTGCACCTTGTCAAAAGTGACCAAAACGTGAAGGTTTTGTAGCATTTTCAACCACAACCACCACTACACCACACTACACTCGAATACACTACACTCGATTACACTCAATTACACTACACTACATTACACTACGCTACACTCCACTACACTACACTACATTACACTACACTACCTTCCACCACACTACATTACATTACACTACATTACACTACACTACACTACATTACACTACACTACATTACACTACACTACACTACATTACACTACACTACACTACCTTCCACTACACTTCACTACACTACCTTCCACTACACTTCACTACATTGCACTACACTACACTGCACTCCACAACACTACAACTACACAACTACACTCCACTACACTCCACTACACTAAACTACACTACACTACATTACACTACACTACACTACATTACACTACCCTGCACTACACTACCCTACATTACACTACACTACACTACATTACACTGAATGACACTGCACCACAGATAGACAGGTAGACAGATAGACAGACAGACAGACAGACAGATAGATAGATGGCTAGACAGATAGACAGACAGACAGACAGACAGATAGATAGATAGATAGTTAGATGGACAGATAGACAGACAGACACATAGATAGAGATACAGCTAAATAAAAAGATAGATGGATAGATATAGGTAGATAGATAGAAAGATAGATAGATAGATTGGGAGATAGATAGACAAATAGCTTAAAAAAAAAGACAGCTAGATAGATAGGTAGGTAGATAGATAGATAGGGAGATAGATAGACAGACAGACAGATAGATAGGTAGAGAGATAGATCATTAGGTAGGTAGGTAGGTCGGTAGGTAGGTAGGTAGGTAGGTAGATAATCAGAGAAAGATAGAAAAACAGAGAGAAAAAGAGAGAAAGAAAGAGAAAGAGAGGAGACCTCAAGCACCTTTCAGTCCATCAGTGGCTTCGCTCTGCCATCCCTGATTCACAACAACCAACCTCTCCTATAGGTTTCCTTTTTTTGAAACTTCCTTTTTTTTTCTCCAACAACGCAGCCACCTCCAAGCTAAGAAACTGGGCGAAGACGGCGTAGGCGAATGCCATTTAATTTGAATGCAAGCATCACTCAATCAAATGAACTCATGTAAAGGTGGCACAAAATTGAGCGGATTATTTTTTGCAGCAAATCTGGAGGCACACCCCATCAAGAAAGCGAAGATATGATCCGGAAAATGGAATGAACGAGAAATGTGCAGGGAAGCTACCTGGCAAAATCCAAAACTCAACAAATGTGTAGATCTCAAGGGCAGTAATGGACAGCTGGTGGGATTGGAACAGTCGCATGGCAGCTCGCCACCGCCTTGTGCGGTGCTGCGGTACTACTGGAATAATAACAATATCATTCAAATCAGAACATAGTCTATTAATGGGATCTTATAATAACAAGGGGTATACTGTAACCAAATGATTTACACATGGGGGTTTGAATGGGAACATCGTCATTCCTCATGGACCGCATGTTTTCTGATTCCGAAAACGCCATGGCACTGGCCGGGCTTTGCCACTCTTCTCCTCGCGCTTGGCCCGCTTGGCTTCCTCCTTTCATTTGGTTGGGGAGAGGCACCAAAATATAGTAACAAACAGGGATTTCACAGCGATTTAAGCAAACATGGGGATATAATATGATATAATAGCGATAATAGCGATTTGATGGGGATAGATAGATATATATATATAATGTGGATAACTTAACTCTCTTAACTACTATGGGAAATGTACCAGCTACAAATGAAACCGGTGGGAAGACAACCAATGGGAGAGGCTTGATAAGACAACTTGCTGGTCCACTGAGCATCACCTCAGTCAAATGTGTCTCCCAAGATTGGAGCGCAAGATCAATCTGTATTACCCTCTGGTAGTGGATTTACCCATTAAAAATGCTGATTTTCCATAGTTACGTTAGTTTACCAGAGGGTAGGTGTGCAGAGTGATGAATCCCCGGAAGTGGATCCAATTGTAGTCCCGTTCCCAAGAATCCAATCCTAGCATCCCAACATTGTCCCAATGACACCTTCCAAAATGAATAGATCATAATAGATCCAAGACAATCGAAGACTAAACCATGCTTTCTAAGTGGGCATTTGATCCTATTCGGGTGAAAGGTGCTTTGATGGAGCATAGAATATCCACCTACAATCACCCACATAGATGGTGCTTTCATGAATCTGCCCAACTAATTATGGATACCCTCCGGCAATCAAACATGGCAATGGAATTTTCCCCATGTTTCGAGATATATTCCCAGCCATAAACCTCCAGAAATAGTTCAGAGAATTCTCAGCTAGCCATCTTTGACCTGAGGCTATCCCTGTGATATTCCCATTACATACCCATTATTTGTCTCATTAAATGGTTACACCACCATGTTTCCTGCTTAAATCTGAAAAAACACCCCCTTTCATTTCTATGGCTAAAAATCAATTCAGATGACACAGGAACTATCTATCAAAAACGCCAGGAGATTTCAATGGGAAATCCCTTATAAATGATTGATGTTTCGATATGATAAAAAAACAAAAACAAACTAACTAACAAACTAACAGCAATCTCTAGAAACCTTTGGCTCAGCTCGGCACTTGGCCTTCTCTTCAGCACGCAAGAGCTCCCGCAAGGCCCGCTCAGCAGCTGCTTCCAGGGGCACACCTGATTCGACTCTCAGCGATTTGGAGACATCTCTTTGAATCGTCCAAACCAAGAGAAACATACTCAGAACATACCGGATATGGAAAATCAATGAAAATCAACCATATTAGATAGGATAATGATCTAGAGAATGTGGGATGGATTGAATATTGGGATGAAAAAAGTAAGTTTTAATGAGAAAATATCGGACAATCATCTGTAAAATATGTGGTGAAATAAGTTTTTTGAAAAATAAAGTGCCATCCCCCAAACCAACATGACGAACCTGCCATGAGGTGGGGGTGGGACAACAATCTCACCTAAAAATTGGCTATTCTCGGGTGTATGATTAATTATGATTGTCTATGTGGATGGATGGGAGGCTGGAAAGAAAACCACCAATAAGGCTTGATGGATGGATCTGGCAAATTGAAATGTGAACATTCCCGTCCATGGTGCCCTATTTTGGAGGTTCATGTTGATTTTTGGATTGACATTGGGTTCCTCAAAATGGGATGAGAGCTACAAACATGACCAGGTTCAGAATTTTGAGATGTTCCAAAGCATATCGCTCTTATTCTTGATCAAGGGTCAAATTTTCCTACTCGCTGTGTTACTGCAGCCAGTATCGTGTGTGTCCCAATTCTGTGCGTTGGTTCAATCACCATTTTCCTGCTCAAACCCCACTTCTCCCTGGTGTATTTGGTTAAGTCTCCGATCCTGTTGGTCAAAGCCGCGGTTTCGCAGGCCGGCATTTGATATCCCCTCCTCTATTGTTCTTAAGTCAAGCAGGAAAGGCCACTCCCAGCTATACATTTATTTATAAACCTCTCCAACTATGGTTCTATCTACATCTATCTACCATAAATCCCGATGTTCGCCTACAGCTATAAACCAACTTCGTTCTCCAACGTCTTTTTGTGCCAACTCCTTTTTTGGGGGTCGCCATCCCACCGTTCTACCCCACATCCCCGCCTTTCACCGCTGTTACCACTTTGGGCATCTGTTGTATGGCCAGCTCAGGACCACCCAGGAGCATCCGCTGCCCTTTTTCCGTCCCGGCCTTAGTGAAACGCCGTCTGCCCAGGCTGGCTGAGTTTTCTTCATCTGCATCTGTTTCTTGGGAGTATGGAATGGAGTAGATCCCAAAAAAATATTCCCATGATCACTTGTACCATTGCTTTTACATGTTTTTTACGATGAGTTGCAAGGCCGTTACGATTCTGCTGCACCCTGAGCTGAGACACATCTCCGTCGAAGAAGGTGACCTGGTGCAGCCGTGGTTTCATTAGGATCACCTGCTATGGTTCAACTAGAATTGATTTTAGCCAAGGGATATATATATATATGACAATATATTACATATATGTACATATATATAATGTATTTGCAATTGATCCACAAAAACAGCAATAGAAATATACATAGAAATACCATCCAAACACTCAACAGCAAGGGCCCCCAAAGTTACAAATCAATCAAACTGGTTTATAAACCCATGCGGCTGTAGATGTATTTTCACAACAAATCCTATAATCGGCCAGCTAGTTATACAAGCCAACTTGCGTGGTGGTTTCCCAAAATGGGGAACCATTTTAATCATCCAACACTGATTGTGCTAACCACCAAACGATGTTAGTAGGATGTTACCATTTTTTGTGGGGGACTATATCATATCTATATCATCTAACATATAATAATGATATACATATATATATACACACACACTCTAATTATATACATTTATATATAGATATAATTCTACAGGCAACATTCCCATATTCAGAAAATCTTCGCATACCATGTTTTCATCGTACTCCAGACCTGGGTTTTGGTATGTTACTTTGATAGGCATTTCAGCTCAATCTGGAGGGAACAGTTGGCCCACGGCGAATCCACTGAATGCCCCTCCACAGCTTTCTATCCCCTATGTCGTTCCAAAGCAGCTGTGGACGTTGAATGAATTGAAGGCTGCTTTGATAAGGAAGTTTCCTCATTTGTCTACCGAAGAAGGACAGGGTTGTCAAAGGTAACGTTTTTAAAGGTTGGCTGAGTAAAAATTAGCAAGTTTCTTCCCCGGGACCTCACCCAAGGTGAACTCGGAAAAATAGAACCCACTGGTGTGCCCCTGGAAGTTTGGGCTGGCTTTGGGATTGGAATTTTGGTTCTGGCCCCGAAATTTCCCTATGTGGTCTCTATACCAGCCACGCATACTCGGAATTCTTCGCATTCCACAAATTCTTCGCACTCCAGCGAGGGCATCGCACTCCACAGCTAGGGACGTACACATACTGTAAAATCCACGCACTCTGCAAGATCTTCGCACTCCATAAAATCTTCGTACTCGGTGATTTTCTTTTTTTTTTTTTTTCTGTTTTTTTGTTTTTTCGTTTTTTCTTTTTTTTGCTAAAATCGCCTGGAATCACGTTTTCTGGAATATGGGCAAGGTAGCGGTTTCGCGTGAGACGTCTGTAGTTTCACATACTATCGCATTCCAGGCCATTTTGGCCAAAAATGACCAAAAATGACCAAAAAGAAAAAAAAAAGCTCAGCAGGGTGAAATGTGATAATTTTCTGGTATATGATGGAAAAAACTGGTGCTGGATCCATGGGGAAGGTCGAAGGGAGCCACGCATACTGTTTTATTTTCGCATTCCAGAAAAATTAGCGCACTCCAGGGGTGGCATCGTACTCTATCGGTGGAATTATTTTGCACGGAAAAGAAAACAGGATCGTCGATGATTTGTGTTCCCAGATCCTGTTGTGCAGAGCTCTTTGCGGGGCCGCAAAGATGTCAAGAAAGATGGGGATGGCGCTGCTGATGAAAGGCCAGCCAAGCGTGCCAGAACATAAGCTTAAAGCTGATGAATTGGGTTTTGAGATCCTGAAAAGTGTAGATGACAAATTCCCATAAGAACATTATTAATCCATTTTTGGAAAGCTCAACATTATTAATTATGACATTTCCAGAAATTGTTGAAAGTAAGGATCTTCTTTGGGGAAGAACATGTGCAGTCGACAACGTACGTGCCAAAGAAAAGGAGTACTTGGCAAACTGTATGAAATACAAATTTCACCTGAAAGGGGTCTTCGCAATTTCCCAGCTATTTTGGCATGGAATATGTTCGGCCCTGGAATATGGGCAAGAAATTGCTGGAATAATACACACTGTATCTATATCTATATGTATGTATCTGTATGTTCAATTCTTTTCATGTGGAAAGCCCTAACGGGTGTCTGGTGCCCCGGCCTTCAGTTGTTGAGAGTTGCGCAAGGTCCAATGCTTCAACTCCTTCAGGGCGTTCTTGGCCTGACAGCGGTCGGATGTTGGGATTTGTTGATGATTAGTAAATGTTGCTTGGATAGCAATGTAGTTGGATAGCAATGTTTGCAAATGTTGGTATAGATATGTTGTTGAAATATAGATTCATGTTCGTTAATGTTAGTTCATGGTTAGTCATTTTTAGTAATTAGTTAGTGTTGGTAAATGCAAATGTTTTAATGCATGGGATTATACATGGGACTAATATCTATAATATTGTAATCAATGGGATGAACTGGCTTGTAAATGAACGTATATAATTTATTATAATTTAATGATTATGGATATCCCACCAGTTCAAATTTTCAGATGATCAGAGAAAAAACACCAGGGACCCCGGCCATGTGCGATCTCATTGATCCGCTCTCACGGAACACGCAAGCAAAGACCTTAAGTACCCACAACGGATACCCAGAGATCCAGGCAGAGAAAAAAATGGAGATGTGCCCACCGACAAGAGTAGAATGATCATCTAGGGCAGCTGCTTTTAGCAATTGATTGAAAGCGGGATCGAAGCAACTTGGTAGAGATCCTAGCAACTACAGTTGACAAAGGTCTTGACCACCACTTGATAGGCAAAAAAATGGTGTAAAACCACCCAGCTGCAGGCACCGAAGAAGACAGCAACATCAACCTATGGGAGCTCCGTATTTACGGAGTCTTTTAAAAGACATCACCGACTCACAAGAAAGTAGAGCCGTTACACCAAACGTTAACAACACTGAGCTAGGCAGTGGGACAGGCCAAAGAATCATAAGCATACGCTGCCGCTGACTACATTTAAAGAAATATGATGTTTTTTATTTTTTTATATAAGAACTGGTATTTAGACTACCTCCGGGAAGGTTTTCTTTGGCCCGCCCGGCTATTTAAACATACAGAATCCAATTTATTTAAACATACGGGGCCCACTAGAAACTACTAATATATCCCATCCAGGGTCACCATTTCTAGGAAGTTCACGACTGAAACGAAAGGTTTCCACCTATAGAGCTTTACCAACGCTTCCACTAAGCAGGTTGAACCAAACGGGTTACACCAAGGGGTTTCCATGAAGGGTTTTCATCAAGGAGGAGGGGAGTTCAAGGGATTTCCGCCAAGAGAACTTTACCAAGGCAGTTCCACAAAGGGATTTCCACCATGCCATGTTTTTTAATAATGCGGAGCCGGCCCAGCCATTTTAATATACGGACGGAACTGGTACTTCATACTACCTCCGGGGCCTCGCGGTATGGCCCCTCCTCATCCCTCCTCCACATACATAATAACTCTTGATTCTTGATATGACACTCGGACCACAGTACATCTTCCTTGTGTTATCCGGATTTCCATCCAAACATTGCAGGCTATCCGGACCGTACCTATTGGGTCCCGGGGTCTCCACTAGTTGCAGATGTGCTGCCAACACGAGGCCCGCATTCTTGGGCCTGGCGATGGGATTTCAATGTGGCCTCATATCTGGCTGGAATCTTAATCCTTTCCAGCCAAATATGAAATTCCGCACTTTACCTTAGGTACCCCAAATGGCAATCTTTATAGCGAACATGGTGATAAGTCATCAGTGATAAACCATCAAATGTTTGGGTTTCAGACAAACCCATGGATTGGAAACAAGTTGGCTATTGCCCCATGTGAGCTGTATACAAACCCAGTCGGGGCTAGTCGGTTCACTACATGAATATCTGGTAGGGGCAAAGGGGCCACAGCGCAAACCAGAAAGTGATTGCCATCCACTGTCCACCCGTTCATGTGAGTCTGGCTCAACAGAAGGATTCTGGTTGGCTCAGGAATTTCAACAATAGGATATCTGATAATCTGTTGGTGTCGTCCAGATGTTTTTCGAATACGTCATCTCTATTTAGCCACAATTTCGATTTGGTGTTTCAATCCATATTCTTTGCTGATACCTAATCGGATATACCCTGTGGATCCCTGTGGTAATTGAACATAGCTATGGAACATCACCGATGTTGAATGGATTTATCACCTATAAATGGACCATGTTCAATAGCTATGTTTAAAATACCTGAGGGTACTAAACTCCCATTGAATCCCATTTTGGTTTGCTTAAATCCCCCTATATATAAACCATTTTTTTGTTGGAAAAAAGCAGGATGTTTGGTAAAAACATCACCATGTCTTTCTGACAGGCCTTAGTACCACCGGCACTGCCCACAGTGGACGTTTTCCAGGCCCTAGTTGCTCCACAAACTGCTGGGCGTTGCGTTCATCAACCTCCAAGCCTTGGTCCATGAGAAATGTTGAGAAGTTGGGAGCCCAATAAAAATGGACCATTTACAGTATAGATTATTTGCTCATCAAAAAATGCGATTTTCATAGTTGGTTCAATGATGTACCCATCAAACAGATGTTCCATAGCGAACTGTGAAATTACGAGAGGGTACATGATAATTAACATAACTGGATTCATCGAATCAGCAAAAATAGGGTTCAACCATAATCAACAAACACGTTCGCGAGGTCCAAGGGAAAACAAAAATGAATTCGTGAAGATCCTAGACCAATCTTTGGAAGTTCCACCAACGGCCTGGGCTGCAGCTTCAGCGCCAAGCGACTTGAGAGGTTGGAAAAGTCGTAGTTTGTTGCAATGTCCACCACTGTAAATGCCTCAGGATCACTGTACAGTACGGTCGTGAGGTCCAAATGTTTTAATAAGGAGTATGTCAGAAAGAACCAGGGGCCAGCAACGCTGTTCCCTAGCAATACAAACAAATGTTTCTTCATTGGTGGATTTCAGGTGTCCAAGGAATCGGCATTCGCGTCATAGAGATGTGAGAGCGGAAACTTGGTGACAGGCGCCGGCGCACAATGTCCAGAAGCCAAAACCACAGTTGGGAATGTCTTGCGAATGTCTCATGCAGGCGAAATGGAACATGCGCCCGGAAAAATGACTTTCTCATTGGATACATCTATTTGAGATTATTCTTGGGATCAAATCGAAGGCCCAACAAAACCACAGATGCTCATCGTATTTTGTCTCAAATATTCACCACACATATCTTCTCGTGTATCCAATATGGACCCATATTCTCCTTAAGGCAGGATGCGGCTTGAGCATCATGGTAGACCTCAATGACGCAGCTGGTAGCAGACAATGGCAAGGCTTTGACACCTGTCCGCGGCTCCGCGCGCAGGCAGTAGCGCAAGGCTCATCCAATGATACTGGTTGGTTAGTAAATATGCCTATTCTTGGCAGTTAATGGGGTGAAGTACAGCACAGTATAACCCTAAATGTATTATAATCGGTGTATATATATATGTGTATATATATATATATGGATTAGTTCTGAATATATATATATATAATATGATTATATATGTCATATGTACGGACAAACACAAATGGGATGTTATGGGCTATAAGAATCTCCACTAAGCCAGTTACTGTAACAACCGATCAACAAAGGTATTGATTTAATGGCTCCTTTGCGACCACAGCTGATTGAAACTGGGGCCATAATCCAGTGGCCATGGACATCCCGCAGCAGCAGCCACTCAACAATACTGGGCAGGGGAAAATCACTCATAGTTATAACCATGGATCCCAATTTCAGTTGGATATGTGGTCATCCTGAAGTAGAAAATGTTTATTTATATATGTATACATATATGTATGAACAAACTGAACACGCATCATCCCCGTTTAGTCACGATTTCTAGAAAAAAAAACATGTTTTATCTCAGGATGACTCTTGTTAGACCATCCCAGTTTTCAGGCCCTGCAGCCATCTGATGCCCCCATGGCCTTCCCGCTGGAAGTCCTCCAGTTTGGCCAAGAGCAAGGCCTCTTGCAGCTTCTTGGCTAAGGACTCAGAGGTCAACTCAGCCGCTTCCAAGCCTGACTTTTTTGGGTGCTTGTGCTTAAAGCTGATGGAAATGATTGCATATTATATATATGTATGTATGTATATATATATCACATATCTTATCTTGTCCTTTGTCCCCATTGTATTTGTTGTTGTGTATTGTTTATTGTCTGGAAATCAATCTATATATTGTAGTTGTGGCTCAAAGATCTATCAATTCGTCTTATATGGTTAAGAAAAAAATGTGGCCAAATACATACACAAAGATGGGATTGTGATGGATTGTGAAGGGTTTGGCAGGATTACACAAAGAACAATGTCTGGGAAAGGGTTGCAACAGAGGTTTCAGGGTCAAAAAAACGGTGAGGTACGGGGGGTATCTCCCGTGAATCAGTCCATCCAACTGCAACGTCTTTAGTTGTGATGCCCTTCAAGTGGAGAGGTTCTGTTTGGTTGCATCATTATACTAGTCAGTATACTTCGAAAACATGTACCATCCAGAGAATGATCTTACTGCTCAAAAAACTCATCTTTTTCTATGTTGCATGGGGTAAGAGTCCCTGATATACCAGAACGTATTCTTCAGGCGCCAATCTCATCTCATTTCTATTCATTTCTGATATGGAGCTGGAAGACATTCTGCAACAACGCACCATAACAGCAGCACTTTTTGTTGTTCATCGCAGTAGCAGGACCTTTCTGAATTCCTCCAATTCACAATTCCGGAGAAACTATGTTGGAGTGGTTCCTCCAGTTCAACTCACCAACGAACATCAAAGCGTTCCATATACCGATACTGGTTGATGTGAGCTTGTTCTTGCATGCTGTGTCTGCAAATTGGAAATATCATGAAATATCCAAACCATCGGTTTGACCCAACAAATCGGAACTTTGTAGATTCTGGCGGTCCCGTTTTCTTGGAAACAAACACAGATGATTGTATCTGTTCAAGATGCGACAGTTTGTACGGTTGAACCATCATTTCAACAGTTTTTGTATCTTTATATCAATTCAAATGGTCATTGGTAAATCCCAATTTCTGCTGTTTACAGTTCATATATCCGTTCAATGTCATATCAATTCCGCTAGAATTTCAATATCATATCAAATCATATATGTATATATATGATGTTTGGAGTCCTTGATTTTCTATCAAATGGTTTGGAAACTCCTAGTAGCTCCTTCGCAATTTAATAGGGAATATGGAATTTCCCCTCCTGCCCTGACCATCTCCCATGCAGCAGAAAGGCATGGACCTGTTGAAGCCAATGGCCGCTGCTTGCCCGCTGCATTTGTTCGACGCGGCATGGGCAAATCGTGGGATTTAATGGGATTTAGCCTGCAAACATGGTATTGAATGGGATTTAGATGGATAGGAACGGTGAATTTTGGATAGTGGGGCTTGATAGATTTGGGAGTCCCTGCGATTCGCGACTTTCATGACTTTCATAGTGCGACAACTGATGCTGCAGATATTTGCTAGGGTCAAGACATGATATATGATGGTTTCTGTATGGTCATCCCATAATGGACATCCTGATGATCCTGATGCTAGGTACATTAAATGGCTATTAACGGATCGATTACCATCTCCCTTTATTCATAGAATTGGATGATGGGAAAATTTACAGGAAACCCCTATATTTGATGGGAAAATTGATGGTTTCCTGTAGATTTTCCCTTAAACCAATCCATTGATTTATATGAGCGATTCACTCCGATTCACCCAAGTATGGATGTGTGAGCTTGAACCTCGAGTTGCCGCGGACATCCATGCCCGAAACAATCAGAACAATTATTGATCATAGGTATACTATATTGGTATACTATATTAATGAATATCATGGTATACTAAGATACTATATTAACCAATGAATCCTTTTGAAAACCAAAGGAAAACACACATATTGGTCAGGGGCCATGAAGATCTCCTCCATCCAAAAGAGAACATAACAGATTACACACAGAAAAACAAGGGAAGGTCCCCTCGAGGGCGTCGTGCGTTTTTGAAGGCACAACGCCTTTAAAACCTGCATTTTGTGAATGCTTTAAAAATGCATCTTCCAAGAGGGGTCTCCGAAGTAACTTTTTTTAACCTCATCGCGCATTCATTGCTTTCAAAGCTTTGGACAGGTGTGAGATACAGTCGTTCTTTTCTTGACAGCGCCACTGCCAACTTCGGAGAACATATGAGATCCAAAGAACAAACGCGTGTCAAACCATCACTTGCAAAAGTGAACAGCGTGTCAAGAACGCCCATGCAGGAACGTTAATAAACAAGAACGTTATCATCCCCCCCCACCCCCCCAACCCCCCCCACCCCCCCACCCCCCACCCACCCCACCCCCACCCCCCCCACCCCATCCCCCCTCCCACCCCCCAGAACAAACCCTGGCATGCCAACACGCAACTATAAACGCAACAGCGTCAAGAAACACAGCAAAACGCGCGGAAAATGAAACGACGCACACGAGAACAAGACAGCACGTGAGACGACCAGGATGTTGCGACAGTGACAAAAACATGAAAAAGTGTCAAAAACGCACGACGCCCTCGAGGGGACCTCACCAAAAACAACTGGCAGTAAAGAAGGATCTATCATTTCCAGCATTTCCACAGAACAACCCATGAGGCACACTCAGCTGATTCAGGGCACTCAAGCCTTGTAGGCCAGCAAGCAGCAAATTGTCTCAAGGCTTTGCTTTCCTCGATCCACATAGTCACCCAGGAAGAGGTAGTTCGCCTGTTGCGGACAATGCACAGTCAATTTGGGCTCACCATCCAAGGGATCAAAATAAAAAAAAATGGCCGCTGAATTGCTAGGTGGTTGTATTCTCATGTTGGCTACATACATGTCTTCATTTTTAGGATCTTGGTTTGATGCTTTAATCCGCCGAACACTTGATCTATGTACGTATATGTACGTATCATTATCTTGTCGTACCTGACCTCGTTTTGTGATGGTTTCCCCTTCAACTCGAACCTCCTCATGTTTTTTTCAGTTTGCATCCCAGTCACCTCCGGAGGAAAGCCACCACATTCGAACAGCTTGAGAAGATCAGAGTACCTCTTCCAACTCTTTCACGGATGAGGGTCCAAGAAATACCGAGGTTTGTGCAATTGCTTTGGGTGACAGCCCAAAGCTCAAAAAAACGATTGAGGCCAATGATTGAGGTACCTACAGTACAAACTCCTGGAAATTAGTAGATTGGTTCCAGCATGGTAGGTCTCAAATTAATTTTTACCAGTGGACGTCCAGGCTTGAATTTTCTGAAGAAGGCCTGGTAAATGTTCCACACTACCTATCAGTGTCTTCAAGAAAGCAATCACCCATCAGCAAGTCTCAAAATCAGGTCAATGGAGAATCCTCGTGTCCAGCTGAGTCTCCTAGTCAGTATCGATATTTTTTGTTCCAGCTAATAACATCTAATAACTAGGTCTATTTGAGGTTTAAGTACCTAAGACTCTGCTCAGGAAGATGGTTCTTGCATCCCATTGCATCCCATTGCATCCCATTGCATGCCATTGCATGCCATTGCATGCCATTGCATGCCATTTCTGGGGTCGTTGGCCTTGTCTCATTTTGTGAACCCCAACGACCCCCCACACGACGCTTAACACCCTCGCGTTCCGAAATTCTCAGTTTGAGACCCAGTCGTGACACTGTCAATAATTGTATTATGGGACCATCGCATTTGTTGGAAGACAATACGACATGCTAAAAGAAATCAGATATCAATCAGTCTTTGATATTCATGTTTGGCTTTATTCCCATTATCCCCCATACAAACATGGTAAAACAGGGGAACTGGGACAAGACAGGTTGGAGGTCAGGTGGGAGGCTGTTATGTTTTTGTTCAATGTTGTAAATCTAAATGTTTGACTATTTCTTTCTGTTAATCTTGCTAAATGTTTCGTCGGAGTTGTTTGATTGATGTTTGGTTTGGATGAGGGTAGGGTATGTTGAGGTTGTTGTGGTTTTACTGTATGAGATAGTGTCCATTAATGTTCATTTGATGCTTGATGCGTTCTTCGTGTCGTTTCATTGTATATTTTCTTACTTCACATTTACAAATTGGACATTCCAACGTTTGTTTCTTTTTATCACTTAATTCTTCCTTTTTCCTTTCGTAGTATTGTTGAGCATATTGTTTTAAAGTTTCTTTGTGCTGTTCCCTGTATATGCATTTGTTTTCTAAACATTTATTACACTGCTTACATTCATTTTTGTAGTAGTTTAAGGGTTGAATTGAAAGACTTTACATTTGGAACATTGTTTTTTGTCAGTCATTATACCTCTATAAGTTTAAGGGGTTATGTCTTTAAGGGTTTTTTAGGGTGGATTACTTCATAATATGTTTTGTTAAGATATTATGAATTATTTTTTTATGCTTCCCACTTTCCTATTCCATCCCACCAGTTTTCAATTACTCTCATATGTGTTAAGCACGGTTTGTTTGTATCGTTTAGTTCATCCATCGCTATTGATAAAAGAGTTATATTAATCACCATAGTGTAATAACCACCTCTTTTATTCAATTCTTTTCCGCAATGTATGATTATATTTTTATTAGTTTGGTTTTCATACATTCGTTTGATGATGTTAGGTTCTTTCTGTTTCCATATCTTAAACCGTTCAACATTACTTTCCTTAACAAATCTATCAAGGACAGATTTCCAAAAATCAAAGTCTTCACGTGGTGGTAAGGGATGACATTTTACAAAGTCTCTAATCTCTTCATCTTCTTTTTCTATTGCTTTTCTTTCCCAGTCATCATCCTCACTATCACTACCAAAGTCAGCATATATACTTAATATTCCCTGTATCTATAACCTCAATTTTTGCTCTACTCATTTTCTATATACAGTTATTTTTTCTTTAAGTATTTATCACTTTTTGTAGGTGCTCTTTTATTTCTTCTATGTTCAAATATGTATCATAACCGTTGAACAGTTGTTCAACATATTCACGTAAAAGATTTCCAAAATGTTTTCTTATCTTGAACTCCCTATTTCTAAACATAAAAGACCATTCAACATTAGGAAACCGCCAGCATCTCTCTCGCTTACTCTTATGGATAAAATTAAGGTCGTGAAAGTTCTTGAGAATATGATAAGTAAATTTCCAATTGTTTTTACATAAGATTTGATTGCTTGAAGATATACTTTGTCCTTTTGAAATTCTTGCTTAAGTTTGTAAGTATCCATTAGGTCATCTATTTCTTTCTTCATTGTTCTAACATTTGTTCGGTTGGTGTTGGATAAATAGATAGGTGATTTCTCCATCCTCGTTTTAAAGAAATAGATTATCTTTTCTACTCTTGTCAGTTCTTTATCTTCAAAAAAGTCAAAATGATAATTGAAATCTATGTATCTACGCTCCCTATCGTTTAAGTCTTTACATTTTGAACAGTGAAGGTTGTAATCACATATCTCATCACAAATTCCAGCAGGAAAAATATTGTTTAGTAAAACATTTAGGTTAGTCATTTCTTTTTTACAACATCCACAGTTCTTATAAGTAAATAGCATTCTCTTAATATATATATATATTTTTCTTTAAGTAGTTTTTGGGGTCTCTTTCAGTTTTTAGGTTTTCTGTTGTCCTGTATTCACTGTAATCGTTTCATTCGTTGCGTTTCACTACCATCACTTTCAGATTCTTCATCTTCAGGTTTCTTGTCTTCATTTCTTACTTCGTGTATCATCCGTCTTATTTTGTCTATACCGTGTTCTCTGTCAAATCCTTCCATTACAGTTCTAACTTTTTCAAGACCGATGTGTCGTTCAATCTCTTCGTCTGTCATCTTTCTAAATTGTTCTTTATATTCTTCATCATACTCTTCTCCGTCTTCATCTTCAAAAATGTGTCAAACTTAAATTTTATCTTATCCATTTGTGTTAGGACTCATCCACTCTCCGACGCTTCTAACACTTCTGCCTGATGTTCAATGTCTGTTGCCATTTGGTTCAAGACGTTTGATATTTCCTCTTCATTTGTTGTTTCATATCTTCTACTCCTAACTTCTCTTCTGACGATTTCGTTGGTTTTCTTGCTCTTGAAGTTGCTGAATGTTTGTAATAAAACCTTAATTCCCTTATGCTTTCGTAAGTATTCTTTTATCTTGAAGTCTTGATATTTTAGGTATTGGATTGCCTTGACACCTTTAACCCTAATGTCGCTGATGGCATAAGATGATGTATAATTCTTGAAGGCAGATTGTTCGTCGGTGATGGTCGCTTTGTATCTCTTTTGTATGCCTGTGAGTGCTTTGTTTTTGTCAAGGTTTATCCATCTAATACCTCTCTTTTCTTTCAATTCGTATCTTTTGTAGTCCATAGTCTGTCTAATCTTGTTGAACTTTCTTTTCAATCTGTCGGTTATGGGTTTGTTTCTTTCAAAGTTGTAGGTCTTATCACCTATCTTCAGTTTCTTAAGTTCTTCTCCATTCCGTTTCAATATCTCACCCTGTTGGGATGACAAAAGGTAATCTAAAACAATCTGCTGACTACGTTCCATTATAGTATAATCTATATTATTATTAGTTGGTGTTTCTTTAAGTAGATTTTCACTCTTATTTTGGGGTTGTGGATGTTGAGATTGATTGGATTGTTCGTTGGATTGATTTTCAATCATAAACTCATTGTTTATCCTTACACCCTCTCCCATATTTTCCTTAATATAATAAGGTAATATTTCTTTAAGTAGTTTTTGGATTTTGGTCTGCTGTTGGAATTTCTGGGTTTGAGGTTGGAACTCAACCTGAAAACATTATCATTAGCAGTAAATGTTAATGATAAGGTTTTGAAAATCAAAATTAGTTATCAGTGTTCCAATTTCGGTTGATAAGATGAAAATACACACTCTTGAATTGTATTTCACTATAAATAAAGTTATTTTGAAAATGTCCCTCAACTCTGTCAGTAAATCTACTGATATATCCTAACAACTCTTCCTCACTGTCAGTGTAATCTATATCTTCAATTCTTACATCATAGAAATGTTCTTCAGTATGGATATGTCTAACATAGTAATTGAAATGTATTAGCAAATCTGTATCACCATCTGGTTTAACCATTGACTTCAACTTATGACATTGTCTTTTGATGATACTTATTGTTTCTTCAATAGCATAGTTTCTGTTTCTGATGAAATATCCATAAGTTAGTTCCCTGTATGTTTCATCATCTTCATCATATCTGATACATTCATGTTCAGTAAAGTTCTTTTTATCGAGTTTGTATTTTTTTTGGATTTGTTTTAGACCTTTGCTGTTCTTGAATTTCATTTGCTGGGGTGTTCCCAACATAAACGATGAGATGTTTAACAAACACTCTTCAGGTAATTTTTTCAACATTTGACCCTCTGCCATTTTCCTACTTAATATATAAGGTGGCATTTTTTTAAGTAGTTTTTGGATTTTGGTCGGCTGTTGGAGTTTCTGGGATTGAGGTTTGAGTTCAACGTTTCATCAATGGCATTTGCTATTCATACACTTTTTGGTTTGACGATGTTTTGATAGATTGGATTTACTCGTGATAGTTCGTCCCCAGTCGGGGCAGGTGAAAGGGGTTGATAATTTGTTCTGGTAGTATTTTGAAAAATATTCTGGGTCTACCGGTTTCTTGTCATAAGTTCCGTCGGGTTTCCATCTTGTGGATGTTGTGGGAATTGGTGGGTTGTGGATGTTGTCGGATTGGTGTAGTGCTTCCGCCATTTGTTCAAAAAGGTCTTCGTCCATTTCTTGCTTAATTCCATCTATAAACATATAGCAGGGCATATTCAATTCTTAATTACATCAGGCGTCATTTTTTAAAGTGTTTTTGGGTCTGTTGCTCTAAAAATTGTGTTTTTAACAAGTGTCCTAAATTGATGTTTTTTGGACGCTAAAACAATGGTTTTAGGACACTTGTTGAAGTAAGGATTTTTTGTCTTCAAAAGTTCAAAGTGAAACGATTTGTCCGTGTTTGATGGCTTGGCTATAAAAGTTGAGGGTGAAACGACTAGTCCGTGTTTGATGTTTTTGTCAAAAGTTGAGGGTGAAACGATTTGTCCGTGTTTGATGGTTTGGCTAAAAAGGTCCAGGGTGAAACGAGTTGTCTGTTGTTGCTTGTTCGGTTCTGGGTATCGTTGATACTTGGATACTGGTATCACGGTATCCTTGATACTTGGTTCTGGGTATCGTTGATGCTTGGATACAGGTATCAGGGTATCATTGATGCTTGGTTCTGGGTATCGGTGATACTTGGATATTGGTATCTGGGTATCATTGATACTAGGGTTCGGTATCTGCGGTTACGCATGCAACATGTGAAAATTACTCTTGGATGACTCACCCACAAAACATCTCAAGCGCCACAGGTTTTTTTTTTCACCGGCGAAGCTCACATGTATCCTGCATCCCTCAACTTCTGCTCATCCTCTTCAAAGAGCTTGGCGACGAAATGCCAATGCTTCAAAGCCACAGTTTCACTGGTTGTGCTCCTCAGGACGCAGTCTGCTGGCTCCTCACGAAGAAGCTTCAACGCCATTTTGGTGTCTTCGTCGCTCTCTGGGAGATACACCCAGTACCCCATGGGTCCTGCCCCTGCCACCTTGAGGAGATAGTCCTTCACTTCCTGGTCATCCAATTTCCTTTGAATTGGTTCCACCCTCCGCTTGTACCACTGCTCAACCCGCTTGATGACCGCATCCGCACCTTTCTGACCTTCTCTGGAGACGTTTTCCAGTATCTCGCCCAAGGCGCGCAAGTTGCCCCCCACGCGGATGTAGTAGTGCTTCAACACCTCGTCCATGTCATCTTCGGCAAGAACCTTGTTCAGCGTCCGGAAGTCGTTTCCCTGCTTTGCCACCTCCTTGACCACAGATGTGAAGTCTTCGAAAGGCAGCGGTCGCACCACAACCAGCCTTGACATGTTAAACCTTTCTTTGATGATATCTGCCACTGCAGACACGCTGACCTCCAAAATGCACTTGCACGCAGCATTGTCGTAGGTGATGATGCGAGCGAAGGCACCGAGGGTGGAAGCAATGTCATCACAGGCATCCCTACTAAATTTGTCTCCGCGGCTTTTGGTTGTGAGTTGCAGGTATACCACGATGGCACTGCCTGTTCGGTGCTTGGACGTCTCATTCACCCGTTCCAGCAAAAAATTGACATTTGACGGGTGATATCGGGGCAAATCTACGGCTTGTAACGCTTGAGGTAGCACCTCGTTCAGCTTCAAGTCCTCACCAGGACGAATAGAAATATCAAGAGGAAGCACCCTTTTGCCGTTCTTCACATGCTCACACATGAGATTGTTCAGCATGGTTGATTTCCCAATGCCTTGGGAACCACTGACTACCAAGAAGGAAGGGGTGCTCAAAGCTTCACCTTGAGGTGAATTGATGAAGTCCTTGATGTATTCCTCCTCGAGAGGCCGTGCAGGGGCGGGCTCTTTCCTTTTCAGCCTTTGCCCAGCCTTCCTCACTGCCCTGTCCATGAAGAAGCCAGGAAGGAAACTTTGAATGAGAGCTTGGAGAACCAGCACTACAACGCTCCCTGTGCTCAACAACGTCCAACCAGTTTTAACGGTCTGCGCCGGAAAAGCCCTTGCGGGCTGTGTTCGTGCATGACCGCTTGAAAGAACGAACCGGCCTGGCACAAGCCCAACCTGCCTCACAAAGATGCATCTGCGGAATGTCGAAGGAAAGGGACAATACATCGGTTCAGTCAATTTGTCCCAAACTGGCTTTGGTATTGAAGGATGCTTGATATGCAAAACCAAACAGGAACCACAGCGCCTAACCTCAATCAATACATGAATTTGAAGCAAATCATTCGACATCTTTGAACAACAGCTTGGTAGCGTTTGAACCTGAAGCTACACATAGAAACTCTGACCACCTCAACAATTATCCCCTTCATTCAATCCAAACAATGAAGTGAAAGTTAAGGGGAAATAATCCCCAGAACCCCCCACAGGAAAAAACATCAAAACCAACGAACACACATTGAACGCCAACATAAAATCATAACACCCAAACATTATTACAACAACCCCAAGAAAACATTTAGCAAGATAATCAAAAAGAAACAGTCAAACATGTCAGATTACAAGATTGAACAAAAACATAACAGCCTCCCACCTAACCTCCAACCTCTCTTGTCCTAGGTTCCCCCTTTTACCATTCGTGTGTGTTTCCCATTTGCGCTAAATGTATTTGATCATATACTGCACAATTAATCCCATCCGACAAGGGTTAATTGTTGGTACAACTATTCTTCTTATTATTGTTATATATCATTGTAGACATTACATACCCACCATATACCCTTTATATATATGATATATATATATATATTAACATGGAACAAAACAGATGAAATAGAACATGGGTTGGTAACTAATATACATCATAAACATCATAAACATCATAAACACCATAAACATCATAAACATCATAAACATATACATCACATATACATCATAAACATATACATCACATATACATCAACCTTTGGTAAAATCACCCGTTTTCTTCCTGAAATCCATCAGTTTTTTACAAAGGGCACTGTCCATGGACATCCCCGCAGATCTTCAGCGGAACGCCCAGCTCCAGGAGGATGGGCCTCAGTTATTTTGGTAACGCTGGCGATCTATAAAACTATATAGATATATAGATATAGCAGATAAATCGCACATAAATATATATATATATATACATAATATATATATATTATACTAGTATATATATATTTATTATATAATATAATATAATATTATATATATATATGAAGATATCAAACCGTCTTTTGCTAGACCAACAACAAAGCTCTTTACAGCATCCCATTTTTGGGAGACCAGGACATTTGATCTTGCTTTGAGGTCTATTTACATATACGTTGCATACATACCAATCTACATGGCTCCATGCATATCTACTACCTGTAAAGAAACGTCTCTTGAGAAAAAAAAAACAAGCACCGGAAAAAAAGATGGACGATGGTATCATTCAATTAACATGCAGTTCTTCATTCAATAGTAAATTATGCTTTTTCTGCAACTTTTTGAGGTTACTGTACCACATAAATCCATGCCATCTTCATCTCAGCGGCTGCTCCATGAAGACCTCCCTGGAAAGGAAGCCTTGGTTACTTGTGATCGATGGAAGCCTTGGGTTCTCATCTGGTTGCTGATCATTGATCTTTTACGATGTGTGTCAAAAATGGTGGATGTTCCCACTTAGATTATAGGAAATGTCAATTTCCCTGTCGAAATAGCCACTTTATGCATCCACCATTTCGACAAAACATGACAACACTTTGATATCCGGGTAGTGTGGCTGGCATAATTTTCTCGTTGATGGAAACAAAACAAACAAGGACCACCCAGCTGGAGAGAATGTCCAACGTCTCGTTGGATAAAAATCTTTCTGCTTCAGCCAAGCCAATGACAAATGGGGTTCATTCAAGAAATCAAGCGATGAATATCGATGAATCCAACCAATTCAATATTGTTGACCTTTGAATCTTAGATGCCCTTCTAAAGAATAACAAACACTTTCCCACTGGGTACGCAGCAGGACATCGACCTACCAAAGCAAGGTTTACATGGTAAAACTTTACCAACACTGACTTTGGGCTATAGATGAGTACCTGCAATATGTACCCAACTTTTACCGGTGTCAAGAATTGCAAGCCGAAGCAATTCCCAACAACAAAGAACAACCATATTGTAGTTGTGTTTATTGTTTATGCTGTAACCATTATAATATCAACCTTACATTATAATCATTACAATGTGTAGCAAGTTTGACCAAAAGCCATAGAAAACACACAAACACTTCATTGATGCGACTTTGAATTCCCAACTTGTCAGACTTTGACCAAAGCCCAACTCATGGCAGGATCGTCATGTTACTTTGGAGGATGACACCTATATATACCTATATAATATGTGTGTTTTTAAATCTTCAATGTATCCCAATTGTATAGATGACTCTCCGGTATTTTCTCATTCAAAGTTTAAGTTGTTCATCCCAACATTCAATCCATCCAATATTTGTACAGATGATTCTCTCATATGATGTACTAGATTCCTAGATTGTCCATAGCTCATAGCTGATCATGATTCTCCCATCACTATTCAATATAGTCCATGTTGTATGTGTATATATACACGTGATTTTATATCTTATAATTGATTACAGTATCCCTATCATCTTCCATCCCAATATTCAATTCATCCCAATATGTGTATAGATGATTATCCTATACAATGTGGTTGACTACAGGTTGATACAGGTTGTATAGATGATTTTCCCATACTAATCTCCATTCCGCACAGTCGATTTTAAATCCTATAGATTGACTACAGTATCCAATCAATTTCCATACACATCTCTAAGATATCAACATCAACTATAATTCAAGAAAATCATAATAGTGGTATAATTCATGTGGTTTCTGGGGATTCTTTTCTTAAACATTCATATCTGGGTAAATTATAATAATTCACTAACCTGAATTAAGGCCATTTGGGGATCATTTCCCTTACTAACCATGATTTCCAGTGAGGTCGTAGTGAGGTCGTTGTAATTTACCCAGATTAATGTGGTTTCTGGGAATTCTTTTCTTAAACATTCATATTCACATCTTATAGGGATCCAGTGTGTGGCCCATCCCATCCCATCCCGATCTCCGATCTGTGGCCCAGTGGCATAGCGCACTGATTTCCTGCTCCGTGAGCTGCACCAACTTCGAAGGCCTGGTGTGTCGCACCTGCGGCTTTTTTTAGCGGTGAACAACAAGGGGATTAAGAATGGTTCGTATACATAGTAATGATTTAGTAATGGTTAATGCCTAGTAATGCTAGTGTAATAGTAATGATGAGTATAATAGTATATAATGGTTAGTAATGGTTAGTAATGGTTAGTAGTGGTTAGTAATGGTTAGTATAATAATCTCATTCTTAATGGTTAGTACCAACATTGATGGGGGATTAAGAACGGTTAGTACAATTTACCACTATGTAATGGTTAATGATGTTAATACTGGGATTTTATAGTGGTTACTAGTAGTATACCATGGTTCATTTCGTGGTTGGATACTAGTATCCACATGGTATACTACTAATATTGACCATGGTATACTATATTATCATATATTATCCACATTATTAACCATTATTATACCATGGTTATTAGTATAGTCTGGGTAAATTATAATATTTCACTAACCTGAATTAAGGCCATTTGGGGATGATTTCCCTTACTAACCATGATTTCCAGTGAGGTCGTAGTGAGGTTGTTATAATTTACCCAGGTATAGTGGTTAATAATGGTTAATAATGGTTAATAATGGTTAATAAGGGGGATACCTTGGTTAGTCATCAAACGTGGCTGGACAATCATCAGCCCAAAAATGGGGATCCCCCATGAGATTCTTCAAATGTTACCAGCTGTGGCGCCTGAAAAACATCAGTCTTTATATATACATATATATGTATAATATATATATAATTATATATATATATATATATATCTGGCATCTGGGTAAATTATCATATTTCAATATATATATATAACCTGAATTAAAGCCGGCCATTTGGGGATGATGTCCCTTATTAACCATGATTCCAGTGTGGGGGCAGTGAGGTCGTTGTAATTTACCCAGATATATACGTGGATATTGATATATATATAATATCAATATAATGTCACCTATGGTTCTTGATCGAACCAGTCAATGTTTACCTCATTTACCAAAAAAGAACGATGTGTGTCGGGGAAATGTCATTTTGGCTGTTGAAATTCCCATTCGGGGCCAGTTTTATTGGTTACACATCCCATTAAATCACCCATTGTTTAAATCCAATTAAATCACCCATTGTTACAAGTTAAATCCCATTGAATATCCCAGTGTAGGTTAAGTCCCATTAACTCACCAAGGTTTCTTTGTTTATAAAGTTTATAGATTAACCCCGTTGAATCGTGCGCCTTAATACGTCAAATCTCATTAAATCACCCATTGTTATAAGTTAAATCCCTATGTTCATCGCTATTCCCAGGGCCATCAGACCGCCAGCTTTGCCAGGTCTGCCAGGCCTCTAAGAGCTGTCCTAAGATGTGGTCGACATCCAGAGCCTCGAGGCAAATGGAGGTTTCCTGAAATAGGGCTACCCCCAAATGATCCATTTATAGATGGGATTTTCCATGATTTTCCATCCAGAAATTTGGGGGTACCACCATTTATTGGAAGCCCCTATAGATGGATTTTATGGATATCTATAGGTGTTTTTGCAATGTTCTTTCTCTGATCAGATGTTTTGATCGAATTTGCTAAGCCATCTCTTGACCTTCTCTGATTTTAGTTGTTGTGCCGTGTGACTGATTACAATTCATATTGGATTCATAGTGATCTCGGCAATCTGAAACCCAACTCCACTGGTCCACCATCCTTGCATCTCAGAATATTCCCTTTCCCATACTATTAAACACGCCCAGAAACCATTGTTTAATAGGTGAATTACGGTGAATTACGCATATTTGGGACCATTTAGGGTGTATCTAATCTTAGGAGGATGGGATGTCTTGATGAACATTCCTTAAGTAGTGGACCCTAGGAAACGGCTGCACATCAAAGATTCAGGGACTGCCAAGCTTTTGCAAATTGGGAAGTCTCCAGCAAATGCAGTGATGATGTGTCTGTGTGTGTTTCAAATTTTGACCTGTAGATACCCTCTGGTAATTTAACATAGCTATTGTAAATGGCCATTTATAGTGGATTTACCCATTAAAAATGGTGATTTTCCATAGTTATGTTAGTTTACCAGAGGATAAATTGCAACATGCTACATCCGTAGTTGATTGTATTCATCCGTAGTTTCAACCCCAACTGGAAACCCTTTTTGGTCATTGCAGGCCATTTCATCCCAGGTAGGCGATGGGGACAACCACACATCATGTGAATCATGTCTATCATGTCTGATTATGTCTGTAAATATCTGCATTGTTGCTGTTTACACCTCAATTACCCTCTGGTAATTTAACATAGCTATGGAAAACCACCATTTTTAGTGGGAAAACTCACTATGAATGGCCATGTTCAATAGCTATGTTAAATTACCAGAGGGTAGTGATTGTTGAATGCCGAGTTCTTCTTTGGTGGCCCCACCTCAATAGAAAAAATCATGATTTCATGGCCACAAGTGTTGCGGAGGACTCCCAGGACCCCTCCTCCATTGAGCGGCACGGCGCAGCCTTAGGGGGTAATGTAGCACGACCAGGACGATTCACACATATATTCATATATCTGGGTAAATTATAATAATTCACCAACCTGAATTAAGGCCATTTGGGGATGATTTCCCGAATCCTAACCATGATTCCAGTGAGGGAGAACAGTGAGGTCGTTATAATTTACCCAGATATATTGATTCTGTTCCAAACAAAAATGGTCGTTGGTTTAGTTAGTTGCTAGTCAATTGAGACCATCATCCCAGATATATATATATATATATATATCCAGATATTGCTATTGCAAACACCGTGCCCCCATGAATCAGTCGCTGATGGAAAACATGTCGGGGGAAAACTGGCCAGGATTCCATGATGAATTGATGTTCATGTCGCTGACGTTTATCTGGTCTCAAGTTTCTGGTGGCTGGTTGCAACCAATACCCAAACATCCCAAAGCTTGCTATTTACTCTCTGGTAAACTAACATAGCTATTGAACATGGCCATTTATTGTGAGTTTTCCCATGAAACATGGTGGTTTTCCATAGTTATGTTAGTTTACCAGAGGGTAATCGTCATGCCAGAGAAGGAACAATCCAAAGATATCCAAAGTATCTTAAACCACCAACGGAGACCAACCGTTTGTAAGACCACTACCACCACAATTGACCTGTTTATCAGACTACCCCCAGTCCCCATCTGTGGTGACGAAGAAACATATTCCCAGGAAGCTACCATCTTTTCTTGTAGGCTATTTATGCCTATTTTGATGATATAAACTTTCGCCTGAGCTTTAGCCAGTATTTCTCCACTGGTCAAGTATCAAGCATCCCTTTTAGAAAACACAATTTCCGGGGTATACCCCACTTTCCAGACCCATCGAAATCATCATATCACAAAGATATTTCAATGAAATCCCCATGAGAATCCAATTTTCATTGGTCAAACCCCCAAGCTTTCCATGGGCTTCGCTCATCCCCTAGAACCCACCTACCCCCCTACCCTCCGCACTCCGCAACCAGAGAACGCCGGCATCAGCGGCGCTGGGACGGCATCAGGGCTGATGGGTGGGGTCGATGGGATGGACGGCTGGCTTGGCCCGAAAGGCCAGCGGGGGATGACCATGAAATCCTTGGGGCAATTCTTGGTTTCATCGTGGTTTCTGCTCTGGAACCTAAGAATTACATAGAATTAATTACTGTATATGGGGATGGGTCAAAACCTTGTACCCCTGGTGAACCTCAAAATAGCTGGTAAATGGATGTTCATCACCCTAAAAATGGTACTTATAGGATCTTATAGGTATTGATCCATAGCCATATAGAAGTCCCAAAACTGGTCTTTTAAGATACGGGTGGCTTCTGGTGATGATTTTTCTGTGAAATCACCAGACCTGATGAATGTTCGGTTGTCATTGTTGGGCTTGAACTGTTGGCTTGGTCACTTGGTTGGGGACCGAAAAGACATGGATTATATATGATAGAAAACATTCGCTGCGGTAGTGACCAAAGGTTTCGATGTGGTTCAGTATTATTCAATAAGCTACCACTGAACAACCTGATGTATATTTACCGTCTTCTGTTAAGTAGAAGAGTTCTCATGAGTTCTCCACTTATTGCATGGCCCACCCAGATCGCGACAATATTTCTTCGTGCTTGTAGAGGGGTCTATTCTGACTCAAAAGAGTCATGAAAACAATCGGTCTATTGGTACTATAACTATAACCATAACCCCAAAAAATGACCTATGAACAGGAGTGTTTTTAATAGCTGAACCGATTTTCCAGTTTTCATGATTCTCCTTTTCTACATGGCAAGCTGGTCGGCTGGTCACAGGACTCACTGCTTGTCTGACTCAACCTCAGATCAGCTGTGGATGCATCAGGCACATGCCAGGCTCTTCTGCCATGTTTCAAGAGAACGGATCTTGATACTTCGCCTGATTCCTAGTTTTCAAGGCATCCCCATCCCCAGAAATAAAAAGGTCATCGGGGATCCATAATCCCAAGATATCCCAAGGTGGAAGCGCCACATTCCAGGCGTCCGTCATCCTGCACTTTGGCAGGACTATACTGGTGGTCATCACCAGGCCGGCTGGTTGAACTCCATCAGGATAATGGTTCAGAGATACCAGTGGCCCCATGGAAATAATGGGAATCCCAGGATTTTTAACAGCTTGGAGTCAGGGCAAAACTCCTTCATAAGCTCCTCCAAAATAGCTCTCCGGCACCGAAATATCTCCTCAAAATGAACCTCTGCAGATGCACCACATATCCACCACGTCAGTCACGGTCCGTCTTGGCCCGTTTCACGTTCTGCTCCTCCGCCTCCTCACTGTCTGAGCTGTACTGTACCAAAGCCCCAGAGGCCCCAGCTTTGGACTCGACCTCTGCTGCAGCTTTGGCAGCTTTGGCATCTTTGCTCTTGATCTGAATCTTCGCCCCAAGGGCTCCCAATCCTTTCTCCTTGGCCTTGGCAGCTGGTGGTGCCTTGCTGCTTTTCGTCGTGGACCCGGAGCTGGATTCCGCCTTGAGCCGCGCGAACATCTGGCTCTCAGATTCGACTTCCGCCTTCCTTGGGCCGATGGCATAGAATTTTTCATACAAACCCAGGTCCAGAGCCGTGTTCCTCTTGTTGCGGGCATCCTGATCATAGTCGATTTTCAGACCTGTTGGTTTCAACATAGTCTGCACCTTGAAAATAGATGAAGCTATAGGTAACAAAAAATAGAACCTATTATATAGTCTGCTCCCAGAGCAGGAAAAAGAACAAAAAAAACATCTGAAACATCCATTTCAACATTTTCATCCCAGAAACCTTCATCCACAGGTTCCCACTTCCATCCTTGATGCGCCTGCAGGGCCCTAGTGGCGTGTTCGATGCTGTCGTAATCCACGAAGACCATCCGTTTGGACTTGTGTCCCACCGGGCGGCACTGCAGAAAGCCCTCGTCGAACTCGAAGACCGACTGCACCGCATCTGAGGATTCGGCATCGGGGATGCCTTCGCTGATGCCAATGGCCATGGAAAAACCATGAAAAACCCTGGAGACTATGGGAAACTATGGAAAACCAGGGCAAAAACCATGGGAAACTATGGAACAGTACTGATTAAACCTTGATGAAAACAAGTTACGGCTGTTTCAAATTTGTGAACTTGTGGGGAACGTGATGATCCAAACCATTTGTGGCTGTGGTCATTAAATAATAGGAAAAGGATGATGAGCACCACTTATCGTCGTGAGATCAGGGTTTCAACATTTGCCAGTTATGGCAATATCAAACTATGATCAAAACCACTCATGGCCATCAAATTGTAAGGGGAAAATCACACTTTCTCAACTATGAGATGCATTGGGAAGCTGTTTCTTTCCCAGTTTTTTCCTTCAAATTTCAGGACAAACCCCGCCTGTGACGTAGAGGGTGTAAGATGGTTTGGTGTAGGTCCTTTGACCATTTCCGGCCGCAAAGCCGCCAAATCTGTCTTGATACTTGGATCCAAAAGGATTCACATCTACCCCGAAGCGATGCAACCCGGACATCGCGCTTCGCTCCGTCACACTTCTGCTGAAAAACAAACACTTGGGAAAAAAAACGGTTGTATCATGGTTGTTCGTAGCTCTTTATGTTGTTTGTTCTGATGACAAATTATAAAACAAAACGCTACAAATGGATAGAACATCCGCCTTTCCTCAGTGAAAACATGACTAAGATTGACTAAGTATCTTTCCAAAGTTTGTCTGCTGAGCTGACAAGGCCTAAGTCATATACAAACAGTTGACATGTTTCATGTTTGCAACTGCCATTCAGTTACCGTTGCACTTACGTCCCATTCAGTGCCAGGTACCAGGCCTTGCCGGCCCCAGACCTCAGGGAATCCCATCCCAGGAAGATCCCTACGAAATCCCAGGGTTCTGGGTGGGTCTATAGGGGGGAAATGGATTGATAAAACACTTGTTGGATAGCCCTGGATAGGCTTGGAGTATCTTGGAGTGTTGCGACAGCGTGCAGATGCGTGCAGCATCTGCCGATCATCTGCTATGGTTTTGCTGCTTGGCTGCATGGCTGCATCACAATCCACTCCTCTGCTTGGAAGTTTGTTCCACACCTGCAGATTCAAAAAATATAACAATTGGTGTGTATATATTTATATATCAAATAACAAATACCCACCAATAGAATAGGGACAAGACTTGAATATTGGATACAATGTGTTTTGTGTCAGACTTCCTTCTGGCCTCCTTGGGCCCCCAAACAGCCCTTCATTGCTTTCTCCATGGCCAGCCGCCTTGGTTCCACTCATTTCTGGTAACATTGGGTAGTGTTTATTGTTTATTAATGTATACTAATGTTGATTATATATAAAATATAATATTTATAATATATATATATATATTATATATAAATAACATATTTGTGTAAACATCATCTCAACATATGATTCGCATTCATGAACATTCATAGTGTTACTGTTGGGTGAAAGCACACTCCACGAAGTTACTGAACGATACTGTACCTGTACCCTCCGAAGGCGTGGCAAACTGGTTTCAGATCCACCTTTCCCAGGGCCGGCTTGGGGGAAAAGATTCCATGGGTTTCTCTGCAAGAAGGGTACCACCCATTCTCAAAGATTTCATCATGTCTTCCCATGAAAAAGGCTATTCATATTGGGATATCCCCTATTTTTGGCAAAAAACAAAGCATATGATGTATATTCAATACTGTACCCTTTGGTTATGACTAACATAGCCATGCTATAGATGGCCCATTTATAAATGGTTTACCTATTAAAAATGGGTGGATCTTTCCATAGCGAACTGTTAGTCATAACCAGATGGTAATATCCCCTTGACATCCCTTGTGCCATCAGGCCCCTGCTGGTGTCGCAGTCTCACCTCCGACAGTTGCGCCGAGTTGGGGCAGGCGGCAGCCCGGGAATTCATCACAAACAAGATCGGTTTCTTATCCTGCAAGCTTAAATCTGTTGGTGGTTCAGTTCATCAAACTATGTTCAGTTGATCTTTTGATAAAAACCCCACTTCACATCCCACTTCTTGACTTATCCGACTTATCCGACTAAACCTGGAAGTTTCTCGCAGAATTCCAACATCCAGCGGTGAATCATCCAGCTTTCCCGTCGGATGATACCGGAAGTTTGTGAATTTTTTGGTCACAACCCCCTGGGTCACTACAAGCGTATATCTGACATATGTATATATGAGCAGGGACCCCCACACTCCCCCCCAGCCAGATGGTTCCCCCCCCCCTGTGGCAGGGGAGGGGGGGTTTTCTCAGCAGCCAAGCCGATTGTTGCTGGAGGTATGTGTGGTGTGTATATATATATATATATTTATAAACATATATATATATAATATGTAAGATATAAATAGAATATATGCATTATATATATATTTATAATATATATATATATATATTTGATATATTATATATATATTGAACATATATATATATATATCGTATACGTGGATTTTGATAGAATATAGATAGTATAAACCACATGTACTGTATCCACAGTAGATGTAATATATACAATATAGGTAAATATGTTCGTTGAATAAATTTTACATAGTATATGTGGTATATTGAATATCGACAGCAATACACGCTGTATATCTAGAGTTTATGTATATATATATATATGTATATATATATGCATTTATATACATGTACATATATATATATATGCATATATATATATGTACATATATATATATGCATATATATATATATGTACATATATATATGCATATATATATATGTACATATATATATATATATATACGTGTACAGTATGTACAATGGAAACGAAATATGTGATAGATACAAGATCAAGATATCAATATGTAGTATCTAGAATGTGCATATATATATATTTATTTATTGTTTTTCTACTGTACATATGTCTAGGTTTGCATAGGTAAGCTTTGCGTAATCCATAGGTAGCAAATATATGTTGTAAACCAGGTGCGAGGCACGCTATAGGCGGTTCGAAAAAAAGGTTATGATAGAAATATACAGGTAGACAAGGTCCGTTGACGAGGTCGTGGCTCTCAAGTGCTGCAAATAACGTAGAGATGCGAGGTTGGAGGGGTGGAAAGGGGAATATATATATATATATATATGTGTATATGCGTATGTATATGTGCAAATAACATGCAAATACTAGGTTTTGGGGGGGTGGGGGGGGTTAGGAGTGGGGGGGGATACCATTGGGGGGGGGGGTGGGGGTCCGGGGACCAGGCTCATATATATATATATATATCATAGATTGGGAATGATTGGAACATAATCATTAAAACCACATAAAAACCACCTATTTCCATGTATTTAGATTAAGTGTATAATTTTTCATCAGCCTGAAATAAGGCAATCTGGGGATTCCCGTTACTAACCACAATTTACACGTCACAGTGAGGTCGTCATATATTGTGTGATCCAGATATACAAACCATATCGGTACATTGTTGGTACATATGTCAGTATATCTCTATTACGGTCGGTTTAACCCCGATATTTTTCCTGCTTAGGAATAATATGGATTAATACATATCATATCTATATAAGTAGCATAGTCCAAGATGCTAGTACACATATCATAAATTGATATTACCCTCTGGTTATGACTAACATAGCCATGGTATAGATGGCCCATTTATAGATGGTTTACCTATTAGAAATGGTGATTTTCCATGGCTATGTTAAATAACCAGATGGTAATCTTTACACAACGATTCAGCATAACAATCTGTCCAATGACAAAGCCTCCACGGTCCTCGCGACCACCTTAGCAGCAGTCCAGGTCACTACGCGATTTCGCCTGTTTGTAGGTGGATATATGATATATGGAGGTTTCCTAAAATGGAGGTACCATGGGGTACCCCTAAATCAACAATTTTAGTGGGATTTTCCATTATGAACCATCCATTTTGGGGTACCACCATTTATGGAAACCCCATATATGTATAATGTGTATGTATGTATGTATGTATGTATGTATGTATGTATGTATGTATGTATGTATGTATGTATGTGTGTATGTATGTATGTATGTATGTACGTAGGTATGTATGTATGTATGTATGTATGTTTGTATGTATGTATGTATGTATGTATGTATGTATGTATGTATGTATGTATACATACATATCAACCTGGAGTTAATGATGTTGATAGCATATGGTAAAGTCAAAACAAACATAGTCACTAAAATGGGAAGAGGTTTGAACAGCAAAACATATTCTATATATTCTATCAACTTCAGGATGAATGTATGTGTGTATATATATATATAGCAGCCACCCCAGAAGAAAAGATATCTATTTTTTTAGGGGCCCCCATAAATGGGATATTCAGATGGGACATGTTCTAGAGATGGATAGAAATGGGATTTCTAGCCCGGCAATAACTGGTTGGTGGTGTCAAACCGTACCAACATTTGTAGTCAGTGGGATCATGAGTAAGAAGGGATGGGCAACAGCTAGTATTCATATTGAGGAATTGACAATAGTACTATAAGGTATCACATGTTGAATATGTGTGACTCAACAATTGACAAAGACATGACATTTTTTATGGGTTTGAGATCCATGGGAGCATGACATAAACATGGATCATACCTATAGCAAACACGGGGATTCCTACAGGAAAGACACATCATGTGGTCAGAAAAGAACATGTTTTGTTGGAGGATAGTCTTCCTTCTCTCACCAGCAGTTGGGGATAAACATGCACGGATGTTGATTGCAATCAGATGAGCCATCATTTCTAACTATACGGATTTGTCTGAAAAACAAAAACCTAAATCAATCTACTGCTTCATCATAACTTAAATGGTGTTAATTGAGACTATGCACCATTTTCAAAGAAGCCCATATTGCAAGAAAGAGGGAATGACGATCTCAGCCATGGTCATATCCTCACGTCCAGGCACTGGACCATCAACTCCCTTTTGGATGGTTATGACTTGGGGATGGTTGTATGGCATTGGTTTTACATGGTTTTACCACATTAGTAACCATGAGTCAAATTATTATCGATTATGGTCCCACTGTATGTGATCATATCTTGGAGTCTTGGAGCCATGCCGTGCCCAACTCGTCTTGGTAACAGCATTAATTTCAAAACGATTGGATGTGGTTGGTATCTGGTACACTAACATAGACCCTGAAAACCACCCATTCTTAGTGGAAACTCATCTTCCAACCCCAATCTGCCAGGGTCTATCTTGATGGCGGTTCAGCTGTTACATCCCAGCGTCACTTGAAATAAGGTCACGAGCGCTTGTCTATTGACAGCTGCTTGACCGTATCACAAGGGCTGCATGTCAGGCTCTTGTCTCAAATTGTCAAAGTTTCACAATGTTTTACGAATCACAACTGGGGAGAAGTGGGGGTTTCCTAAAATGGGGGTACCCCCAAATCATCCACTGTTGTTTGGGATTGTCCATTCTTAACCATCCAGCCATTGGGGTACCCCCATGACTGTGGAAACACCCAAAGTGGTATTCAGAAAAATTCACCCTGCCTATTCCGAAATTCACATCTCCAACATGACTATTTATTGACTCTGTTGTGTTGTTCATCTGTTAAGGTATTTGTTTAAGAAATGGAGGTTCTGCGCGGCTATGTCCTACAGCTGTGCATTTTGACCATTCGAACAAGCACCTAAGCAGTCTTGAAGAGGTCTCTTCTCCAGAAGAACAACATTTATACTTATATTTATACGGCATATAAACCTATGTGTGTGACCAGAACTGGTCGAACATGATAGAAACTAGCCATCAAATGGAGTGGGGTATCCCTCCTGGTATCGTTTACATCTTGAGACGAACCCCTATATATAGTTCCATAGGTGATCAACAGTTTCATAGGCATCATGGGTATCCAACCGTTAAGTTGCAACAAAAAGAATCGCCTGCCCTTGGTATCTCCATGCCGAAAACCGGGCGCCTGCCAGCTTCAACTGTACACACCCACTGCGCGTTGCGTGAAGCGGAACTGCAGGCGCTCAGCCAACGACAACCCAAAACGACCGCTGCGGCGCAAAAACAACTCTCAGAGTTGTAAACGATGAAGCCCGCTCTCAAAGGCATGGAGTGTCTTGACAATTCATATGTACAGGATATGTATGCTTATTAAAAATGTGCAGATGCATAATTACATATATATATGTGCATGTATATGTACATATTCATGATATTCCCATCATTCTGGCAATTGAATTAGACTAAAAGAACATGCATGACAAATGCATGACATACATATTCGGCATACTCTGACGGCCTTCAGGATCAAACAGGATACCGAAGGGATATAAGTCTAATATAAGTTAGGCGGGTCTCTCTGTAACCACAATGATGTGGTTAAGACATGTTAAGACCACCAGTAGTAAAGTTATGCTAAAACGGGGCATCTAAGAATTGGAGACCTGAAATCTACTAGTAGCTTCCCCGATAAAGCAAAACGGTCTTACCGGCGATGCGAAATGATTCGAATGGTTCCCAGCCCGTGAATCTGTACAAATCTTCGAACTGCAACTTACAACTAAACAGTTTATCAAACTAAGGCGTTCTTTCAAACTATTTCTTTTTACACCCTTTACACTCAGTTCACTGTTCACTTCAATGTGGACTTGCTATGTAGACTCACTTCGCTACTCGCATTCAGCGAAGCCATGACAGCATCCCTGCTTTTTTGCAGTGCCATCTGAGATGCACGGGCTCTGGCGACACATCTTGAAAGAACCACATGCTTCCTGGCGGTTGCAGGTCTGCATCCCTGCCAGAAGCATTTGGACCCAACGAATCGATGAAATCAACGCGACTTATTTATGGTATACTGCTGTTGTGCTTGTCTATTATATATATAATACATGATACTATAGTAATACTATGTACATGAATTATATACATGACTGTCACATGATTAGGCTGATGTTTGTATCACATGAATAGGCAAAAATAGGCAAAACAGTGGAAATGATGTTTCGCATCATCATGGATTTTCATTGGTTATCAACGAAGATCCTCCAGTTGTGGACTGATACAGTCAACAGGCTGGCCCGAGCAACATACTACTCTTCTTACCTGCCGAAGTAAGGAAGTGTTGGGCAAACGTAAAAAGGACGAGCAATTACATGTATTCATGTCAATTTAGGAAGGCCATGGAATTTCCATCGACGATTTTTCGTACTCCTGGCTACTGTTCATTGGTTTTCCATTGCTGCCTATCTCTCCCTCTCCAGCTTGACCGTGCAAACATGTACCGTTGGTTCTGGTCCCAGCGCAACCACTTCAATATGTGAAAAGGAAGCGCTTCCAATTGCTGTGGGTGACCCACCCACAACAATTGGAAGCGGTTGCAGTAGGGCAGCATCCTGCTTCGGGAACTTACTCATACGGTAGAATTACATACTATAAGTGTTCAGTCTGTTGCACATTTCTTTTCTGTGACACAACTGGGTCTGCATGTGGTAGAACGATCTACAGTCTCCTAAAGTCGCGTGGGGGAAGCAGCTGCGGACCGCAAATGCTTCACCCACACGGACCGAATTCCCAGCCATAGTGGGGGCTGAAAAAATACAGCTACGTCATGGAGGGGGCTCCGTGAGACAGCTGGAGGCCCCATGGCGGGATCATGCAATGGATGAAAGCACGAGGCTAATTACATCCAATCATGTGCTAAACCCAATCATATCCAATCATCACTTTGCGTCCATGTCATGTCAAGAGATTTCTATCCCTATCTGGAGTCAGGTTGGATCTTATTATTGGGTTTACCACAAAAACTGAAAAATTGTCTCCTTTAAGCGCCCAAGTCACGAAGAGGGAAAGCTTAAAAACGCGGAACCACAGCCATGCGGCACGGCTTGGAATTGCAGATCTAATATGTTTTCTGACCATCCGAAGCACGATTTAAGCCGTGTTGCGGCAGTGGTTTTCTATGGGATTTCATGATATTTCAACAATATTGTATTATAATTATTATAGAATCTTGTGGATAACATTGGATAACCATCCAGAACACGATTTGTTGACCCCAGTTTCTCGGATGGCCAGAACTAGGCAGCTGCCTTCAAGCAGATGAGGTCTGCAGTTTTCCACGAAAACCGGAGCCCGGCTCACTCGCCCAGCGGCTTCAGATTCATACTGGCACGCCTTTTTGCCAGGGAACTGGAGATTCCTGCAGCAGATTGGATGATTGTTTGAAGGCCATTTCGTATTCTTGATTCCATCAATACTACTGTGATCCCACTGTTAGGTCTGCTGACTGATTATATATATATATATATATATGTGTATAATAATATATATATACTGTAATATATTTACTGTTATATTATGTTATATTATGTTATATTTACCTGGACCATTTAAGTACCCAAAAAAATGGTCAAAGTACTGGATTTTATGAGGTAACATACTATGTTAATGGGTACTTGAAGGTCACCCACAATTATATACATACATTTACCCCCAAAATGCACACAACTATATTTTATCATCCCCCATCTCAAACACCCATGGTAAATGGTCCCAAATACCCTCTGGTAATTTAGCATAGCTATTGAAATTTACCCATTTATAGTGGATTTACCCATGAAACATGATGATTCTCCATAGTTATCTTAGTCTACCAGAGGGTATGTGGTTTCATCCCATCTACCATAGTATCCCCATATCATCAACGTCCTGGCGTAACCATCTTCTTAGGCATCTTCTCAGTTGGCTCAGCAGCAGTTTGGCAACTTTCCTCGGCCAAAAAAATAGCGTGGCAATTCTCGCAGGTAAGATGGAAAAGGACCAATATTTGAAACAGCCAGGCAATACAGTATGCAAGTAAGTATCATAAATATACATATGACGGTTTGTCAAAATGTCTGTTCCCGGTTTTGTTGATAAATCGCAATTCCATGCGGCACCTCATGTTTGCCTTTTAAAAAACATGACCTACCTTGATGACGTGAAAACGTGGAAATTCTTCGTTACCTTTGGAAATCTTTCTAAAACCACAGGAATCGGCTAACGCACGTCGGTTTTCAGTCGCTGTCGCTGGTACTATCTCCTGAACTGTGTGTCTCTGTGTGTGTGCCTCTCTGAATGCAATATGCTTCTTGACATGCCTCCTGATCAACGCTGTTTCCTTACTGTAAGCTACCAAAGCGTGAACATGGCTGTGCCTCTGAATGGGCTGTGGGTGGACCGGGGCATGTATTTGCAATTTTCGCTAGCGCGTTGCTAGCGGGGATCTAGCGCGTAAAATACGTAAAAAAAAATCGAAAATTTGGGAATATGTGGAAACTGACAGACTTGTAAGAAAAGCTGGCAAGACATTCACGACATGGAGGCCATGGCTGTCAATCAAACCTAGCGCAAACCTAGCGGGTTTGCTAGCGCTGCCTTGCAGAATTGTTGAATTTAGTTGCGTGCCGCCTCATAACGAAGAGGAAAAAACAGTAGGCCCAGATGAATTATCAACAACCAATACTAAACTTCTAAACAACTATTTTTGACAAATGGTCATATGTATTTATATATATATATTCTAAATGAATATGTATGCACATATGGAGACGACTTAATCTGAGAACATGGATCATTTAGTGGGCATGGCAAAATTGAAGCCCCAGGAACCCGGCCTTAAGTTTGGACACTTTTGGATCTCCGAGCAGTAAGATATCCCAAGCTATCCTAATTTTTCCAAGTTGCAGTTTATTAAACTTTGAACCATCCCATTCTTGAGGCCGGATCTATAGCAGTTCAAAGTTGTATCCTTTTCAGCTCGGATCTATCTCTATTATATTATATATATATGATTATATATGGTGATTTGGATCTTACAATAAGGGGGAAGCCAAAACCAAAGCAATGGTTTCACAATGAACACATTGAGACATGGAATGACATGGATATATGTTTGCACGTTTTTGTTTCCCCCACTTTAAGACATGCCAGTTTACTCGTGGAGGAGGAGCAAACATAAATATAGTGTATGTATATCTATACGTGTGTATATATATATATATTATATATAGTATATATATATATTATATATAGTATATATATATTATTATATTATATTATATTATACTATATTATATTATATTATATTATGTTATATTATGTTATATTATATTATATATATTCACCATTATATATTCACCAGGATTCTTGACTCACAATCTCTGGCCACAACCCCCCAGCTTCGCGCACAACTTTGTTTTCCACCATGGCACTGGCACTGCATGGCAGTTTTGTCCAAAGTCTAAAACATTCAAAAACTGATCGAACCTGTATGTATGGCTTTGTCCAAAAATGAAACTGTACCTCAATTTAATGCCATCATATGCGATCAAACCATGGGGAAAATCCCACTGGATGTTCTGGGGTATCATTTCTTTGGACAAACCCATATTGCTCTAAATTTGCAGGGTCGCAAAAGGGCAAAAATGGTCAAGACTATTGCTGTTCACAGCTGTCTCAGCTAGTTTGGTGTCCAAAAATCGGGGACGGTTGTTCAGTAGGGTTGCATCAAAATAGCATCAACATGTGGTAGGGTTCTCCCCCATGGATGGTTTCGGACTCCTGCATCATCTCATATGATTCCCATTGATTCCCAATGTTTTTCTCATTTTGCCTGCAGAATGACCCTTTTGCAAATAGCCAAACCAAGGCAACAACTTTGCCACATGATCCAGCTCAGGTCCTCATTCGAGCGCTGAGCGCTCAGGCGCTCAAGACACACTGCAGTTGGAGGTCTCGGAGGGGTATGTCACACCAACTTGTTGGCGATAGATGTCCATGATCTTCATGATACTAAGGCTCTCGTCCAAGGTATATTCCTTAGTGTTGCTGTCCCAGGGGAAAGATCCTGTGGATCAAGTCCTGTCCAGAGTTCTTCCAAGTTGACCGGGTGCGTTGTTCTATCATGTTCTGATGAGTACAAGTCAGGCAGCCCGACATCAGTTACAGAAGTAACAGTATATACTATATGTATATGTAAGTCATCGTAAGTCTATGTTCTGCGAAACATACAGTGAAACCATGTGAAGACATGTTCATGCACCTGCCCATCCAATGGTCCAACCCCATGCCATTGAAGTGCAGGGGGCAGGGGAGTGCAGTAATTTCACTGACATCAGAGCAATACAGATGGGACCGGCCAACCCAGGCAATGAACAACTGGTGCTATGTGATGGTGTGTGTCTCACAATCTCTTCAGCTTCAAATCTTTGAAGGGCACTTTGAGCGTCAGGAGTAAATTGATGTTTATGAAATGGACTGACTACGACTCTCGACTTGGCACCTGGGCATGAAGCCGAGAGATGCCGAGCATCTGGGCATTCCAATAGGCCATCTCGGATGCATTTTTCCACTGCCTCAACTTGATACACCATCCCCTCAGAGTTGGGATAGTTCACGCTAAGTCCACGTTTCCTGGTTGGTCTCAATCCACCGAAAAAAAAAACAAATAGACAGACAGACCTACTTTTCAATGGGGATCATCTTCCCGTATGGGCCGAGGCGGAAAAGGGATGAAAAGGGTGGAAATTCAACAACCTTTCCAAAGTCATCAACCTGTTTCAGCTTTGGCAAAGGGAAGCTGAATTCTTCGTTCACGAACTTCCCTCGATCTGTGGAAGCTCTGGAAACGGTCATGCGCTCTGGGCAGTGCGCCTGCCCATGGATGCGGACATACCCTTTGTCGCACATGATGACACTGTTCTCAGGAGTGCAAGCGCGAATGGTGAACAACAAACTGGCAGAAGCAGTGTCTTTCCAGGTCAATGTCAAAGCTCCCTCGGCATCCACCCCCTGTGGTGTAAGGATGGCAGAGGATTTGATCTCTGGGATGCTGGTGCCAAAGGTCATAGTGGCCAACTGCACTACGTAAATGCCAATATCCAGCATAGCACCGCCTGCCTGTGCTGGGTCCAACAACCTATGGCTTGGATCTGTGGGTCCAACAAATCCGAAGTCGGCCTGCAGGCAGCGAGGGACCCCCAAAGTTCCACCCTTCAGAAGTTCGCGAAGTTTTCGGACGATGGGGAAGAAACGCGTCCACAGCGCTTCCATCAAAAACAGACCCTTCGACCTGAGGGAGTGGTCCAGGGAGGCCCAGAAAAAGACATGTAAAAAACTGGCAATTTTCAGGGTAAGATGATCCCGGTATATCCAGGTAGACAGACATAGAAAACTGAGTCAGAGTTTGATCCAGAATTGCATGGCTGGTCTTGCAGAAGATTTTTTTACCAAACAAATATGATAAATATGGTATGTTTATTTAAATTGTATCAAATTAAGTGTGTTCCCTTTCACCCATCCACAAATCCCTTTCTACGTCCTAACCCCCAAAGCCCAAAAAATCACCATAAACTTGCATCCTGATAATTTGGGGCCCCACCGCCAGATATGTTTTTCATTCGCAATGATTCATAATTATATATATATAATTATATATATATATATACGCATATATATATATACGCATATATATATACACATATATAATCATTTATATATACAGTATATATATATATGTATATATACACACATAGATCTTCCTGGTTTGAATCCTCATCAATCCAACATATCTTGTTCCTGTGGCTGTGTCCAAGTCACCTGGCCAAGTCCACGATTTCCTGCGCCTCCACAGCATTCACCGCCAGGGGCTTCTCACAGACCACGTGCTTTCCAGCGTTCAACGCCATCTTCGCATGTGGCAAATGCAAGGTATGGATGGTCCCCACATACACCACATCCACGTTGGGATCCTCGACAAGTTCCTGACATGAGCTGAGATACGTATATTTATATATTATATACAATATAATGTTTGTAGTAATTAATTAAACACCAAATTTCAACAAACACACCTCCATCCAACGTCCCAGTCCTGATAAGATCCATGGGCTTTCTCTACCTTCACCTCAGCGAAAAAGTTGACGCTGCTGACGCTGCTGATCCACGGGATTGGCTAATCTAACAGCTTTCCTCGTTGAGACTGCCGTTCATTGGCCAACCCCCCGATATCCCAAATGGTTGAAACTGAGTATCCCCTTTTTGGATCTTTTTGGTCAACCCACCTTGGATTCCCATATTTCCAATTGAACACCAACATCAGTTTTGTTATATATTCAGCAATTGGTGACGCTTCTATATGCAACAATCCAACACCTGGGATAAACGGGTTCTATCACGTCAAGAAATCCATCTCCGTCCTGTGGCTCCAAATATGTGTAGAATTTCCGGTCTTTGCAAATGTTGCGAATCGGGATCCCCTATTTTCTGACAAACCCAAATCATATCTGTTGGTTGTATATCGCTATCTGACAATTCATAAAAATCTATTAATCCCCATGGGTTGGGAACCTTCACGAAATCAAAAATGTCTTTTGATTAAAATCCTATTATATATAACCACAATATATTATGATGTAAATTGAACATCTATCAATCACATCCCGGATATTCCATCCAATATCACAATATCACCAGTACTATCCCATAAAATGGTATGTCCACACTGTCCACATTCCCCATACTTTTCCAGCTGTTTAATGAAATATATATAATGCAACCCAAAAAACAATGCCGAAATGTCTTTCCAGTTTATCAGTTTGTTATATAGATGATGTTTCCATATGTTTCCCTCATATGTTTTCCATCTTTTGCTTTTTCCCCATCATTTTACCCCGCAAAAAAAATCGCATCACCACCATGCCGTTCAACGCCGCGGCACCTTATCCGCCAATGCCTTGGCCTTGCTCAACGAGCTGGCGCCAATGGCCGTAATGTTGCCACCCGCCGTAACCACCCCACAGGCGAAATCGTTGCAGATGCCACCAGCGCCCAGGATGCCCCAGCGCACACGCTCCGGCATGGCGGCGGACCGTGTGCAAAACCACTATGACGTTGGGAATCTGTGGGGGAAAATTGGAAACGTCTTAAAGTGAATGTTCATTGGTTTGGATGGATTTATTAGATTTTTGAAGATGATGTGATGATTCAGGTCTCGACTTCGACTTCTATCCTATTATAAAAGAAGCAAAATGCTGGAACCACAAGCGACGACACTGCTGAATCTGCAAAAACAACGATATCCGCATCAAAATGGCCACCCCAAGCACCCCATTGTTGTGCAATCATCATGTGGACACATTCTTTACAGTCAATTTCCACACCATGGGATGGAATGTCTTGAGACAACGTGCAAATTATATATGTTGGGTATATTCCCGTTTAAAATTTTAGCACACACATACCTATTCACCCCCCACCGTACCACATAAATAGATCTCAATATCCCAGTTGAACGGTTGTTTGACTAAAACACTACTCTGAGTTAAATATTGTTTTAACATGTTATAACGCGCAGACAAAAAAACGTAGCATACTACTAACTAACATAGGGTACCGATGTCACATACGCCTCTACCCCCTTTAGATGCACTTGGCAATAGCGAATCAGAATTCACATCCAGTTAACATTTGCACCAAAACAAACCTTTCCAGTCCTGTCTTGGATGGGAAACATGAAAAGAACAATTGGGGTAGCGAGAGGGTGGGGTATAGAAAGGGAGAGCAACTTTATCATGAAAACAACATGAAACATGAAAGCCAGAATGAACAATAGATGAAACATGATGAGTTTCCCCTTGTTTAAACATGATCTATCCACAACTATCCAATTTTATGGGTCTATAAACCATCCATTTCTTGGATGACTTTGGATGACTTTGGGACTACTCCAGGCCCAGGAGCTGTACAGAATCTCTCGCCTCGGCTGTCTCCGAACAGCCATGGAGCAATGGAAAATCATGGAACATCACCGTTTTTCATAAGCAAAATATAAGTAAAATATAGGCCAGGTAAATCATCGAACTACTGTTTGATTCTCAGATGGCTCTAGAACTGGTTAGTAACGGTTAGTAACCACACTAATCCATTTATAGAGGGGAGTTACTACTCAGGGGGTTATGGCCAAGTAAACAAGTTGGACCAAGTAGCCATGGAAGGTTTACCATTCAGCCTACATTCAGCGGTTTTTGTCGTCGATGTCCACACCAAAAGTAACAACCATAAAACTGATCAATGTGATAAACGTCAGGTTGAACGGTCAATCTATCCACTCCAATTCAACATATGACCCAAAACTCCAAAACTGGCAGGGGATTTATTGAATCTGAGTTTTTTGGGTGAGGGATTCCTTTGAATCAACAACGCCGCGAGGGTGTTACGGTAATGTGGTACAGCTTCCAATAGGGATCAACCTGCATAGCCCTCACCATCACCCAGCCATTTCGGAAAAGAAACCCGCTGCGCCAGCGCTCACATCTGAGTACGCGCGATCATCACCACGAAACCTGGCGCAGAGTCGAAAAAGGGCTTCCCAGTGGAAAAAACGCCGTATGTACCCACCGCGAAACCTGGCGCAGAGTCGAAAAAGGGCTTCCCAGTGGAAAAAACGCCGTGTGTACCCATGGAGAATCCACATTCCCTAGGCCTATGCGCTGAATCCATTGACTCCTACTATGGGTTTTGCTACAGTAATATGCTACAAATCCTGTTTGAGAGCCAGCTCTACGCTCAGATTTGTGTTCAGCAAAAACATATTACAGTGGACCCTCAAACAAATCTTTGGAAAGAATATACAAACAGGGATCCCGTAACTAGTGGATGGGGATTCCACTCAGTTCAGGCTAAGTCCATTAAACTCTAACCCCCCCATCAACAACCATCATCTCCAGCCTCTGTCCCTTATTTGCACCCAAAATTCTGCTTTAATCCCCCGACCTGCAACGATGAGATTTCTGAGGGACTTTTTGATCGCTGCACTACGGAAAAATCCATCATATGGATCTGTCTGAAAATAAGATGCTCCAAAATCCAGGGGGTTCTCACTATCTCACCAGCTATTAAAAAATGGGGTATGGTTCTCTATTAAAAAATGGGGTATGGCTTGGTGGTGTCAAGTATGGGTCTTCCCTTTCAACATTCAAATAGCCATAGCCATACCCCATTTTTTAGACGCACCCATACTTGACACCACCAAGCTATAAGCAGTTTTGCAATAGTCATACGCTGAGCAACGGAATGCCCGGAATGCCAATCTGGTGCAGCGGTTCCGAAGGCGGTGCTGGTTTCGCAGGTTCAAAGAGAATGTCATCGACCTCTCCCTGCCGCGTCAATGAGGAGCGATTTGTTCAGGGACCAAAATGGCATGGCTAAGCCCTGTTTTGCATGGCTAGCCCTTCATTTTGGTAGGATGTTTATACCATGTTTCGATGCCTAGCTTCTGGCAATTCAACATGACAAACACATCGCGCTGGTGATGTGTAAAACTGCCGACATCCAGCTTTGGAGTCAGGCCGATGCGGAAGATAAAACTTGCCACGATGGTAAATGATATTCCCATATATTCCCCCGGTTAGTCATGAATGTGCTGAAATAAATATTGTTTCACTCACCCAAGTACCCTCTGGAAATTTAACATAGCTATTGAAAATAACCATTTATAGTGGATTTTCCCATTGAAAATGGTGATTTTCCATAGTTATGTTAGTTTACCAGAGGGTAAGAATTTCCAACCAAATGGACATTCCAACCTCGGAACCTCACTAGTAGACCTAGAGAACGTGATTCAGCAGAAGTGAATCCCCTGAATCAATATCTAGGATCCTGACCTGGAAAATCGATGAAAATTGTCAAATCATCTAAATATATACATAGTAGCTATTATTAAATATGGTATCCAACTATTAGATTTAATGTGGATACTACCTGTGGTTTAAAGATGTACAAAGTATAGTATCCACATTTGGCAAATGCTGCTGGATGACACGAGTGAGGTGTCGATCTAAATTTAATGCCGGATTGTTTTGACCTGAACTCCATACTGTATCACTTGCTATAGTGTTGTGTTCACCTTATTCTTGTCCAGTTTCAGGACCAGGAAATATATTAGAGCACCCCATTGCATAGAAAATAACGTTCATTGATCTGTTTGGTCATTCAGATCATGATTTTCATTAGTTGGGTTATGTGTTCTTTCCACTGTGTTCACACATTCAATGATGTTCATCAATTAGTGTCAATCATTGTCAGTCATGCAATCATGCATTGATTGCATTCATGTCCTCTTTCACTTCATTTCACTATGTGCATTCAATACGTTCATTCGTTCATGCATTCATTCATTCAATCAATCAATCAATTCATTCATTCAATTCATTCATTGTCCATTGTTTTCATTTCATTCATGTCATTTGTCTGATTTATGTCGTGCATTGAAGTCATTAGTATCAAAAAAATCATTCATGCCTGTAATAGTCATCCATATTCTACCTGCTCATTTGATTTCAATAATCTTTAATAATCTTTGAACATCCCCATATGGCTCATAAAATCCCAAGTTTATACCAATTCCCCATCAGTCCTCATGTTTTTGCTATTTGAATGTGTCTTGGAACAGCATCATCTTTACATCAATATATCGACATAGCGAGGTCTTCATCCACTCCCCAAGCATCTCCAGCCTTTGGGGTGTGCTCTGGGCTGAGGCTATTGCCGCTTAGAAGACTGTTGCCACTGACTGCGACGCCAGAGTCATTGGGCTAAACAAAGGCTGAAACCACAATGATAAAAAAATGGGAAAACAATGAGTATGAATCAGTTAAACTGCTAAACATTAGTGACTTTACTTGAGACTTACTGGTTGTTTTATACATACGTACAATTATATTCCTTGTTACCTTGTTCTTCATAGTTGTTGATGTTGTCTAGTTGTTAACTCGGGCATGTTCGGACATGTGTTCGACCAATCTAAAGCATAAATCAATTGGGGTTCCACATCTCAAGTAGGGATGGAACAGGAAAAACATGAAACATATGCTGAAGTAGCAATCAGTTTTGACCTGCTTTGCCACATTCAGCTCTAACAAGTTCACATTATGCTGTCCCGATTTTGGAAGGTTTTATGACAACAATATTGGCGATGGGATGGTTACCATGTAATAATATTTCACGCACTATGTGTGGCTGGATTGACATCTTGACAGGTCTTGACATCCAATGACATCCATAACTAGCAACTATGCTCATGTGAACACTAGCGGCTACAAGAGTCTTGGCCCACAGCCATAATGTTCGTTGAAAGCCTCATCCCAAAGCAACATGCTCGCCTGCTCTGGCTCTGGAGCCGCTACCTGCACTTCGCTATATCCACAATAAAGGCCATCAAGGAATATTCGTCAACTATACCATAGCCGAGAATCGCCCATGTTTAAATTGTAGAAAGTAGTCTTCCAATCCAGACTTCGAAGGGTCTACGTTAGTTGGAGGGAAGGTTGTACCCCTCTTCAAACTAGGTTTGTCCTTTTTTTTCCCTTTGTACCTGACATTTTGCAAGCGACGAATGGATGTGCACTAAAATATGTGTGTCGATCCACTCAAAAGGGAAACAAGTCATTGGGCCGTTTGCGCTCAAATGAGTTGAGATCACCCCATTTGCCAACACATCCACGAATTTAGCACGGTACAGAAGTAGCAACATCATTTCATATATATATAATATCTATATCTATATATATATACTATATATAATATTATATAATATATATATATATAATATAATATAATATATATATAATATTATATAATATATCTTCATTCCATTCCCACACTTAAGTACTTGCAAATTGGATCAAAAAGATTCCAAAGTCAACTGGGTTTCTGTCATGGCGCCCGGCCTGGCTCAAATGGCCACTGGAATGCTCGGGCAGGTGGCGCCGGCGCCTTCACAATGGAAAATTTCCCCAACGAAATGGAGGTTTATAGCTGGGAAATGCTGGGAACATCTATAAATCCACCATAAATTTCTAGGTTTTGAATGGGAGAATCATCTAGAAAAATCGAGGACTCCCCACTGCCATGTACGATTCCGTATGATTGGAAAATCATCCAACTAAACAAACAATGGATCTTTAAATGGAGGATTATTAGATGGTATGATGATGATTATTATTGTTATTGTACTATCCAAGAATTCCAGGTTCACTGTCAAATTCAATGATCTGAACAAATATATAATGCTCAACTGACGCCGTGGTTTATGACTGGCTTATGCCTATTTCATCAAATAAACCAGTTCCCAACCATTTCGGGGGATGTCATGTTATAACAGCGGACAGTCGAAAATGGGTGGTAGATATTCGGCCAGCAACTACACTCCTGAACATCATCACATCCATCATCACAATCTAGGTGATCTGTTGGTTGATCTATATAATCAGGTGGCTATAATGATGGTGGTTGGCATACCTGAAAACGGTTCCAAGTCTAACAGCAGGATCAAGAAAAATCTCACTTCATCTCCACAGTCGTGTCATCTTCCCATGTCCCTCCGCCTGCGAGGCTTTGAGGCTGTTTTCCCTCTCTTCCGTTTCTTTAACTCCCTCCAATGCACTCATGTAGTTCTTCACCGACAGCCTGGGTGTCAACATCTGTCAAAAACTTGGGTCGGAGCCAGTCTCCCCACGGATGGACACATTGACCAATCATAGTTCAAACAAGGATTTATAGAACCATTCTTTGGGCTCAAGCATATCGTTATACTATGTTATACTATGTTGTGCTATGTTATACTATGTTATACTATGTTATACTCTCCCGGATGTTTCCGGAAACCTAGATCACGTGTGCTAAAATATACACACACTGTAGAAAACACAATCCTATGGTTGCCTTCGCGACGAGATTTTGGAGTCCACAACCTTCAACCCATACCCATGTACAGAAACGTATTTTAATGTTGATCGATTTCCTCTGGCAAATCGTAATCATAATCCCCCTCTTTGTAGTTTATGTAGCTGTTCCAAATCAATGTTCAATGCCATGTTTGATTGCCAGGTGATTATCGCAGACTTTGGATCAAATTATATCAAATTCATCAACTCGCCAAAACCATGGTCACCTCCAAAACAGGTCAACTTGGGGACCCAGAAATTGGGTGCTTGATGACGACACTCCTATATCCTCCCATGTATCGTGTATGTTACCCTCTGGTAAACTGTCACATAACGGAAAATCACCATTTTTCATGGGAAAACTCACTATTTCTATGGCCATTTTCAATAGCTATGTTAGTCATAACCAGAGGGTAAATCTCCAGCATTTCGGCCCCAACAAAAAGCCCCAACCGGTAGCCCATTCTTGAGGACTCCCGGCTTCTCTGCCGCAGAGACGGAGCGGAGATTTGCCTCGGGTCGATGTCTCTTGAGGTCCTGGTCAGGTTGGTCATTGAGGATCATCATCCCAAAAATGGTTGAATATCAGGGTATATAAGGGTAGTGAATTACAATAATATACTGTGTATATATATATATATATATATATCGTAACAATAATAATAACTATTATTATGAAACTTGCACTTTAATTAATACTATAATATAATATATCATATACATAATGAAAATGATAATGATAGTAAAGCAGAATCCACCAATATCCACCAGTAGCCATTTATGTAATAAATGATGTTTAATGCAATCAACCATCCCCAATTGGGGTGTTAAATTGTGCATACCCTACTTGGGATGATTTTTTAAACGACCTCCAAATGGCTGGTTTTATTTTTGGGTTTAACACAATACTATTAATACACATGACGCCGTAGAAAGGGGCTGGGGAAGGTGAAACATAAAGGCAACCATAAAGTTCGTATGGCTGTGTATTTGTGTTTCACTCTCTGATGTCTTGATGATTTGATGTGGCAACTGACATCCCAATCTACCCCGCTCCATAGGTCCATGCGAAGCAAGGCGACAGCGGTCATCAAGAACCAAGGTTCGAAGGGAGGAAATCCCAGTGCCGACATGCTTACAGGGAACTACACTGTACAAATCTGTACAGCTGATGCCATCCCTGTAGATTTAGGCTTATAAATTTGGGATCTCACACATGATTTAAGTATATATAAGTGGGATCCCCCAAACCCTCTGAGTTTTCCTGTTGTAATCGACCATTTTTTGTAGATTTCGGGGGTTGATGATGGCTTCACATTTCCATTGAGGTGGCTGGTCGGATGTGGCTCTAGACCTGCGGATTAAACAATCATCAGAAGAACGTGGAACAACCTGGACCTTCAGAAATTGTGACCAAGCATAGTATCCCACAAATAAAACCATGTTTTAGAGAACAACCAATGCATAGCATAAGAAGTCATCGACCTAGCTGACGAATGTCCCAGGAATCTCATCCTGAGCCCATCCCCATCCCCCGGTCCAGGTTTGAGCTCAGAACACCTCAGTTGGTAGCTCATGACAAAAATTATCATCCTCAAAATAACCAGTCGGAAATCCTGGTAAACAGATGTGCTAAAACTGAAAACACATGAAACAAAAAATCGTTGGCACTTGCGCCGCCAAGCCTGAAATGTGTTTTGAGACAGACAACGAATCATCCCAAATCGATCCAAATCGGAGGAGAACATGGGGGACCTATATGCAAAACTGTTTGAACTTGGAGTAGAAACCACAAAGCTGCAAAGCTCCACACCTCTCCCGAAAGTGACAAAACATCAAACTGGACCCATCACCATCTACTTGGTGCCCTCTTGTACTTTACCCTAGCGATAGAAAATACAGTAGATGAAAAGTGGAAATGGCCCATTTAGTTCGCTGATTTACCTAGCTATGTTAAATTACCAGAAGGTAGTTAATGGTACTTCTGTGATTGACATCCTGACATTCCCGTTCAATAGTTCACTGAGCATGTTTCAAACCTGTTGGAGCAAGTTGGAACTCTTGTGATCAATGCTGGAAACCAGTCAGTCATGTCATGTCTGAGCCCGCCATAGCATCTTCCACCACTGGACCGCCAAGTGACGTTGTCTGCCTTCATTGTCAGGAGAATCTAAGAGATGACCTGATTGCGATTGAGCCTGGTGGAGACTGTAATCAACCATAGCTTGCTGGAAAATGACCCATCTATAGAGGATTTTTGCCAGCTGTACACGTTTGATGACTGGAGAGTAATCATCTGTTCAGAATGCGACCAACCTGTACTCAACAAGCCAGCTTCCCTCTTATTTATGATTCTTGCGGTTTGCTGTGCCCCCTGGCTGAGATACTGCACAAGTCCTTCTCTACCATGTCTACTATATAATGCCAAACTTCCTCATACTTCAAGGTGTATACATGGTATTATCGGTATTCCTGTCTTAGTGAAGAGCAAACGTTCTTACCCAAAGTGCCTACAGCCCGCCGGAAGCATCCAAAAGTTTTTCCAGATAATCAAGAGGTGTCGCTGTCCGAATCGGAACCACTGTAAAAGGACTTATTGACGTCGCTGTCCGAATCGGAATCACGCCATGAGGACTGGTGGGACGGCTTTGTCAGCTTGTGGCTGAAGGGATCAAAGTTTGTCTCCTCTTGAGTGCGGCCAATGCAAAACTCCGTATGGCGAAGATGCACAGAGTGGCCATTGCACTGGGTGGAATATCGTGAATAGAAGCTATCCATCTTCTGTACAAACTCCACTGGAACTCGCAAATCTGAATTTACATACATCTCCAGCAAGCGAAAAACCGCCAGCCGCCTGTTGTTGATGGTTACATAGGAGCCTTGGTGCTGCACAACTTTCATGATCGGAAGATCCTCTGGGTCCAGATGACCCCTGTGCAAAGATAAAAAGGTATCCTTGATGCTGTGTTTTCCATTTGAGAATACAGGGCCGATATCGTTGTGGGGGAACATGATTTGCGAAGGTGCTAAGTACAAACAGCGAGATATTTGGGAGTCAAAATATTCGCTAACCTCCCAGAAGGCCCTACCATCATTTAGTTGCAGAAAATAGGATTCATCTTCCGCAGACAGGAACACCCGGTGGATACCTGTTTCCTGCTGGATCAGTTCACTCAATGTGGGGTGTAGACCATCCCAATAGTAGGCACCGTCACCAAACAGGAGAAAGTATGACCCATCCGTCCCGAGCGCCATCCATTCAACAGCAGCGCATTTCCTGGTCTTGATCAGCTGTTCTGCCCGCTTGGGAATGCCTGACCAATGAAGTGATTGTTCGCCCATCAAAAAGTAGGAGCCTTCTGGACCCAAGGACAAGCATGAGATCGTGCCGGCATTGGTCATCACTTCCGTGGAAAGATTATCACAAACAAATTGCCAACCACCTCCTTCATAGCACACAGCGTAACGATTGCCGGCAAAAGAAATACAGGAAATGCCTCTGTTCGTTTGGCCGCTGTTGTTGTACCTTCCGTTCAACAAACCATACAGCTTTGTGTCAAGTCCACCTGACCAGCTGACGTCGCCGTCAGGCCAAGATAAGACAAAAGTTTCCTGTCCTCCCAGTGCCACATACTTTGGCAGCACAGCCATGGGCACTGTGCCAGCAGTATCTAAAAAATCATTCCTCCGGTCTTCTGGGAGCCTGATTCAGCTGTCTGTTGCAAACATGTCCAGAAGTGGTGTCAACATGTTTCAACCCAGGAGATCGGAACGCTCCACCAAAGTTCGTTTAAACGGACCAGTGCATAACATTGCATAACTACTCGGCAATGGCATCCCATGTCTGAATCCCCATCCCCAAACTCCATTGATTTCCATATCAGTTCACTTTCAATTCTCTTCAGGTCTTCCCAAACTTCAGCTGCTTAGAACGGTTGGAAAGTGGATGTTCATCCCCCCAGCGGGTCCAACAGGTTCTGAGCACCCCAGCCGAGTCCAAAGTCCTGATGAGGGTGATCCGGGTTACTACTTGAAACAAGCAATAATAACACCAACCAGATGAGACAATATAGAATAAACCGCTAAATTACGGATTAATGACTTGTTGTTTTTCCAATTTAGGTGCACACCAGTGATGTGGATTTCAGATACTGTATACAATGCCATCAACTAGCTCTTTAAAGCGAAACTATCATTCAAGCCTGTGAGTGGTTGTCAAATTATCGCAAACAGAAAGAACACAGCGGGACACAGCATATTTCAGCAATCCAAACATTACTGTAGAATTCCATCAAACAATGCGTATATACTATACACAACATATGGTCATGGGGGGCACTGAGCATAGATGTATATAGATGGCACTTACCTTTTTGAATATATAATAGGAACATGGTGAATCACAATCAAAACTTGGTGCACCATATATTCAGATCAATCATCAATCTGTATCATATTGTCCCATCATATCCCCAATAAATCATAACTATCCCATTTAGTTTATGTCCCATCCTCTCAAAAACTCGAACTAACCACTATACAAATGGGTCTCACTCTATCTATTTATCATCATTTACAGTATTATAATTATATCACACACACATATATATTTATAATATTATATATAACGTTATACAATGTATCGAGTGTACATATCATCATCACAAGAAAGGTGGGATATATCATCACATATATCACCATACACCATACACTATTTAGATATCTATATCAATATCAACACAGTATCTATATCTACCTGGAAAACTATAATAATGTTTTTTGTCGAACGGCCTTGACCATTTCTTTTGTCATTACGGCTTTGATCGTCTGGAGCCACTTGCGTGAGAGTTGCTATGTTTTTTTACTGTTTGTTCAACAGCATGTCGAAAAAATACGGTTTTGCCACGGGTAGGACTGCTATGTTCCTTTGATTTGACAATAGTTTTTTTTTTTAAAAAAATAGATTTTACAAAAAAAAAAACGATCGTTGTGTGTATTTTTTCCATAATCACAAGAACATGTTGTGTTTCTTCGGCTTTCCAGGAATATATATATATTATAATTATATATATATATATATACATCATCCCACATATCATCATACACCATCTATCTATCTATCTATGTATCTATCTAACCTGGTTGGTGGTTTCAACCCCTCTGAAACATATTAGTCACTTGGGATGATTATTCCCAACATATGGAAACAAAAAGTTCCAAACCACCAACCAGTAACTATCTATCTATCTATCTAATCTAATCAAATCTAATCAAATCAAAATCTTATCTATCTATATAATATCAATATATATATATATATATACCTACTATAAATAGGATATCATCCCAACTCCTCCGTCGCTCCTCGGAATCCACTTCGCTTTGCCCGAAGAGGACCGTGGAGGCCGAGAGACCCGACTGCATCGATAAGGTCTGACCTCGGCCGACGTATTTTTGCTCCCGGTGATGTTGAAAAACCCTGGGTTTTGAATGGTTTAAACATGTTTAAACGAACCAAAAACAGGGATTTGACCTTGGTTTTCTGCAATATTTAGATATTTACAATGGCTTAACATGGTTTCTTTACGAAACTGCCTGATACGGAGATAGATTATAAATACCAAAGTAACTTTTTTGTGAGTCGTTTTTTGTTTGAGCTGTGACATGAGGAACAACCCTTTCAAGAATCCATTCAAGAAACCATTCAGTCTTGGTGAATGACCCAGCAACACACATACATTCCATTGGGGTACGGAAGAGGAGGTAAGCGACACCACCACTTACACAACTTCACCAACTTTGCTTAAAAGAGGTATATAAGCTGGGCATCAAAGCTGGTGGTTGCTGCATATGTTGGCATAGCAAGCAAATCTATACTGTGATGCAGTGTAGTTGCTTTGTGCTGTACCAGTTCTGGGAACATGGCCTATTTATAGATCTGGGTAAATTATAATATTTCACTAACCTGAATCTTGCGGCCATAAAAGGGGATGATTTCCGTTATTAACCATCATTTCCAGTGAGGGAGAACAGTGAGGTCGTTATAATTTACCCAGATATAATCATCATTAACCATTAATAAGCACTATTAATCATCATTAACCAACATTAACCATTAATAACCATTAATTACCCATTAATTTCCCATAGTTGTCCCTGCCGAGAACTGAGGTCACCAGTATTGTTGGCCTCAGATACACAGGAACTTTTTTCAAGGAAGATCTTTCTGGCGGTGGGAAGTAGGTCGTATAAGTGGGTGCATCAACAAAAAGTAAACATTATATATATATATATATGTATATGTATATGTATATATAGGCTTGTCCAGGCTTCTGGAACTGCGTAAACCTGAATACGATTGGGGGGTGGGGTGGGATGTTAACGTTCATGTGAACTTGCGGCAGCAGTTGATGCTACGCACACGCGGGGTGGGTCGTTCATGTGCGGCAGCAGTTGATGCTACGCACACGCGGGGTGGGGTGGGGGGTGGGGTGGGATGTTAACGTTCATGTGAACTTGCGGCAGCAGTTGATGCTACGCACACGCGGGGTGGGGTGGGATGTTAACGTTCATGTGAACTTGCGGCAGCAGATGATGATGATGATGATGACGATGATGATGATGATGATGATGATGACCCAAATGAAACTTGTTAATTCCGCGACGAAATTTCGTCACGGAATGGACAAGTTTTACCAACCTAATTCAGGTTTACGCAGTTCCAGAAGCCTGGACGAGGCTATATATACACACATATATACATGTGTCTATAATATATGCATGTGTATTTTATATACATCTAATAATTTTGTACATTATGCATATAAATAAACATAGATATGTAGATATATTGGGAAAATATGAAAAACTCTGGATATATATATATGTATATATGTACATCTACTGTATCATAATGGTTGGAAGTTCTGCAAGTATATCAATCAAAGACTGTACCGAGGAACATTGATCTCCAGTCGGCTCATTTACGCGCGTTAATTTGCAACCCGTGTCGCTGGTGGATGCAGTAAAGCTGCTTTAAAAAAATGGAATCCTGAACTTGTCGGACACACTGGTACTGGTACTTAAGTCTTACTTTCTCGATAGATAATGATTGATCATCAGGCATCTGTCTCTGATTCAACAAACATCAATCATTGAAAATTGAAAATGGAAAATTTCATTTTATCTTGTAATCGTCGGAGCCATGACAAATACCCTTAATTATGTATATATATATATACATACAATCTCAGAATCCTGGTTGGTTGGTACAACAGGGTATAACAAGAGTGTTTTATGATCATGTTTAATGACAATTCACTCCCCTCACGGGAACCCGCTCTCTATAATGATCCCCACTAACCCAGACAGTCTAACCCCTCATATCAAGCCATGAACAGAGATGTTCTCAACCGACTTGACCTATGAAGATCATGATGTTCAATACCCTAAGTGTGGGTAAATCATATTCAAAACTGGGTTTCAAGATTGCTATTGAACAACTTAGGCATCCATCTTCAGCAAGGGATGCCTAAGATTCTTTCACCACAACCTAACCCAGTGCCAGTCTGTTTCACTACATGTAGTGCAAAAAGCTTCATCTGGGAGGCACCGACACCGACACAACAACAGGCTGTGCAGCTAGGCAGATTCATCTATACATTGCTATTCATCAATCCACCTAGCAACACAATTATAACATATTATATAGATGATTATATAACCAATTGACTACAGTAAATAGTAATTTAATACCACGGATTCTGGGATCTCATCTCTACTTGTCCATTCAGGTTCCTCTTAGCCACCATGGTGAATCTCTGAGTTTTTGGAACGTCTTGTCACACGTTGCTTACGATCCCCATGAAATATCCCCATTGATATAGCGCTATTGGGAAATCATCATTTTCGGTGGTGAAATCGTCCCGATTTCCGGATGTGTGTTGCTGAAAAAAAATCATGCAACAAAACCGGCCAAAGAAAAGCGCAAAAAAACAGTGGTGAAAAATGTCCCATGAACATCTAGTAATCATATCCCATCAACTTTCACCACTATCCTCATAAAAAATGCTATGTCAATGAGATATGAAAATGATTCATATTTGTGTCCATCATGTTAAAAACCAGTAAGTTTCTCTGGTAATTTAACAGTATTTAACCGTTTGCCATGGAACATGGCCCATTTACTTCGATGATTTACCTATGAAAAGATGGCAAAGCGCCTCTAATCCTTTCGTGCCAAGGTGCCGCACTGGAGCCAAAGCTGGGCGTACTGCTGTCGCCCAGGGGCGTTTGGGGAATCGCACCCAACAACTTCTCCACTTTCTGCATGGAGAAGGGACCAGACCTGAAATCGTCAGGTGATGTGTATATATATATATGTGAAATGTGTATATATATATAATTATATATATGATATTATATCATATTAGATTATATTATATCATATTATTTTACATATAAAATTAAAAGATATGATATTATATGACACTAGATGACATTATATGATGGTATATAATATTGTATGATATTGTATGATATTATACTGAACTATATGGGACTATATGGAACTACATGACAATTTTATATAATGTAGTCATATGATATTAAATTATATCATGTTAAACTAAATGTAAATAATTATGTAGTATTGGATGTTGTCAATCAATATTTTTCAATTCATATCAAAATATATCATCATATGTCATATCATATCATATCATCTGATATTATACTATATAATACTATTAATATTATATTATTATTATTATATTATCATTATTATTATACGATTATATATGGATGTATGGGTGAGTGTATAGGCTATAAATTATGTGTATAAAACATGGGTTTGATGGTTTGCCATGGTTTGCCTATATAATATACACTGATACGTAATTCTAACATATCCTAACACACCCATGGAAAGTCTTGTCATGTCTTGTCCATTGCAGAGCCATTTTCCTTCCCAAATCTGTCACTGCCTCCGCAGTAAAAGTGGTGGATTTGGAACTTTTACACACTCTTTGACCACAACAATTATAACTGCTATCCTCATCTTTGCTACGCTTATATACACTTACTATTCCTATCTATTCCTTTGGTTTTCAGCTCGCATATGCGCTTTTTCAAACAATTGGGCACCCTGGGAACACGGATGCATAATGATATATCTTAGCAGCGCAAACCCATGGCTGGGGGGGTTCTGTATTGGAAATGCTGTGACAGCTTGTAGTGCAGTAGTGAACGTATGGGCCCAGTGCCAAAATATAGAGTAATAGCAAAACAGCAGTGCTGGTTGTCACTGCTAATGCAGGGATGTGCAGGATGTGCTGTACCCCTGGGCATTTCCAGCAATGTGCATCCAAAATACTCGACCAAGGCATTCAAGCGCTTTGCCAGCTTACTACTCCGTGAGCCTGAAGCGAGGACCGAGGAGTTCTTGGAAACGGAAATGGCACGCCTGAAGGTTCTGTTTGGGGGGGGTTCAATTTGGTTCTGTTTTGGTTGTTTCTTACGCTCAAAAACTGCATCTCCAAATATCTCCAAATCATGTCCTATGAATCTGCTGTATCCTTTAGCATCATGATGCCATAACCATCCATGAATGGCTGGAATGGAGGCTCATTCGATGTCATTCAGAGTGCATTCGCTCGGATAGGGGGCTTAGCAGCTGGTTTCACCAAAAGACAAACCGCAGCCTTGTGGCAACACCTACCTTTTCCATCCTTTTCCAAGCCATCTCAAGGTCCCCAGGATAAATGCCAGACAGCCCTGAAGCTGGGAGGTGGTAACACCTCCTATTTGAACAGCTGATAAACAGCGGGGATCGCCTCACCAAAGGTGAGACTGGTCTAAAGAGAATCTTCAAAACCATGCCATCGAACGCATCCTTTTCCAAGTGAAATTCACCAATACATTATTAACATATAACACACATAATCAAACTGGTACAGTAAATGGACAAATCAATTTGCTATGCATAGACTATGGGGGCTACAAAGTAATTACACCATCTATCTTTAAACTCTGCCAAGCAGCTCTTTTTGGAGCGCGTGGCCACGTTCATGGTCTCACAGTTCCATCCCGTCATGGCCTGCGGCAGTGAGTCGCAATGGAAAATCCATCAAATACATTTAAATACCTAGTCTGATGCAACATATTATAAAAATATGGTATGTATAGCGTAATTTGAATTAATTTATCAGCATCCTGCAACAAAAAAACATGCTGAAGCACTTTGAAGGTCTTTAACCCAATAGCCTTGCCCTTTCCCACGTTGGAAACAACCCTGCGCTCAGCCATTTGGTTTCTAGTTTCATCTCAGCTGCTGTGCATTCTCCCACCACAAGTGATTTATACTAACAAAAAAAACACTGGAGCCGAAAACTTTCTTCCTGCTGATCACCTGCTTTCTGAAATCACGCTGATCTAGTGGGATTTACCCTCTGGTAAACTAACATAACTATGGAAGATCACCATTTTCAATGGGTAAATCCACTATATAAATGGGCCATTTTCAATAGCTATGTTAGTTTACCAGAGGGTATATCTCCACTATAAATCACCATTCAATCCCCGGTGAAGGAATGGGACTACGGCCGCATGCGGCCGCCTTCTGCGTGAGCTGCGGCACTTCCGCCTCGCCAGAAGCGACGGGCATCGCCTCGGTGGATCATCAAGCAGTGGATTTCCAATGCAACTGGTGTCATTCCCCACCTGGCAGGTGAGGGTTGTTAGATTTTATGTCAGTTGCCTCCTCCTCCTCCTCCGCCTCCTCCTGCCTCGTCCTCCTCTCCTCCTCGTCCTCCTCGTCCTCCTTGTCATCCTTGTCGTCCTTGTCGTCCTCGTCGTCCTCGTCGTCCTCGTCGTCAACTGCGACCCGCGATCCACAGTGTTCTCTGCCGGACCTCAACCACGACCATCCACGCCCAGTGTTCCCTGCCGGACCTCAACCACGACCAGCCACGCCCAGTGTTCCCTGCCGGACCTCAACCACGACCAGCCACGCCCAGTGTTCCCTGCCGGACCTCAACCGCGAGTATCCACGCCAAGTGTTCCCTGCCGGACCTCATGTAGGAAGATATGGGACAAAGAATGTGCAGAAGAGAGATGTCAGAAGAATAGAAGATATGCCAGAAGATATGCCAGATAGAATGCCAGATAGAATGCCAGATAGAATGCCAGAAGATATGTCAGAATATATGCCAGAAGATATGCCAGATAGAATGCCAGATAGAATAGAATGCCAGAAGATATGTCAGATAGAATGCCAGAAGATATGCCAGATAGAATGCCAGAAGATTTGCCAGATAGAATGCCAGAAGATATGCCAGATAGAATGTCCAGAAGATATGCCAGATAGAATGCCAGAAGAATATGTCCAGATAGAATGCCAGAAGATATGCCAAATAGAATGTCAGAAGATATGTCAGATAGAATGCCAGAAGATGTGCCAGTAAGAACATGTATAAATGTCATGGTGGGGATCACACGAAGTAAAGTATTTTTTTTTATGAAAGGACACTGGTTGATGACCATCTATAGAACATTGGAAATCCACTGGTTGATGACCATCCATTGGAAAACCATGTTGAAGAAAACTGACCATCTATAGATGTTCTTGAACACAGATTCTGAACAACTGGATTTCAGTTGCCTGAAAATCGAAGAACATGGTTTCGGCAGCCCGACCATTTTGATGACTTCAAACTTCATACCAAACGTGACCGACCTTGCGGGTCAATAATCCTGGATGTTCGTGGATTGCACGTCAGCATGTGTGAGCTTGACTTCTGCGCTCACATTGGCTCATGAGTTTCTCAACACATTTAAAATATGTATATATATATTATACGTATATAAAATCAGACAGACAAATAAGAAAAACACACTTATCATATGTTCCAACTTCTCCCCACACTGAGCTGGATCAATCACTGGGATTCACTGGCTGAAAAACTGAAAACTTCGGCCCTTTTCCGAAGCAGCCAAGGTACCCATTTATCCTGTGCCAAAGCCTGAAAAGCTTCCAGCTCCTGGTGACTGGCTGTGAGATGCTGTGAGTATCACCTAAGATGACACACCCCGAAAGGTCACTTTACATAAAGACACTTAAATAAAGGAGATAACATTGCAATGCCAGGTACCTAGGTGTAAGATCTGTATTTATTATACTTATTCTGTATATGTATTAATATGTGTGTATATTGTTATATTGACCACTTGCCACCATTTGCCCTGCAGCTTACAACTACGCCACGGTTTGTCACCATTAGTCCAATAATATTCTTTCCAATCCTCAAATTCCTGCGCAAACATTGTTTGCTTGTGAGCTTCTGAAACAAGAACCTAAAACCCTAAACAAAAACCAAACTAACCCTGAAGTTTTGCTACTTCTCTGAAGCATGTTGACCCTCTGCAAAAATCCCCAATTGTACTGTGGGCCAAGTGTTGGGAAGCTCTACAAGACCCCAAGATCATGATAAAGATAATGCTGGAAAAACAACATTTTCTCCTTAGTCTGATGCGCCGGCACTCTACCTGACACATTTGATAGATGCTAATTAGTGGTAATTAACATTAATTAACATTAATGGTGATCGATCATTGCTTAGTGGTAATTAACATTAATTAACATTAATTGACCGAAACTAATGGTACTCAATGGTAATGAGCAATGTACAAATCCAAGATTTGTCTTGCGGCAAGACACAGGGATATCTTAGGATCATAATCGACTCAACTCCATTGGCGGTATATGCAACCAATATTACGTGTGGGTACTTGTGGTATAGTATAGGGGGGATATACACTGGTATATAATGCGATATAATTATGATATGTTTGGGATGTAATGGGATGTAATTGTGGGTCAAATTGGGTCACAATTGCTTGCTAGTTAGTTGCTAATAGTAAAATCAACCCATTGTTCTCACAACTCGTGCAACTTGGCCCCAGCCACCGCTCCTCAAGTCCTTCCTCCACGCTTTGCAGCCGATCCTGTGTAGGAAGATCTTCTCAGAGCAAATTGTGAAGGCCTTTGTGGTAAGACTACGTTGATCAACGTGTTCATATCATTTACAACTTAAAAGTGCACGCACATGTGTTTCTCACAATGTATGCATAGATCTGTGTATTTTATATATGTTTTCCCCCCAGTGAAGGGGAGAGACACGGAATTGCTGGCTACTAATCTGTGCAAGGCAGTCTGACCCACATGCAAGAACTGACGCATGCATCTGTTTCCATGCCTAGATGATAATTGAGGGTTCATTGATCATCATGTGGATTCGTCAACGTATTGATGAATTGATAGATAATGAAAGATGTCTTAGGTCCTCAATAGTAGTTATCATATCATCACATATAATTTCATATCATATCAATATATTCAATAAATATATATATATATACATACAGTAATTATATATAAATATCAATATTGCATTAGGCATCTTACAATTAGACATCTTATGCTTGTTGTGGTACGGCTGTGTTCAGCCAGCGTCCTGAAAGTGGCTGAAGTCTTTACCTGAGGGTGACACATGGTGACGATGGTGAAATGTCCCCCAACATCACACACCCAGTGGGTTAACACTACCATTGGGACATGTTCTGATTCCGAACCCCATGCTTATAAATCAAATATCAGCAGTGAACCGGAGAATTTAGACGTTAAATAGACAACGTAAATTGCCAATCCCAGGAACTCAGTAGAACTTCATCGATATGCATATGCATATGTATATATGTATATATGCACCATATAAATATATATATATATTATAATATATATATAATTAATTATAATATAGGTATATCCACATATATATATATATAATATGATATATACATATATATATATATATATATATGTAATATGATATATATATATATGTAATATGATATATATATATATGTATGTTTCAACAAGTGTGATTTATACTTAAAAAAGCAAGCTTTCAGTGGACCCAAGCCTTGAACTCAAAAAAACAGGTACCGAGGAGGGTTTTTAGCGTGATCCATGTAGATCAAGAGAATGTTTGGATGCATTTAACCGAAAACAACAATAATCCACAGTACTACTGGGATATAGTTTTATAGACTGTAATCACAATCCACTTCAATGGTATGTCAATGTATTTTGGGAACTATCTTTGTTTGGTATTTGTCACATGAAATACCTTCGAAGCTGTCTCAAACAGATCCACCTCCTTGGTATGGTCTTGACCCTGGCCAGGACAAAGGACATGGTGCACATTGACCATCAAAACAGTGATTAAGCTGTGTCAACAACATGTACCGTGTATGTATGTGTATGTAATTAACGCACTTTACCCCCTTACAGTAAAAGGAATACATTTTAATACATTTGTATATATGTTCATATGCATATGTTTGTATCAGAGAAAAAATATGGAAAAGTGATGATCAATGAATTTCATTGGTAAACCATGATAAACCATGATAAACCATGATATACCATGATATACCATGATAAACCATGATAAACCATGATAAACCATGATAAACCATAGACATTTGGTGGTGTTCCCTTTAACTCTAAAGGACAACCCCACCAAATGCTCAGCTCCAACGCCCTGCGAACCAAGTGCCATCGACCATGCCTTCGTCCTGGCCATGGTATCGCTCCATTCATCCGATCATCTTTTCTCTCACTAAAAAAGTCACCAGTGTTTGGGGTTTAACTCATTTTGGGGGGTGGTTTCACCGTTTTTGAGTGTTTTTTTTTAAGATATTAACCTCATTTTTAGTGATTGACCCATGGTTGGGATAACTAACCCACTGGCTATTTGATGGCCATATGCGCCGGCGCGCACCTGCGAAGTGAGCGGAAGAACCGAAGCCATCGCCTTCAAAAAAAAAGGACTGGCCTTCTGGAAGAATATCTGAAAACAAATGAATATGCACATATAATCACATATATATATACATATGTACATGTATAATGTACATGTATGTACAATCACATATATATATATATATACACTTACGTCTCTATGTACATACTTTTGCACATATTACAGTATATGTATTGTATTGTACACACTATTACATTATTACACACTGTATTGCTATGTATTATACACTCACTCATAATTCATCCCAGGCCTTGGTGCTGCTCGGCGTGGGAGGTGGTCGTGGATCGTGTTGAATACTTCCACCGCCCAAAATCATGGCGCCATAGTCTACCTTCCATGGACGTGTATGGCTGGATTTGGGAAAATTGATGCTTGAAAGTTACTTGAAAGCCATGTTTTTTTTTTTCCAAACTTACCGTCATGTCATGCAATTTCTACTATTTCTATTGGGTTACTGCTTCCGGTAGTGTTTGTTTCAATTTCCAATCATCCAATGCTGGGAGAAATGACTCCCGATGTCATTGGGCTATGAACTGGAGTGGACATTAGATCAAAATGCTATAGGGGATATATGATGGGATAATACAATGATGAATATATGATCGGGTTGTACAGTTGTACTGGTTGATATAGTACTAGTTTCCAATATTATTGCTGATATATCGTTTAAAGCTTGTGGTCTTGTCTGGTTAACTGAATGGAGAACATGATGTTCAATTCTAAATTATGGACTTTGGTGTACCTTGATTCCAGACAAACCAAATGATGGGTTATAAACTACCGTACTGTAATAGAGGTCTATTCCAGGATCATGTCAATGTTGATCCACCATCTGGACAGGCATGTCAGGTTCATGACGATTGTCATTACTGGGGATATCCAAGCAGCAACATTAAGCAAAACATACATTACCAAAACACATTACAGAATTATACATATTAAGATGATTGTCTCCTAATTGTATATTTTATAAATTTACAGTGTAGCAAATAATTGAAAAAGGTGACAATCATGCAATACCAACTCGTATAAACAATCATATATTATTATACACATCATTATCAGTGCGGATTTATTCCACTGGTGATTGGATGTCGCACATTTCAAAAGGATCCAAGGTCCTAGGAATCGACATCAAAAACGGCACAACCTGTGGTAACTTTCACTTATATGATTTATATGGATTTATATGGGGGTTTCCTAAGTCATGGGGGGACCCTGGGGCGGGCACCTTCTCCACCATGACATCCTGCTGATCCTTGGAACATCTTGGGCCATGGCCATGGGTCCCGGGGGATGTGTTGATCACTATGAAAATGGGGGCATGGGAAAATCATCGTAACATATCGTAACCCATAGGATCCATGTATATTGCTATATATGGTAACATGGATCCCATCAATATACCCCCTTTATGTTAGCATATATACCAGCACCATGGATCCTATGGGTAATGGTTTGTTCCTGGCACAATATCACCCTTTTCACTGGGTCAGCTTAAGGGGGAAAAAATGGAAAACACATGCAGGAAGCCTCGATTGGGTTTCTGATGAATCCTGTAAACAAATACTTCATCATCCCAAGTGATGCTTACATATCGTCAGAGTGAAATGCCAGGAAGCATCTGGGGACCGGCTGTATACCCGTGGATCCTGCACACCCAACTAGAAAATGACGACCTTCCTGAGATCCCTCGCTGGCATGATGCCCATCACTGAGCCAATGCAATCCCCGTGGGTGATGATCAGGAAATTTCGCCTCGGGACGAGGCAAAATCATAAATGGGTGGCATAAACCATCCCCAAATGCTAGGTTTATAATGGTTTATAGTGGTTTATAGCGACTATATTATGGTTTCTTATAGTTTATTAATGTTTATTACAGTATTGTGGTATTGTGATAAACCATGATAAACCCAATATTGGGTTTACCACATTACCCAGAAAGGTTTATTTGGCCCTGCAAGGATATTATATATATTATATATATGATATTATATGATATTATATGATATTACATGATATTATATGATATTATATGATATTATATGATATTATGTAATTACACCCATCGGATACCCAGAAGTCGTACAAGTATTGCTGAGTTCTGGGGGATCACCCGCCGACAATTGGGCCATCTAGATATGAACCATGAAGCCACACGTCCAGCCCAGTTCTTTGACACAAATCAATAGTCCTGAAGCATCGAACAACTTTATTGTTGGATGATATATATATATATGGCATTTTTTGGACATTAATCATTTTAGTGGACAGGATCTATCCTCATGAAATCATACTTTGCCTTGAACTGCTGGTACCACCATGTGGCTTTGTCCGACACATCCGACACATCTGGCGGTCAATGCACTGGAGCAACCAACAACAGACTTCCATTATTGTCATTCCCTGGAATCATCTATCATCATATATCATGATTCATCAATAATCATCAATAATCATCAATATTCATCATATCCAACTTTTTTCAGGTCAAACGCTGTTTTGACTCTTTCTATGATGTAATCTCCCCACCCTCATCATCTCAATCATCTCGATCCACTTGTTCCTTCCTCACCCCACCCCATCTGCGCACACCACCTTTGGAATTGGTCGTGTGAGTCGGTGGGTGGGGTCACTTTGACAAAATACCTATATAGACTTGGGTCCATGATCAGCCCTGAGCTGCGGATTCCTGAAATGATTTAAATTGTCCGTTTCTCTTCATCTCACGCTATTCTCAGTCAAGTGCTTTTCCAGAATCTCCCAGTTTCAAGGATCTATAGTCTATAGTAGATTCAACTCATCTAACATCACCTCGTTGTTGGACCCCCTGAATTTTTGGGACTTCATATCGTTTTAGGACTCCCCCATCCCCAAGGCATCGGCAAGGCATCCCCAAGGCATCGGCACCGCGGTCCCAGGCACTTGGCAACGATGCCCCGTTGCAGGTACTGCAAGAATCGCAACGCGAATCGACGACGCGCGTCTTGCAGAGTCTCCGGCCAGGCCTTGATTCTGCGACCCCCGGGGATCCTGGGTAAACTAACATAAGTATGGAAAATCACCATTTTTAATGGGAAAACACACTATAAATGGCCATTTTCAATAGCTATGTTGGTTTACCAGAGGGTAAAATCCATGAAAAAAAAAGATTGAATTTGGTAAGATCCAATAGTAAAATGCTGATGAAATTGATGGATTAGATTTGTCCCTATCGTTTTTGGGTGTTAGTTCATATATAAGTGGAATCTGGTAATATCAAATTACATCAAAATATCCCATTGAAACTGGGTTGATGCAAGTGGCTGATAGAGGTGCCCAGTTGCAACGGTGTAGCCGAGTAGCAGAGCATCCCAGTTGGGGACGACGACGAAAATTACCCATGTCGTACAGCCAATAATAAACTCGGGATATTATTAAATATTATAAACTTATTCTTGGGATATTCCACAATTGGGATAATAACACCCAATTTTACCCATCTATTTTGCGTTTTGGGGGGTGTAAAAAACTGAGGATGTTCCACATATAGCAGCACAGTCGTGCTGTCTTGAGTCCAAGAAGGACCCAATAGTGAAATGGGGGTGTCTGAAAATAGGATACTTCATGATACTTCCAAATTTGCTGCTTAGTCCTCCTAAAAAATAAAATGGCAATAGCAATTTGGATGGCATACTGGCATACCCCATTTTAGCACACACCCAAATGTTGGATGAAGTGGAAGTCACTTTCAAACGGTGTAAAGCATCAACCAACAAGAAATACTCCTGTGTTATTCCACTAGCCCATTTTGGTTATAGGTCGACGATCAGCCTGTGGATTTCTGAAATGGATCTATCGTAGATTCACATCATTTAACACCACCTTGTTGTTGGACCAGAATCTGATTATTGTGCTTCAAATCCTCTGTAGTACCCCAAACAATGGAAAAGTCTGGATGGTATACAGTAAATGCCATTTTCGCCAGACTTTCCAGGTGTCCAACTCTTTCTATCTTCGGGGTCGCTACGTATTAGATCCACCATTTTCTTGCTGGTTTCCATACGAAAAGAAGGTGCCAATTCCAACCGGCTGCTGAGGCAGGGACGGGCGCTTGACCAATCAGTTTGGGCACCATGCTAATCCCATTGGCGCGACAATATTCAACCTGAGGAATGTAGGGATATCCCATGTCACTAGAATTGCTGTGATTTTGGGATATAGTCTAGTCTGAAATGATATATCAATATCACTGGGTTTTAACTGGATATTATATAACTGCAACTGGTAAACAATAACTGATGCTGATTGGTGGTTTCAACCACTTTGTAAAAACACATGATTGAACCACCAGCCACCAGCCAGGTCCTCAATTGGGATACCCCACAGTTCATTTTCCATAGATTTCCCCGTATTTTTTCTCATGTTGTTGCGGGTATGGGGCATTTCAAACAAGAACACATGGCTACAGGCCCGGACATGGGGATACCCCTAAAGTCCTTTGGTTGATATTTGTTCATTCCATGAACATATGGTGATTTAGTTTAGAATGAACCACACAACTCGAGGGGGCTGTGTGGTACTGCTGGAAGTGGGGTCAGCTGAATAAATCTACAGTGTACCAAGCTTGCCAAGCAGCAGCTATGGAAAAGGAACGCAAATGCGACACCGGCTGCTCCTGCAAAAGAACTGACACAGTGTCAAAATGTCCCGGTATGTGGTAGTACCAAGCAAGTAAACACTTCATATCCTCGCGGAAAAATGGATGTCTGTAACAAAAATCTACAAACATGTAATCATCAACAAAGTGCTATATGCCGTCCATCAACTTGCATCATCATCATCACCCCATCTAGGCATACTATCTGGGTAAATTATCATATTTCACTAACCTGAATCTTGCGGCCATAAAAGGGGATGATTTCCCTATATCTAAACCATATGATTCCAGTGAGGGAGAACAGTGAGGTCGTTATAATTTACCCAGAAGCCCCATGAAGCCCCAGGTCGTTGGCGTCGTCGTTTTTTCGTCCTCCCCCATGACGGAAGGGCCATAGATCTCTCCCAGAGACAGGTCGATCAGCATCTTGACATTGGGACCTGTCCAAGCTCTGGAAACTCATCGAGTGGCTGGATGGCTGGTCAGTAACTGGGTTGCAGCTTACCATAACTTTATAACTGGGATATAATGGAATATATCATATACATTCATATACCGTATACCGTATACCTATATATATATATATAATCCTATGTGTATGTATATATATGATTATATATGTATATATACACATAGTTCAAATATTCTCAATTTCTGATCCTTAGAGATCGTTGCCAATACACCTCATGCCAACGAACCTGGGGGTCCCAGCCTAAGCGTTTGCAAATCTTCACTGCGGTCTGTACACAGCGGGAATAAGGCGAGCAAACAACCACGTGGAAGGTGGAATCCTTCCTCAGTCGCATCAATTGCTTGGAGTTGTTCATACTGTAGTTGTTCATCCGCTGATTCTGGCTGATAGTCTTGACTGGAAATCGTGCAGTCGCAATACATTTTGATATATGGACATGCACATCACCCTAACGTATCGACTGTTGTCCGAACAGTTTGAAGATGCCTTTGATGAACCGACAAGTCACTTCTGAGCGTAGTCGTTGATGTGGGCACCCATGCCATCTGCCTGCCCGGAACGTTTTCCACGCTTTTCAGGACTGGAGGACAACCACAACTTCCCCATGAAACACGGTGGCAGCCACCATCCTACTGGTATCTACGCTCTGCCGGATAGAATGCATGGAATGATGCTATCATATGCTATCATATGCTATCTACAACTACCCCTTCGCCAACTGGTAGTAGTATCATGTAGTCATGTAGTATCCATGTTGTTGCTTCAATTCAATCCATCCAAAATGCATCAGCCGAGTCCTTCGGGGATCTTCATTTCCCAATACTCATAGAATATCCCCAACATTCGGACATATTTCACCATTGGCAAACAACATTCAAAAACGTTGAAGGTGTTTTTTTTCGCGCTTCACCGCTATTTTTAACACCGTTTGTTTTTTGCATCCGTCAACTAACCCAGGTGCCATGGTTCCGCCAATGACACATCCGTCCGTGCAGCTCGTTCTAGGCCTGTTCTAGGCCTGCATCACTGAGAGGTGGATCCAACGGAAACCTGGCACTGTTGGCAGCGCAGTTGTGCTTTCCGTTGGCCAGTTCTTTTGCTAGTTGGGGAACCACTGATTTGGTCAAACATGAGCAAATGTTGGGGTTCAAAGAAAATATATATACATATATATATATATATGTATATTATAATATAATATAATATAATATAATACAATATATATATATATGTATATATATATATATATGTATAATAATATATATATATATGTATAATATAATAAATATATATATATGTATAATATATATATAGTAAAACATATATATATATATGTAAAATATATAATATATATAATATAATTATATATAATATAATTTTATATGTTTTCTGTAAATAGTTATATATATAAGTATATAATTACTATCATCTGTTGCTATGCTCATCCTTATCCTCCTCATCAGGTGATCATCATTGAAGAGCATGAAACTTGATCAATGCATATTTTGAGATGTTTGCCCTTTAATCCTTTCTATTTTTATATCCTCACTATATCGAGTATATTATGTTGCTTAAAATCCTGCAGTCATTGCTCAAAAAATATATCTTATCATTGTCTTATGTGCTGTATATAACTATTCCGCTAATTCATCAATCCCAGAACATGTTACACTATGGTACACTAACTTTATATTGTCCATGTCGATCTATCAATTATATACATATATATATATACAATTATCTCCATATCCCCACTAATTAGTTGATATGATTCCAGGACATCCCTGAACCAACTTGTCGCCCCAACGGCGCCTGCGACCATCCTCGGAGCTGGACCAGCGTCCGCCCTCCCAAAACGCGAAGACGCCATCTGCGCGCTCCGCGTGGCGCACCACGCCGAAGAGCTGGGTCCTGGACCACAAAAAAGGAGACGTGGGAGGCGTTGGGAGATGAGAAGATGTTGATATTGATGTGGGTAAAACAATATGTCTATGATAGGTTTATATACCCATATGTCTATGATAGGTTTATACATGATATTCATATAATGTTGGCACAACAATAATAAACCATCCCCCATTTATATCACCATTTTTATAGGTGGTATGTTTACCATTCCTGGTTGGTTTTTGGTTTTACCCACATGAATAGAAACATATAAGCAATGAACATGGGGATATTCATGTATAGAATGGGATATATACATGGAATAGAATTAATCGAGATATGGTATATTCAGCTTAATGGGATGTTAATAAGACATATAAGCATTAAACATGAGGATATAAGTGGACATTCATGGGATCCCATCCGATCCCCTTGATATTAGGCAACCACCCAACTGGATTCCACCATTTTTTTCTCAGAAAATGAGGTTTTTTGGGGATAGGATATCTGGTTGGTGGTGCAACAACCATCTTGAAGAATATGAAAGTCAATGGGAAGGATTATCCCATGTATTATGGAAAATAAAACATGTTTGAAACCACCAACCAGATATAGTTGTGTTCTTTTTTTCATGAAGCTTACGTGGTGTGAGTTCTCTTGCGTTGCAACATGGCTGAGAGTAGGATTAACCCATGTTATATGGGCCCTTGACATTCAATGAAATCAATATGCTGTTTGCTGTACACCATCGCCGCATTGCCCTTGAATTCTGTTTCACCTGCCTCAGCCTTTCCACCCAGACTCAGTTTCTTTTAGGATGATGATCCGCGGAAGCTGCTGGGTGGATGATTAGCCCTCGAGATTTACTGGAAACACGTGGACATGTCCTATGGCTGGATTTACATATACAAACACCAGGGATGCTCTAGTAGTAGGTCCTTTGATGTGACAGCATCGAAGATGTCTTGCCAGGAAGTCATGTGTCGTGGTGTATATATATATATATATATACGTATATATATATATATATATGTACGTTTTGCACTCAATTCATGGTTCTTGTTCATCGCATGAAACATGACAGGCCCATGCAAGATATGTTGGGGAATTTAACCACTTTTTTCTGGAATTTACTAGGACTTGGGCACTGGGTGTTTACTTCAGAGTTGGTTGGGATATGTTATATGTAGAATCAAAGCCGCCTTCAACCCCACTTACGCGTAATGTAGACCTGTAATCTATGGCATATATGGTAATTTATGTATAGAGAACAAGAAACAACAGGGAGAGAGAGAGAGAGGCTCATCACAGTCTTACACCCTCATTCCATTCCACCAGCACAAAAGTTCTCCCGAAACTTGGTGTCCCAACCCATCAACATTGGAAAAAACAATGGAACATAATATGTATGATTATGATCATATTATATATATATAATATCATAATATACTATATTATATCAATGGCCATTTCAGGAACCTAAATTGGAGGTACTACCATATGTAAGGCCTATGTAAGGCCTATGTAAGGGGATATACCCCCAAAATATGGCCTTATATGGTACAGTACCTCCATTTTAGGATCCTGAAATTCCCATTGATTATATAAGTTATAAAATCATATAAAATCAACATAGATCAGAATCTTCGACCTGTTACCAGGGCTGAGGAACTGACGGTAACTTTCTCTTCTGCCACCCTGCCACCAGGAGATTGCTCCTGGGTCAGCCAGGCAGCCAGGTGAGTGCATTGGGATGAAAAAAACCTTGAAACTATGGGAATATACCGACACAATGATTGATAATACATTATGAAACATGGAGATTCAATGAGATTCATATATTATATTATGAAAAATGGGAATATGGAGATATAATATAGTATAATATGATGATATAACATGATGAGTGATATTAAAGCGGGATAGAAGTACATCACAAAGAAAATAATTATCCAGGTATAATTATAATAAACATATAACCGATAAACATGGGCATATAACTGGATATAATGGATATAATGGTATACTCATGGGCTGGAATAGATCCAATCTGATCCAATACAAATCCAGGGTTTCGTTTGGAATGTATCTAAACATCACAGTAAGTATATCATCCAGAAGCAAAGACCACCAGGGCTATGTTGGAATCATGATTGAAACCATAAAATGGAACATCAGGACGTCAAAAACTGCTGTTCTACACATTGAAAACAGGAAACACTAACTTCTCACCAACCTTTAAGAAAAGTTAAGAAATTAACATTCGAAATCAGAACAGTATCGAGACAGAAAGGGAGCCTGCCGTGTACCCCATGGGATGGGAAATGCAACGGTTACACCTTAAAGTGCTTGTCATGAAACTAGCAAACGGGGTGTTCCCAGAATGGGATTTACCTCAAGACTCAAGACATGAAGTGACGATAATTTTTGGGATCTTAAGGGTACTCCATCTTCGACAAACTCTTGTCGTGGTCCTGAAGGTGGCTTTCGAGGGAGCCTTGCCCCTGGAAACGTCATTTCCCATGACGACTGTCCCTTGAGGACAGATCAGCGGTAGGCGCAGCTAGAAATAGCTAGCTGTATGATCTGATTTGCGTAGGGCGGCACATGGTTTATCATCAATCTAGAGACAAATCTCTCCCATTGGCATGTCTGGTGCATTTCATTATATTTCATTATATAATCATCACATTTTGGGGTTGTTTGGGTCAAATCATCCTGATACCCTGAGCATGTCTTACACTATGACGCAACATATGCTATTGCAGTGCCTGCTTGGTTGAGAGCTGCTGACTGAGGAAAGCCGTGGTTGCTCAGTGCTCGATTTAAAGTTCTGGGTCAGCAAAACTCCAAACTTTAAACAACGTGTGGCACGATGAAAGCTGTAAGCCAGCAGCAATCCAGCACCCCGAAACTCCATGACATTCATTCAACGCTTAATCCTACAGCCTTCTCCACCAATCATGGCTCACATGCTGACTGTCTTCATGCTGACAGCAATCTCCAAGCTTTGGGCCGGCATTTGGCATGCCAGGCATGCCCATGCCGGGCATGCCCGGCATCCCAGGCATCCCGGGCATGCCCGCCATGTTTGGGAAGCCAGCGAAAGGACTGTTTCCTGCCACTGAGAGGTCATTGAACTCTGACAGAAATGGATGTAGATGGTGGATTCAAACCATTGCAAACAACTTGATTGTGTGATTGCGTTTCATCACTAATTCCAACTAATTACACTAGGAGTCTGAAAGAACAATAGTGTCAAACCCTCATGAATAAATCCTGCTTGATCAATCAAGGGGTTCCCACACAATAGCGACACTCCCAAATCTCCCAACTAACATGACGATCCTGCCATCTGTAAACCATCTTGGTGGGTTGATAATTATGACTGGTGTGTTTCTTCTTTATGTAAACAACTAATTAATTTAAGGCAATACGTAGTATGACTATTTGGATGACTATTTAAGCTACCAGCATGTCACCAAGTATGACATACCCTCTGGTAAACTAACATAAATATAGGAAATCACCATTTTTAATGGGTAAATCCACTATAAATGGGCCATGTTCAATAGCTTTTTGTATGTTTACCAGGCCGGGTCACCATCTCAGCCGTCCTCCCAAAGGCCAATCCCCTAAGCCTTCCCCCAAAGCATACCTTCGAACGCAGGAATCATCCCACCGGTGGAATCATCCAGGAAAATCACCATCCGTGGTGGTACCCTCCCTAGTCATGGTAGGTCTATGGCATTGGCACGGCATTGGGTTATATTGGGTTTATCGCATTAGTATATCAACCTATATATCAACCTATATCAACCGATATCAACCTATATCACTGTTGGAACTCCATCAGCCTGGTGGTGAAAAAAACAAAAACAAAACGCATACGAGCCAGTTCGGGATTGTCATCCCAACTCTTTGGGAACACGAAACCAGTTTTGGATCAGTGCATAATTACTTCCGAACAGGTCAAATGGTTGAAGGGTTGGTATGAAGAGACACAACAGATGCAAGGTGATCAAAGGTGCAGCTAAGCACCCAACGGATTGCCAGCGTTCAGTTCGCCTGCGACGAACAGATTTGGCCATGGGACCTGTTACCTGGTTGGCCAGTTTGGTACTGTCCCAGGTGTTGGGATTTGCTGATTCAAACAAGCAAAACACACCAGCTGATTGTGAGGAATTAAGTTGGGCTAATGCCAAACTCTCCTATGAATACAAAAAACACATCCAAACCCAGACTGGTAGTGTGGGCATTAAGTGTTCAAATCTTGCTGCATTCATAGCCAAGTTGCTGAAGAGTGAACTGCGATTTCGTTCACTACCTTGGCAGTTGTTGCGGCCGGAAAGACATTGCAAACCACGTGAAACCAACGCAACCTGGAATTCAACAAGATCTCGAAACTTGCATGAAGGCGAATTGAATTGAACATATTGAACAAACATATCGTTTGCAGTTATATATATAATTCTATTTCCTAGACCCTTCAAACACCACCAAGAAAAATGTAAACATACTCGAATTATGGGGTAACACACCTTTTTTTGTGGGTACTTGGAGAGTCAACGTTCACATTATTTTACCCAGATGCATGTTTTAGTTTTGTTTGTTCCGGTGTGAGCTAAGCAGTGATCGCCAGTCGAATCAAGCCCCTGGCCGCGTTTCCGTCGGTTGTTGTATGGTTGGTACCTGACAGGTACCCCATGGTACCCAAAAATCATGTTCTTTTCCTACGAAAAACATAGGGAAATAACTAGGGCATACTAGGGCTAAATGAGAAATATAGGAACAAGAATAGGGAAACAAGAAGGGAACTAAATAGGGAAATAAATATATTATAGGGAAATAAATGCAGACATAAATGGGGACAACAATAGGGACAATAAATAGTATTAAATAGTGATATAAATAAACAATAGGAGACAGAAACATGGAAAAACAAATAGGGAAACAAACAGGGAAAGAAATACGGAACCAAATTATGGTGAAATAAATAGAGAAATAACAAGGAACATCAATACGGAAATAAATGGGGAAATAAATAGGTACATGAATAGGGAATTAATGGGAAAATGAATAGGGAAATTAAACATTATATATATATATGTAGGGAAGTAAATGGGAACATAAATAGGGAAATAGAAAAAAAACATGGGGACAATAGGCAAATAAAAGAGAATACATGAAGTAAATAGGGAAAAGATGGGAAAATAAATAGGGAAATCAATGGCAAACATAAATAGGGAAATCGATGGCAAACATAAATAGGGAAATAAGAATGGACATAATTAGGGAACACAGTAAGCACATTACATCGACTTTAATTTCATCGTGCCAGTCACTGGGATTGATACCTCCCTTTAGCTGCAGCTCGGCGCACGTGGTCTTGGCCATCAAGTGGGCTAGGAGACCGAAGATGATCATCGCCCAGATCTCAGCAAGAAACACATCAACACACCTTGTGAACGTACACATGAGTATATGTGTCATGGTCGAGTTATATGATATGGGTATTGATATACGTATATATATATATATTTACATATATATATACATACATATATATATATATATAATGTATGTATATAATATTTTTTTTTCCAACTGAAGCCGCCATACGTGCCATGGTCCTCCGTTAAATGCTTTTCAGGGGGTATGGTCATTGGATCATGGATTTCCCACGGCATGAATATGATCATCCCCGATGGAGTGGACAATCATCCCCGATGATATTCCATGATACAAGTATTTCCCTATAATCACTCGCACTAATAAATATATATATATATATATCATATATCATATCATGTATGTACTTATGTATATACAGTATAAAATATATAGTATATATATATATTATCAGGTATAGATTCCGATATCCCCTAGAAAAATTAGCTCAGCTCACAGCTCACAGCTCAGTCTCAGGCCACAGGAGGCAGATGGAAAGCTTCTGGCAACCAGAAATTGCACCTGAACGGCGAAGCATCGGCCCCATATGGGGTTTCCACAAATGGAGGTATCCCAATAGCTGGATGGTTTATAATGGAAAATCCTATTAAAATGAATGATTTAGGGGGTAGCCCTATTTCAGGAAAGCCTCATAGGACTCATATGGCTATCTTGGAGGGAAACTGATGAAGCCATGGAATGGGGAAGAATGGGGTATCCTATTTGCAGGCCCCATCAATCATGGACCAAAGCATCCTCAAGATTGGGGTTGTCCAAACTCCTTTTGCATTTTCCTATCTTGCTGATTTCTATCAGCCCTCATATACTGCTTCATGACCATCCCGAAAATGCCTTGGCTAATTCACGGCGTCAACATTAGGATGCCACTTTTCATGCCTAATCCTTAGTCGAAGCATACATTGTTCTCCGTCAGAATGGGATTTCAATCTTTCACCAATATCAACGTGCTATTCTATCAGTTCTGATGGAACATACGTCAAAAATGAACAATAATAAAACCAAATGATGGATACTTAACCATTATTCACCCATTTAATCGCCTTGATCCAGTTCTCGTCTCCAAACGACACACCCAGAAAACCCCAACAAAAAACCTGCGCTTCCCGACCACCCAAAGATGCTCTCCATGGGATCTTTGCCGTCTTTTTTCTTCCTGGTTAAACAGTTCCCCAAAGGCAGCCGAAAGACCACACAAATGGTTTGGTCCTATTTTTTCAGGGAATATTAGATATGGATCATGATCAATCCATTTTTTTCGGGGAATATTAGGATCATGGATCATCATGAATCATGATCTTAATCCATTTTTGATAGGATATTTTGGGGAAGAGGCCAATGGGGGTATGAGGAAACCCATCCCTCCGATCAAAATAGAGCCTGCCATAAGTTGGCGGTTAGAACACAATTCTTTGCAAGCAAGAATAGGAGCGATTCTCAAGGTCTATGTTAGTTGAGGGGATGGTAACTATTGACTATTGCAAACATTGAGACAAAACGAGGTTGACAGGTTTGTGGATGCAATACCGGGTAGAGTAATCAAACATCTGCCAATGTACACACCTCCCATGTTTGATAACATCGCCATGCAGTTGGATACAAATTGGCGGATTCGCTATGGTCAAGGTGCCAACCCCACAACCGTTCGCCAATGGAAACCGCAGCACAAAAATGCTGCAAAGTGCACAAACAAAATACAATCCCAAACTTCCAAAACAGAACCCAAGTGACCCCAATGGTTCTGAAGTAAGGAAAATGGTTCACAAAACTGAAAACAGTGACGTCAAAACATATTGTGAACGTATGATTTCATGTATGTTTTGCTAAGATATATCCTATGTTCAAAACTGCTTCTGAATTTTGGATCGGCCGGTGTGAGTTCACCACTTGAGGGTAGGACCTATGAGTAATGGATGTTCATCCCACCCTAAAGGGTATGTGGTATTGACCCATCCTCATATCTCCCTGTTTATCTAGAAATGTTATGCAACGTATCAATCGACATTAACATCTTTAACTTCAATCGCATATATATATATATCCCCAAGGACACTAAAGATCTACAATGTGTTGGTCCAATCCCGCCGGGTGTGAATCCCATCAGCGGCAAGCAACTTCTTCTCTGGTTTCTTTGGGTCGCCTCAGCCCATGTCCAGCAGCAAGGCACCGGTGATTTGTTCCCGTAATTCTCATGGTGGTTTCCTGTATGAGTTTTGTTCCCAATCAAACCAAGCCATGACATTGAGACTGCTGCTTAATCTTGGCAAACCTAATCTTGTTGCTTACTTGAGTGTTGCATGCAAGCTAGACCTGGTCAATAGCCATGGTTAAGCAGAATGATAATGATACTGTACATCGCACAAAAAATGCCGGACTCTCCTCGGGTTATGGATCACTCTATCTATCTATCTATCTGTCTATCTATCTATTTATCTGTCTGTCAAGCTATCTATCTATCTATCTAATCTAATCTATAACTTATCTTATCTTATCTAATCTATCTATCTAATCGAATCAAATCTAATCTAATCTAAAATCTAATCTAATCTAATCTAATCTATCTATCTACCTACCTACCTAGCTACCTACCTAGCTAGCTATCTATCTATCTATCTAATCTAATCTAATCTAATCTATCCTATCCTATCCTATCCTATCCTATCCATCCATCTATCTATCTATACTATATATATATATATATATATGTAAGTGGATTAAGTGGGACTATATCATGATATTGCTTTGTCATGCTTTGTCCGAATCCTTGGCCATGATTTTGATTTGGAAAACAACGATAAACCATGAGATTTCAGGGGGGTCCCAGGGTTTTGTTCCCACGATGTTCACCCCATGGCACCATTGATTTTTCACGTCCAAGAAGCTGATGCTCGCTGCATCGCCGAAGGTCGAAGCTTTTCCTGCCACATGGGGGGCTATGGCTATAGCAACCCCCAAATGGATAGAACATTTACTTACCCTCTGGTAATTTAACATAGCTATTGAAAATGGCCATTTATAGTGGATTTTCCCATTAAAAAATGTGATTTTCCATAGTTATGTTAGTTTACCAGAGGGTAATTCTCACTATTTCAGCATTGGAGTTTACTTTTCTATCTTGATCAATGGGGTTAATTACTACTTACTCTTCCAGATCAATGGGATTCAATGGGGATATTTCTGGGATGGGTCAATAGCTGTAATAATCCATATATTTTGAAACATGTTGTGGAATGAACCCCATTGAACATCCATAACTGCTGAGAGATTTGATGCGAGCAGAAGGAAACCAGGCTTTGACGCGTACCCATAGGTGGATTATGTGTTTTGATTTTCGATCTACCCTCTGGTAATTTAACGTAGCTATCGAAAATGGCCATTAATAGTGGATTTTCCCATTAAAAATGGTGATTTTCCATAGCTATGTTAAATTACCAGAGGGTACTACTAAGGATGGAATCACTTTATATAAAGCAATTTCAAACCTGTCTTTGGATCCACCAAATTGGTTTTAGCACAAGAATCGATCCCAAAATGGAGAGTAAAGCAACCACAATAATGATGCGAATATTGCAAGCGCATACAACGGCTGGTCATGTTCCAAAGAAATGAGGGATTTCTCAACAACCATCCCTCTCTGGATGCCGCATACGTTGCATCATGTTGCACCCCTGTCATGGACTGGTTGTGCTATGGTAGAAAAAGGGCATGTACAATGATACACATGGGAATTATTTATCATATCACCATATATCACCCACAAATAGTTGGGGAGCTCATTGCACTAAAAAAATGGAAACGTATCTCCAAAATACGGCACTTTACCATCCAGAAACAAGGGTTTGCTAGTAACGCATCTGAGTATCACAGACACACACACACAAAACACCGAATTGTCCCACCCAAACAAAAATGGATGAACATGCATCATTTACCAACAAAAAATGAAGCACATGGCCCGCCCTTTGTGTAGCACTCGCTTCGCTGCAGCCAAGTATCGTAACACAAAGCCTTGCTCAAAGGCTCGAAGACTTGTCGGAGGCGTTTCCTCTTCAGGAACGTCTCGTCGAATTTGTTCATCAAACCATCGCCATTTTAATCCTAGTGATTCATGGGTATAATATGTTTTGGGTGCAATTCGACCCTAGACCCAAAAAAAATGGTGGCATCAAAAAATGGGATATGCATCTGCATGATGCATGCGGTTTTGCGTCAGATCTACAGACGCAGATTGAACACTAATTCTTGGTTTCCCGGTTTCCCAATGTGTTGTAGGGTCGATGTTTCCAAATGTGTGGGTCCTTTTTTTCCATCCATCTTCACTTTTGCATGCTTTTGCACCATTTGTTCCCATTGTTTGCAAATGTTTATCCATGCGAAAGCCAGAAAATTGGATGCTAAACCACCATTTTGATTGGATAATAAACCCATCTCGTTTGGATGGTTCCACCTGAGCGTTTCCGTTGGATAAATGGACTGGCCGAAAACAGGCTACACCCCATTCCAAGTCGGACTGGCGTTTATGGAAAACCACCATGAGTTCTCCAGTGTTTTGATGCAGTGGGGTAAATATTCCCCATAAGATCCCATATTCATAAACAAATAGGATTGTTATGGGATGCTATTATAATAGGATGTTATTATAATATAATATGGGATGTTATTATAATATTCATATTATGGGATGTTATTATAATAGGTTTGTCTAAAAACTATAGGGGAAAACTCCCAATTCCAATGGACTACTACCAGTTTCATCAGTTTTCCTGACTTTTTTATGGCCATGTTGAGGGCGTGTCAGTTTTTCAGGACACACATTTCATTATTCCATAACGTCCATAAGTACCCCCAGAATCCCCACTATAATTACTAAATTGTTACCAACATGATTGTTGTCCATCATCGGATTCATTCCACTGTATATTCCAAATATTCCAAATACCTGTATACCTGCAATCTATCTAAAGTACATGTCCATGAGTTGTAATCATCAATTGAAAGTTCAACAAATAATGTAACACCTCATAAACCCCTTATACAATTACCATGTATCTATCTAATCCAATCCCATCGAATCTAATCCAATCTAAACCTATCTATCTAATCCTATCTATCTATCTATCGATCGATCTATCTATCTTATCTAATCTAATCTAATCTATCTATCTATCTATCTATATAACTAATCATAATCTAATCCTATCCTATCCTATCTATTTATCTATCTACATACATAAATATGTGCATATATATATAACTATATTATACAATTATATATATATATAAATATGGATAGTTATACATATACATATATATATATACATAGTTATATATATATATATATACACGTCACCCACCAGCAAGGCACCGCCAAAATCTTCTCGAAGTGGTGCAGGGCCACCGGATCGCGGCGTCCCTGTGGGATGATGGGATGATGGGATTGGTTACGGGGGGACGTTGGAACTACTTGAAATTACTGGGATTTAAGGGGACTTAATGAGATTTAATGGGATTTAATGGGATGAAATTTATTGGATTTACTTGAAATATCATGGGAAGGTCAGTTAATAACCAGCTAAAGAGTGATGTAATTGTTATTTATACAATTGGTTGAAATTGGCAAAGACACGGATTTAACTGACAAGAATTGGGTTTCAGAAAACCAATATTGGTATTTATCGCAACATACTTATGTAGTTGTCAATATAGTGCCGGGTGAGGTTCTGCGTGCTTGATAGGGTGGTTTTGGTCAACAAATGCCAATCAATGAGGTTCTTGCCCAGTATAGGGTTGATTGGTTGGCTAAGAGTTGTTCTCACAAACCCGACAAGTCTAAGTTTTTTCTGGTTTTTAGCTATATAACAGTTTGCGTGGGGACACAAGGTTTGTGCGTCCACTACTCCTATGCCATAGTGTGTCATGTCTCACTGCGTTCCTGCTTTGGAGGGAAGGTTTGCAGGTTCTGCCCAAGACTAAAAACCACAGTTTTGGCAATGGTTTCAAAATAAGTGCAAGCCTGATGACAAAGAGCTTTCAGTAGCCTTTCTTTTCACCGTCCTTGATGACGTAGGAGTCGTTTTTTTCATGGTGTGCTCGGCAAATGATAAATCATTTGTAGTTACAATGTATGTATGTATGTATGTATATATATATATATATATATCAGTCACTGTCATGTACATACATATACCAGTACATACAGTTACATAACTGTTTGATATCATATCATATAAATATATATATATATATTATGTATAACATTGCAAAACACTTATAAAACCTCAGTTAATGTGTTCAACGGTCTGGAAGCACCTCCTCATTGCTGCTGCGCAGAAAGGTCCGCCGCACCACGAAGTCCATCTCCGCGAAGGTGTAGTTTTCGGTCAGATCTGGGACGTTGCAGTTACCGCTGTTGGGTTCGTAGAGTAGTGGACTCCAGCATTGCCAAATTGGTTATCATATTGTGGGTGGTAAAAACTTTCAAAACATGGTTGATTTTATTACTTTGCCAACATTATGTGTTCATGTCAAATTGGGGTCAGTAAAAACATGTTTAAAAAAAAAACATATATTATATTACCCTCTGGTAATTTAACGTAGCTATTGAAAATTGCCATTTATAGTGGATTTACCCATGAAAAATAGTGATTTTCCATAGCTATGTTAGTTTACCAGAGGGTAATGCAATATGATGAGTCGATGTGCCACTATCGCCACAACTTTTTTTCGGCCGGCCGATCATCTGAGAGTCCCGTCTGGCCAGGGTGTCGACAGCCTGGCGCTGACTGTTTGTCTGCCCTCAACCACGGGATGACAACGAGGATCGTAGAGGTGTTTACTGTGCTTACGAAATGGTTAGTAACTCTTCTTCAAAACCACGCATACACAAACAATTGGAATGGTTCCCTAATTTGTATTCGAAGTGTTTGAATGAAATCTGAGCAGTGCCAAATGATTCCTGAGTTTCTGAGGCATGTTTTTTTGTTGCAAGGGTTTCTAGTTCATAGGGTAGAATACCTTAAAATCATATTGCAGGTGTATAAAGATATTATGTATTATAATGTATATATATATATATTACATTATAATATATAATCAACTTGACCATCATGACTTGGGCTAATATCCTCATGATTGCAGTTTCAACTTGATTTTTTTAGTGGCTCATATCCTGTCCAGAACATGATGTAACTACCAGAATAGGGGTGTCTCAAAACATGGGAACACATTTGAATCTCATAGTCATCATTTCCCCACTTTTTCATGGCCATGTCTGTACATCCCCGAATTTGAGACAAATCCATATTGGGAACGGAACTATAAATATATATATATATACCGTATTACCATGTACACAAACCACTATCCAATTAAACCATATTGAACCCACAAGCCAGGTGGGTTTTTCCTCAACCGCGGGATATCACCCCATCACATGTGGCATCATTAGTGTATCTGCATCTATGTTCGGACAACCCCAAATCATCTTACCCTCTAGTAAACTAACATAAGTATGGAAAATCACCATTTTCAATGGGTAAATCAACTATAAAGGCCATTTTCAATAGCTTTTTGCATGTTTACCAGGCCGGGTAAATCCCCATCGTTTCCCATGAAATCCCATGGCTCCCATGCTGCCCAGCGCCCACCGATTCCCTCAAGGCAGATCCCCAGGGAGCATCGACGCGTGAGACCTGAGACGTTTAGGGCGGGTTTGTTGAAGCGTCAAACATGGTGACTTTAGAGGTGATACCCTATGGTAAACATACAAAAAGCTATTGAAAATGATCATTTATAGTGAGTTTTCCCATTGAAAATGGTGATTTTCCATAGTTATGTTAGTTTACCAGAGGTGATACCCTATGATAACATATGATAACCATGGGAGTAATAGCGGTTAATGGTGCTATGCAATGGCTAATAGTAATAATTGATAGATGCTGATAGTGGCTGTACATGGGTGTACCCTCTGGTAATCAAACGCGGCAATGGAAAATCCCCAGCCTAAATGCAGGCTTCAACGGGACGATCATCAGTTGGATTTTCCATTGCCACAGTGAGGGTATAGCCATAGCTTAAATAGTTGGGACCCCAATTGCGGATGCTTCGGATGCTTGGGGGGGCATTCAATATTAGGGGCATGAGAGTATAGCATATTATAATATTTTATAACATTTTATAACTCTATTTTTGTAAGGGGCTCCAACCAAAATCAGCAGTTTACCTTCAGTAAATCCAAATATGTGGCAACCTTCTTGAGGCTTGCTGTTGTGGGCGCCCCGTTGCCTGCGCAAGCAGCTTCAGCAAGAACTGTTTGCGCTCTGCCTGCTGGCGTTTCCATGAATGGACAAGCTTGGATACGGATGGATAAGAAAGATAAGGTTCCTATACACAGTGATTGAACCCAAATCAGATAAACACAAATACAGCCAATCCAATCACACCCTTCCCAAGTATACCCATTGATATCAATACTTAGATCATATCCCACAGCAGTAGGTCAAGCTGTTTGAAGCAAGTACCTGGTTCTGCATGTTCCAACGTGAAATTCTCTACAATATGGAATGCGCCAAGGGTTGTTCTCCTCAATGTACACCCAAAAATAAGAAAATCATGAAGATTAAATTCTAGAAATACATAATTTCAGTCTGAAAAAAACATATTATCAGTGAGTGATTAATGTTGTAAACACAATCATGAACAATCTTATTGACAAACCTTTGGGGATTCAGTTTACATCATCCAGGGTATACCCAATAATAAAGCCTCTATTGGGAATGGTTTATATATGTTTATATATTCTTGGGTTTGTCACATCGTAGATTATCACCAATAATCAATCCAATAAATGATGGTCCACTATGTGTGATTACCAATCCCCAATAATTACCTAATAACAAACCATTAATGGTAAATTACTCCAATAATTCTCAGGGTGGCTCCAAACACCCCAGGTACAAGGAGGGTAAATGGGGTAAATATAAGGTAAAATGACCAATTTGGCAACCTTGTGGCTATCATTTATCTACAATGAGTTAGAGCAACCCTGATTATACCAAATTATTGGTAAATTACCATCCAATGACAATTACTGAGAATGAAGAGCCGTAATAAATTATCCATCCATGTTATTGGTAGTAATTGCCCAATAATTATATATGGTAAATACCCTTTTTCATTACCCAATAAATTAGCCAATTAACGATGGCGATTCTGCATTACCAACATCTTGGTTCATACCACCAACATGGTAAATCATTGGGGTGGATCCTATTGCCCACCTGGCTGGGTGCTGCTATCTGAACCACCCAACCGAAGGGGAAGAGCCTGGGCACTGGGGCGTCACTGGAAAACATCTGACAGAGAAACAATCTGGAAATGCTCTGTTCAAAATAGTTCATGTTGGTTCAGAGTGTTTGTTCATCCTAGTCCTAGTCCTAGATGTCCTAGTCACTAGTCTGAGACATAAGCAAGAGGGACATGGTGGACCGTTTAAAGATCAGATTGCTAAAAAAAAACTTCAAAGAATACTTGGTGGAAAGAACATGCCACCCATTCCATGGGCCCCTCCTACTTTTCGTTTTGCGCCGGCGGCTTCTGGTGACAACAACTGTCTGAGTGCCCGTGCTCGATTGGATGAAGAAAACTACTGGGTTCTGCACCTGAAACTATTCAGATCCAGGCGACTTAGAAACATGAGCCATGTGTAGCTGGTTCAAAGTTGAAATGCGGAGTGGAAAACCCAATTATAGCTTATATCATTTACAGGAAACCATGGTTTTTACCATCAAATATAGGGCTTTCCTGTAGATTTTCCCATCATCCAATTCTATTACCAATTGATTGTCGAAATTTTATGACGAAGTGTTGGGTTGCAAGATTCAAGATGCTTTGCATTGCTTGGCAGGGGTGGCCCAGGAAAGTACGCTTCAACAGTGTAGCAATGCGTTCCCGCAAAAGTGACGTTCTGCAATCAGGAAAGAACTACTTGCTAAGACATCTTGACTTGTAAGTGCTAAACAAAAAAGACAACACATTCACTCGTCGTATCCTGTTCCAAAACAGTCAAGCATCATTTTCCTAGACCCTCCCGCACTCCAACCAACCTATGAAGTAAAAAAAATGGGTGAGACCGCTACAAGTTGATTGGCGACACAAATGATTATATTAATTGTTACACATCATTACCATATATCACCCATACCATTCATCTCGTTATTGCTGGTCGTCCGCTAGATCCTTCCCACAACGTCTCCATAGCAGGTCACTGGGCAGCCCCGCTGGCAGTCGCAACACACACAACCCTCTGTGGACTTCTGGATACCTGCAGAGTTCAGTCAAAGCCGCCAAGCAGTTCCGCTTTCGGCTTTCGTGGGAATTTGACGGAGATATAACAAACAATATGAGGCTTTAAGATTTATTGACCATGATAGGAGGGTTAACAATGAAGCCTTTGAATGGTTTGCATCACAAATCATGGTGAAAAGAGGGTGTATATATATATATATGTATACGCCAATATATTCTGAAATACGCCCCGTTAAATGAACAGATCCAATACCAAACCAAGGATTTCTTTGGTGAGGTATTTAATCTTAGGGGATGGCATGTTCAGGGTTCCTACTGTTTCCTCATTTCATCTAGTCTATAATTAATTTGACAATATTAGACATCACCTTTGAGAGGATTAAACCAAGATTTCAGCACCAAAACGTGATCTTTAAGTCCCAATAATGGGGACATGTAAACAGCTCGAGCTATTTAAGGCCGTTGCGTGTTCCCAAAGTTGGTTGAACCACTGGGAGGAGTAGCTCCGCTTCTATGATAGTCACAGTGACAGTGAGGCAAATATTTAGGGATACGCAATACCAGCTGAGCATTTTAGATCCACCGACAATCTCCCAAAGATGTACAATTTCATATTCGCACACATTCATGAACCAAACATATCCAAAAATGGCAAAACATGGGTGAAGGTTGGGGGTGAAAACCTTGCTTGGTATACCACTGGTGAAATGTGAGCCCGATTGCAGCTTGGAACGACTCCAATGTTCATATATGTTCATTGTACACGTCCCTGCAAGAATGCAACCACCATCCAACATGCCTTTGTTTTGTTCTTGTTCTTCTTGTTGCTGTTGTCATTGATCTTTGTGTTGTCAAGTGTCAATACCATAGGTATATATAATATAATATATAGTAGTATATATTATTATTAGTATTATTATTATTACTATATCTAATTAATCATATTTTCATATATTTACTAATATACATATGAAGTTCTTCATATCACACTCCAGCTCAAGGTGTTTTACCATGTTTTAGCCATGCCTCACTGAGACATTGCCGAATCGATGTCGTCGCTTCAGGTGCCATTTCCTGCAGCATTTCCATACTTTTTGGCACTCGCAAGGAAGAAACAAGAGACGTTCAACTGCTGAGCTCCATACCAAACCCTCCACGAGAATCAAGACTGGTTTCTGCGAAGAAGAAGCTGTCGACAAGGCTTTCCTGCACCGCACTTTGGTCAGAGCTACAACGAATGGTTTTTCGGGTTTCCACCTGATTATGTATATGGTCAAGCCATTGGGTATCCCGGTATCCCAAAAAAGGGAGAGACTCGTCAATATTTAGTTGCAAGAATTGGTAGTCTGGCGAGTCATTTTAGCCCACTGCCACTTGCTTTCTTCCTTTCCAACTTCCAACACATTCAAACAGCCCTGGCATCAAGCTGCAACCCCTTGCCAAATTGCTTTCACCACGCTGTCAACCCTGCAAATCTCTTTCAGCAGTAGATTCAGAACACACCACTTTCCACACGGTTACCCTACTCCAATCAAACATGGTTTGATGAAAATCCTCATCGAACCGTCCATTTAGTTCGGGGTCCCCAGCCGTGGTTGATGATCCCAATGAACCCAAACTGAATCCCATCAAACTACAGTACATTGATTCCCAATCAAATCACCATTTTGAATGGAAAAATCCCATCCAAGGCTACCCAAAAGCCCAACCCCTCCGCCCTCCGCCCTCCACCCTAACCTGCAAAAGTCAACCTTGACAGCCTCTTGAGCTGCTAAGTGAAGCACCTGCCGTCGCGAAAGTGCGGGGTGTCATCAATGGTAGAAACTACCTCAAATACCAAGATTTGCTGATTGGCTCGCCGATCAACAGCTGTTAAATGTCACAAGCAATACTGTACTAATTAATACCCTCTGGTTATGACTAACAGTTCGCCATGGTATAGATGGCCCATAGAAATAGATGCTTTACCTATTAATAGCATTGTGATTTTCCATGGCTATGTTAAATAACCAAATGGTAATAATAATAATAACAAACATAGTAATATTATATCATAGCAATAATAACAGTAACACCAGTGGTACACGGGTGAATGTGATTCAAGTGAGGAATGTCTGACTCCAACAAATTGGTTGTTTCTACATCTAGACTCTAGACCCATCAAATCGATTCCAATTGGACGTTACTTCGCCATTGGGGAAAGTAATCGTGTCTGGCGCAAAGACAGCAAAAACTCCGTTGGTGTCTTGAGATTCTGGTACACTTGTACAGCTTCAAGCCTTCTGTGGTTCCGAAGTCCTGAAACTAACAACTACCCGAAATGTTAAGCACAACATTCTTCGATTCATGGAACTTCAAAACGAACAGGCTCCAAATATGCTACCGCTACCATTCGAAATGGACCGTCTTCGATTTCCATCTTTAATCCTACGGATATTGATGGACAGGGTTAAAAGTGTCTGAAAATGCTGGATCCCCCCAGACGGCAATTAAAAACCAGCGAACATGATGAGCATCCCATTGAAATTGGGGGTGTTCCCCTAAATCTTCAGACAAATCCATATATCATCAGCTATTTTGGTTATATATATATATATCCCCCGTTGTATATATATATATATAACCCCATTATATAGTTACAAATATACATATATATATATAATTATATATATATATATATATGTCCCATAAATACCATGGATATCCCCAATACATCCCCCATAAACCCATGACATCCCATGACCATCCCCGCCTGTGCGTCGGCCGCGGCGGCGGCCGCCTCGGCCAGAGCGCGTTTGCCCGAGCCCATGGGGCCACTCAACAGCAACGCAGTGCGCCTGGCGATGCATTGGGAGTGGAGGAAATGGTGGGGAACATCTCCACCGGAAATCCAAGTGGAAAACAGTGGGGATGGGAAGTAACTCAGCCTTTTCCATATTGGTCATATTGGACACATGAAGAATTGTGGTAATATGTATATATAATGTGTATATATATATAATTAATTTACCCAGTCTGCAAGTGTGCATCTTGCAACATCTCAGCGCTGCAAATGGGTCGGACTGGCTCCTCCTCACGGATCAAGTATTTCACTACAAACTCCTACAAGTTACAGTAGGTCTGGAGTTGCCTCAACATAGCTTGCCACCTGCCAAACAACCAACCCACTCTGCAAAGCCAGCCGGAAACACTCGGCCGACCGCCAAAAGATGCGATGAAAGTCGCTCTGGACCTGAGATTCACGGTGAGATACCGCTAGCTGGGCTAAACGTGTGGAACCGCACCATCCCATTGGTATCCCATTGGCTATCAAATATCAGTCATCAACCTTGATCAATGGTCAATCATCAAGGATCATCAAGGATCATCAAGGATCATCAAGGATCATCAAGGTAGGATATTTGATATCATGATATCACTATCACCATCCCATGGGTTACATCCCAAATGTATCCAAATGTTCCGTATCAACCCTGCCCTTGCCATTTTGGGCTTCCCTGAGGCGATAACCATTTTCAAAGGCAAGGTGACTGCTTCACGCAACATCACCTGGGTCCAGGCACTTGGGGGTGTGACGTTTGCTGCCAAATTAGGGGATTAGATTCTGATTAGATGGGATTAGGGGATATATATATATATGGGGATATTTGGGGATTGGCACTCAACATGTTATGCAATATGTTATGCAATGTTTTTCACCAAAAAGAAAGGATATCGGCATCAGCACTAGCAGGAGTAAGACCAGCGACGCCATACCATATTGACTGTCAACAAGAAACAAACATCAAACAAACATGCTGAAGAACCACACCACCCTGGCCCTCGGATGAAGAATGAACGTCGCATTGCTAAAACTGCATACCAAGAAGGTTGCAGTACGAGCTAATTTGAAAGGAAGCACAATGACAAGCACAATGAGAAGCACAATGAGTGTCCTTCATGCCATTTACATTCATTTACTACATATAGTTACTATAGGTATAGACACGTATAGACAGTATAGAGGTTTAAAATGGTTTAAATAGAAACCTGGAAAACCGTGTCGAGGGAAGCCGAACTTACTGAAAGGTTCGGATTGCTCATTCATCATCATTCATCATATGCATCCCACCATCCATTCTCCACCTTGGCATCATCCATACCATGCAGTTCGGTGTGTGGACTTTGAGCTTGTTGCACCATGAGCCTTCCAGCGAAGTAAAATTTCACAGGCCAGGATTTGCTTCAAAATGTCAACTGCAAATGGACAAACCCTTCAGGAACCAACCCTATGGATACCTCTAGTTCACAAATTGCTACAGTTCACAAATTTCACAAATCAGAAATTCATTTTCACAAATTGCTTGGGTCATGATACCCCCTACTGATCATTCCGACATGTTTATTCATTTTGTGATAGCCTCTGCCAGTCATCGATCCCCTCGCCTGGTGGGACATTCGTCCTGGCTCCGAGATTTTGTTTGCGGAAAAAAATGTGACCGTAAACTGCAAACGTCAATAGATTGGTCTACAACAAATGAAACTCTGCAGGAACCATGGATTTTTCGACTAATTATGTACATTTAAATACAAGGATTTCCTGTACATGTTCACTCAAAGCAATTATTACGGGATCTGTGGGGTTTCATGCTAGATTCTAGCTAGATTTCACTCTGTTGTGTAGCCACAAATAAGCTCTATAGTAGGCCGAGAAGAGGGATACATAGAGCAATGAGCAATGGGAATGAATGCACCCTGCATATCCAACATTGACTGGTCCAGTGACTAGGCGTGGTAACCACCCCCATCATATACCCCTTGTCCAATATTTAGTCAGTTTAGCCCATAGCTCCATCATGTCTTATAATTCTCTATTGGATTTTGATATATAGAAACACCATGAAACACACATATACCCTCTGGTAAACTAACATAGCTATTGAAAATGGCCATTTATAGTGAGTTTTCCCATTAAAAATGGTGATTGTCCATAGTTATGTTGGTTTACCAGAGGGTATACATCCAAAACCAAGGATTGACAACTCTCCTGTCCACGTTTGGGACTGACATCTGATGCACCCGACCGCCTCGCAGCGACTCGCAGGCAGGAGCGCCAGCGCGAGGAGCAGCAACATTGGCCGCATCCTCCCAGTACATGGTTGGTCTTCTTCTCATAAAATCCCATGGAAAATGCGATACATTCAGGATTTAACCAACTATTCATAAGTATATATAGGGCTTTTATGTATATTATATAATATATATATATATATATATATTATATACACTTGTATATTATATATAATTATACATATAAATTATATTATATTATATTACGGTAACTACATTTAAATATACGGATTTTTTTTAACATACGAACAGGAATTTTAGACTACCTCCGAGAAGGTTTTCCTTGGCCCGCCAAGCCATTTAAACATACGGAATCCAATTCATTTAAACATACTGCAACCACATTTAAGTATACGAACTTGTATTTCATACTACCTCCGGGGCCTTGCGGTCTGGCCCGCCCTCCACATATTTAAATGTCGTTACCGTATTCTGGTTATAGGATTTTACCAGGACATCAGAACTAGCCAATGGGGTGACCTTTGCTGGGACCCAGGGACATGGTGAGGCTGCGAGGCCTCACTAGGAGGTTTGAAAAAAAAACAACTGCCAGGTAACACAACTGCCACAACTCACCAAATTCCGTTGATTTCCCTTAATGATGATTAATGATGATTAATGATGGTTAATGATGGTTAATGATGGTTAATGAGGGTTAATGATGGTTAATGATGATTTCCCTTTTCAAGAAAAGGCAAAACACATGATATTGAATTGGAGATCCACATGCCTTAATACATGTTCTTTTTTTCGATGATAACTCTCAACTTTAGACATATTATATCCATGTAGATCTGGTAGCCAAGCGTCCAAAGTAAGTCACCAGCTTTGGGTGACGATGAGATTGACACTAACGCAATGCCTGTGGGCTGCCACTACTACTGCTTGCTGTGCCTTTGCCTGCCATAGAACTGCATAGCATCTATATATATATGTGTTTCAGGATCTTCAGGACATGCTGACTGACTGACTGACATGGCTATTATCCTCTGGCAAACTAACATAGCTATTGAAAATGACCATTTATAGTGGATTTTCCCATTGAAAATGGTGATTTTCCATAGTTACGTTAGTTTACCAGAGGGTATCCTATGAAATCAGCCATTACAAAATGGATTCCTTCAGCCATCAGCCATTCATGTTGCTTCCCATGTGCTTTTCTGTGAGGCTGCCAGCCAGAAACGCAGCCAGATTTCTGCCATCTGACGGACGAAGCCACAACCCCATCGTTTCTCTTCGATATGACTCCTTTATCATCCACATATATACATATATACATATGTATATAAATATATATGTATGTGTATATATATATATATATATATGTGTATGTATATATATATATGTATGTGTATATATAAATATATATGTTAATGATATCCCCCAACTCAGTCACCTTAGTTGGATGTTGACAGATGTTGAAATGCTTCGCTTTCACTGAAACTTTCACACTTTTTCTGTCAAGCGTCGCCAGGTACCTCGGTTCAGGGATGGTCTGCCCTCGCCATTGAACGGTTCCCACTACCAGTGCCAAATGCCAAAAAAAAAGTGAGGTTCTCACATTCTCGGGGCTTCAAAAGGCCAATATCTACAGGGAAAAAACAGTTTAATCATTCATCATGTTTCATCACTTGAATCAGTTCATGTCCTGAAATGGGGGTACCCCGAAATCATCCATTTGAATAGGATTTTCCATTATAAACCAACAATTTTGGGGGTCCACCATTTATGGAAACCCCCATTTTGGGGTCCCCGAATCTTTGGTGACCCACCAGAGCCCTGGCTGGTTTTCTGAGTCCACAACGCCCTGCCAGAAGCGTCTGTAGCGTTCACTGCGCTCGAGGAGCTCCTGTTGAACATGTTGCATGATGAGATGCCATGCCAATCATTTGATGTATCATACTCTCATGCATTGTATGTATGTAATGTAATGCAATGTAATGCAATGCAATGTAATGTAATGTATGTATATTATCATATATATATCTATATACATATATATATATATATGTATGTGTTGGGTATACATACATAGATTACAATGCATTGCAATGCATGGCATTGCATTACATTACACTACATATAATAATGTAATATAATATCATATAATGCAATATACTAAAACATAATATATACATATTATACATATACATAATAAATGAAAACACACACACACATATATATACATACATAGTAAATATATATATATCTAATAATAATATCACATAAAGCCATACAATATATCATAATAAGAAATAATGTAATACTATAAACTATAATATATAGAATACAATACAATATGATATAATATAATATAATATAATTTGATAAAGTATACCATAGTAGAACAATGTGATTTAACCTATAATATAATGCAATACAATACAATACATTATAAAACAGTAGTATGATATTCACATACATAATATGATGTTGTTTAAACTAATAATAGAAAACAATATAATACAATATAATAACAACATGTTGTATCTTATATGATTTAACATAATGTAATATGGTATATCATAAGTCATAGTATATCATAATATATCATAACATATCATAATATATCATAATATAAATACATATATATATATATAACCTGGTCGGTGGTTTCAACCCCTCTGAAACATATTAGTCACTTGGGATTATTATTCCCAATATATAGACAAAAACAATGTTCCAAACCACCAACCAGTAGCAATATCATACCACACAATAACCTGTTTTAATAACATACAATAATACAATATATAGAATAATGTGATTTCATATAATGCAATGTAATATATCTTTAAAAAAAACAGCAACAACAACAACATATGAATTGATATATGAACAGAAATAAACTAGTCAACTCATCCAATCTAAACTCTGCATCTATCAGGCTCGTAGCTCTTGAATTTCTCTTGGGCTCAGACCTGATGTGGACCTTCTTCACTCACGACACCATCCTGCGAAATCTGGGGGTGGTTCAATGTGGGCCACCCACATGTCCAACTGGAATGTATACTGTATATATAATTATATATAATTATGTATATTAAGAGTGGTTCCCCTGAAATGTCAAGACTATTGGCGAAATTGCTAAAACTATTGAATGAACCTAACGTTTTGATACATTTGTGGCCGCTTCTCAAATGCTCGAAACAAGTCCCACTCAAAACCCGTGCGTGCATGTGTGCACAACAACAAAAAGGTGTATTGAAAGAAGATAACAAATACTCACAACAAACCGAAACAAAACAAAACCAAGGAAAACCTCTGGTAAATCATGGTCATGAGTCATGGCTGCCTGAAAAGGTGATTGTCCCATACAAAACATGTGGTTGCAGTTGTAACCTCATGTTCATCTGCTTTTTGGTTATGCATTTTCTTGGTTGCATGCCAGGTACAGTATATAGTCATCCTGGAGTAATTAGATAGAATGTGGATATTTCAAACAGACTCCCAATCATTGGAATCCTATTGATTTTTGTTTTTGGAGGTGCCCTAAAATTGGGGTACATGCCCCCAAATCATCCAAGTCATGAAATATAATTTTACTATTGAAACCATATATATATAGTATAACCATGTTAATTTTCCCACCATTTTTCCAGCATTTTCATGGTCAAATCCCAATCTTTCATGGCTCTAAATATACATCTCCTGTACCATCTGGTTATGACTGACATAGCCATGGCATAGATGGCCCATAGAAATAGATGGTTTACCTATTAATAGCATGGTGATTTTCCATGGCGAACTGTGAATGTCATAACCAGATGGTACAAATCCATACGAATTCGCCTCCAAAAAGGCCACCACATCACATCGCTCCACCGTGGCCAAACGATGCGCCACGATCAGCGAGGTGCGCCCTCGCATGTTTAAGGTCCAAAGATGGGATCATAGATGGGATCATAGCCGTAAACATATCTGTTTGGTGGTTTCAACCCCTCTGAAACTATGATTTATAGGTGATATGTATGATATATCTATCAATAGCTATGGCTTATAGGTGATATATCTATCAATAGCTATGGTTTATAGGTGATATATCTATAGCTGGTCGGTGGTGCAATAACCATCTTGAAAAATATGAGTTCGTCAATGGGAAGGATGACATCCCATATAATATGAAATGGAAAATAAAAGTCATATTTGAAACTACCATCCAGTTCTGTATGTTTGATAGGGGAAAGGATGATCAATTGTTATTTTTGTTGGGGGTAACCCTAGCCTCTGTTTAAAGAAAAAAACATATCTAAATTGACATTGTTTTGGCCCATTTTGTCAAAATTATTGCACCAGTGAAATTGAACCTATTATTGATCATCATGTATCATTCTGTGCCTTCTTGAATATGTTTCGTCACCAGTGCTCCGAGTAGCCTCTGAAAAGGCGTTTCTGAAACCCCAAAAACCATCCCTGTTGCAGCAGTTTCTGAAAGTCTCTGTTCATATTGTTTCATCATTTCAAAACAAAAAAATCCATCACTCTAGACAATTTTCTGACATTGTTGAGCCATTTCCCAATCCGTTCGTTTCCCACACTTGGGGTATCCCAAAACCATTGGTTACCAAGAAAATGCATCAATTTGCCATCCTTTCCGAACTCAACCCACTAAACTGCTTGGTTCACAGGTATTCCTGTTGTGTAACCTCCCATAATTTTATCCTCATGTATTGGTTAATAACCAGTACTTAACCATTAAATATCCATCAAAGCGCGGTTCAATGGTTGTGGGTATCCCTGTGACCCTCGTTGATAATTGCATTTTGCAATGTGTGATAACCACTACATCAGTCGGCGGTTCATTAAAATATTACAATGGATTTGTCCAAAAGTGGCATATATCCGGCAAACCATTGGTTAATCATCATATGTCCCGTTGAATTGACACTTTTGGGGTATATACCCTATTTTCAGACATACCTAAAATTTGCCACTGTTTTCCCATCCAGCAAATAACAAACAAACAGCAATTATCAGCATGGTTATATAGGGTCACATACTGATGGCAGAAATATGCCACTGAAAACTGATGGCATATGAGCATCGAATATCTCGAGAATCGTCGAAACCTGCCATCTGATGGTGTGATGCTTTTAGCAATGAAACAAGATAGGCATCAAAATGGCATGCCAACTGTGTGTGTGTGTAGATACCTGTGGAAACATCTGATCTCAACGGCTTGCACTCTTTCCAAGAAATTTGTACAGGAACGCATTGGAAACTGCAGTTTTATCAGCTGTTTTCCCCGATGGAGCGCCCCAAAGCAAAGGAAAAATTCGAAAACGGCAAAGAAACCCGTTGAAAGGATGGAAACTGCAACTTATCAGGAATTTGGCAGAAGCCGCACAAAGCAAAGGAAAACTTTGAAAATTGCAGAGAAAAATAGAGAAAATAAGCCATGTGCCATCTGTTTGTATGTAGTGACATGCTCAAATTCTGCAGGAAACCTTGGCAATGGACGAAAGAAACTTGGCTTCTTGGTCCCCTTAGCGCAATGAAATCATGAAAATGAGGCTTTCCTGCAGTGGGAAAAGCATGGAAATTGCAACTTTTTGAGCAGTTTCCCGGATGGAGCGCCCCAAAGCAAAGGAAAAACTAGAAAACGGCAAAGAAACCCATTGAAAGGATGGAAACTGCAACTTTTTCAGCAATTTGGCAGAAGCCGCCCGGCCCAACGCAAAGGAAAACCTTGAAAATTGCAGAGAAAATAAGCCATGTGCCATCTGTTTGTATGTAGTGTCATGCTCAAATTCCGCAGGAGACCTTGGCAATGGACGAAAGAAACTGGGTTTGGGCGCAATGAGATCATAAAAGTGATGCTTTGCTGCAGTGGGAAAAACATGGAAATTGCAACTTTTTCAGCATTTTAGCAGAAGACGCCCAAAGCAAAGGAAAACCTTGAAAATTGCAGAGAAAATAAGCCATGTGCCATCTGTTTGTATGTAGTGACATGCTCAAATTCCGCAGGAAACCTTGGCAATGGACGAAAGAAACTGGGTTTGGTCCCCTTAGCGCAGTGAAATCATAAAATTGAGGCTTTCCTGCAGTGGGAAAAGCATGGAAATTGCAACTTTTTCAGCAGTTGTCCCAGATGGAGCGCCGTAAAGCAAAGGAAAAACTAGAAAATTGCAAAGAAACCCATTGAAAGGATGGAAGCTGCAACTTTTTCGTGTGACCCCTTTATCCATCGAAAATTGCATTCAGGCATGCCATCTGTTTGAGTGCAACAACTGGTAGGATATCAACAGGTGGGTTATTTGCATTTCTGATGGCATATTGACGTCCTTTTGCCTATGCCATCTGATTGAAACCCCCTATAAAACCGGTAAATAGTCATCAAATTGATGGTTAAATATTGTTTGTATTCATTGTTTGATATCCCAGTATAGCACCATCATATCCCCATGTTCTCTCCCACATGTGGGTTTGTCTGACTTGAGAGCAGGCGGAGGCGGACGAAAGGTAGTGTAGTGGGAGAGGAGTGGTGTCAAAATGCTGCGCCCCTAAGATGATACACCAAAACCGTTTTTGCGCAGTCTAAGATGATTTTATCCAGAGCATGACTGCATGACACTGTGTCTTGTGCTGCGTGAAATGATGCACGAAAAGGGGTTTATTTAAAACCCCTTTTTAAGACCCCTTGCAGCAACTGTTATTGAGGCTGAAGCATACCAAGTATGCTGGACTACAGGGACATCTCCCTCATGGAAAGTGTGCCTCTAATGTGGGGGCCCGTGACCGCGTCACCCGTGGGAATTGAACCCATGACCATTTTCGGGGGGGGGGGGGGCCCCCCCCCTTATAATTGATATCCAATACATAACGGCGAGAATTCCATGAATTGCACGGGCTGGCCCCCCAATACCCCCTAAGCTTGTGCTGAAGCACGGAGAACTCAGGTAGCTGACGCTACCTTTCGTGAAAATAGGATAGCCCTAAATCCACCGGTTGCTTGCCATGTTCATCATTTGTTTCTCTTAAAATGCAAATTTGTTCAGTATCACCATTCTCAGACAACCCCAACTATCACTTTGTTGGTGAAACCCCATGATATAGTCTTCGAACTTTCATCATGGCCCCATTAGGCCACTCGTTATATCCAAAGACAGTTCTATCAGTTCTATATCCACCATCCCATAATCCAAGACAGTTGGTTCTATATCCATCCATTGGTTTATAATGGTAAAAACCCGTTCTTAAGTCCTTACCCTCTGGTAATTTAACAGTTCGCTATTGAAAATGGTCCATTGATAGTTGATTGACCTATTCAAGATGGACAATAGCATGTTAACCAAAGATTACCATGAACTATTAATGGACCTATTCATCTATTCAATCATCCATTGGTTTATCATGGTCCATTGGATTTTCCATAGCTTTTTGTTTACCAAAGGGTACCTTCTGGTAAACATACAAAAAGCTATTGAAAATGGCCATAGAAATAGTGGATTTTCCCATTAAAAATAGTGATTTTCTATAGTTATGTTAGTTACCAGAGGGTAAGTGAAATCATCATTAATCACCAGTAATCACCATCATTAACCACCATTAACCATCATTAATCACCATTAACCAAAGGGTATCTCCAGCCCATCCCCGGCCTATCCCTTAACGGGGACCCCGCGCCGCGCGCCTTTCATCAGCTCCGCCATGGCCTCCGCCAGGGCGCGCTCCGTGCGCACGTCCAGCGCGGAGGTGGCCTCATCCAGCAGGCACACCGACCTGCCACCAGGGCATGGGGCTTGAAGTTTTTCCAAATCATGGTCGGAAAATCATATATTGTACATATATTTATATATTGCTATTTATATATTGCTGTGAAATCCACAGGTGCCTATCCACCACGTTGGTCACATCTCACAGGTTGCATGTACAGGGAACATTTGGCTGAAGGATCCAAAAGGATGAGCCCGAGCGATCCCACGGTTCGGAGTCTTGAGTTTCCGCATTGGTAGCGGAGCCCGGACAATCCGGGCCCGCGCATGGTTGCCGCACAGGTCCCACGGTGGTGACCTTGCACAGGTGCCTATGGCGTCTTCATCGACTGGAGTTGATGGCCCCGGCGGGTCGATCCGCTATTTTAGCGGTGAATCAGAAGACGCCCTGGAATACAAGAGGTGGCGTAATTGGGTGGCGAACAAGCTGCTCACACTGGACAAGTGTGTGGAGCATTTGGACACAGCAGATTACCAGAAGCCAGGAGGAGACCAGGTACTTCTTCAACTCCTGGACAGTCGTTTTCCCCAGAAGGAGAAGACAGATGTCATGGGTGAGATATTGGGGGAGGTGTTCAATTTGAGATCCAAATCAAATGAGCCGTTGAAAGCATGGGTGGCTAGGGCCACCGAACTGTTTGACAGGTGCGAAAGGAAATGTGGTGTCAAGTTTCCGCCTGAGGCTCGTGGATGGATTCTGCTTCATCGAGCAGGCCTTACAGAAGAACAGCAGGCCGTAGTGTTGGCCAGGGCACAGGGCAAACTGGAGCGAGAGCAAATCTCAGTGGTCAAGTCTACAGCTGCTCACTTGGTTGAGGAAGATTCGGTTTTTGATCTGGACGAATCTGAGGCTCCCACTTTGGAGGCCGAATTTGCTGATGTGGAGCTGTTGCTTTCAGAACATCACCATCATGGACTGGATGAGGTCAATAGCAGTAGTGACGCGTTTTTGGAGACGGACGTTGCCGAAGTCCTTCAAGTTTCCTGGCGTGAAAAACGTGCCGAGCTGTCCAAGTTACAGAAAGCTCGAAAGTTCACAGCTGCCAAGGAACTCCGCCGAAGCTTTCGGGTGGAAGTAGAAGAATCGAAACGCAAGACCAAGCGCCATAGATGTGGAAAACAGGGACATTGGTCCCGAGAATGCAAACAGCCCAGAAAGGATTTTCCTCAGAAGTCCGAAACCAACAAGGGCTCTACGTCAGCCGCTGCAGTGGTGCAAGCAGATCAATTAGATTTTGTAGCTGCAGTGGAACATTTGGTCCCACACTCTGTAGCCTGGGTTGGTCGTGAGTTGACGATGCTGGAACAGCTGCGTGAAATGACACAGAAACGCACCGAATCTCAACAGACGGTCATCGAGAATGAGGTGCTGCTGGTATCATCACCCGGTTTTGGGGTGCTGGATTCTGGATGTAGTCGAACGATCATTGGAGTCGAAACACTGTCTGAATTTGAAAAGATGCTGAATCATCGCAATATGCCTCAGCCAAGTAGAAGAACAGAGTACAACAGTTTTCGTTTTGGAAATGGTGCTACAGAGATTTCAACTGAGGTAGCAATGTTGCCCTGTTTCCTAGCTGGTCGAAGAGGTGTGATTTCAGCAGCAGTGGTGCAAGGAAAAGCTCCCTTGCTCATCTCTCGTGGGGCTTTGCAAACGCTGAAGGCATGTTTGGATTTTCAGAATAACCAGATTCAGTTGTTCGATGATCGGGTCGTAGTACCTTTGGCCACAAATTCTGCTGGACAGTATGTGATCAATTTGTTGGACAAGCCCGACAATGCCAACGCAACAGTTGAGAATGGATCTGAACCGCTTGCTGCCGTGCCTTCCCAAGAGGCCCTGCCGGTTCTGCCTGATGTTGAGCATGAAGACACTGTGAACGCTGGGTTTCATGAGCCGTCCAACGAACCTTGCCAGGTGCCTCAGGACAGTCCGTGTCCTGCCCATGAATGTCCTGAAACCCCGAAATATGTGTGGATTAGAGAGGATTGGGGAAATAGCCATGGTCCCATAGCCACTAATGGGGGTCCTCAATGGGAGAAGGTAAAACGTAGGGTAATCCGCACTGCACTTCATGGGAAGATCCTGTGGGATGAAGAAATTGATCACAGCAAACCTCGTAAGTGGTATCATCACAAGCTGCCTGCCGAGCACACCATCACTGAATTTCACCATATGATCCATGTAAACATGACCCCAAGCCTCCCCATGCTGTCTCAACGTGATTGTCGTAGACTGCAACAACAGGTTATGTCATGTGCCATGATGGATAGGACCCATGTCAAGTCGAAGCGCATGATGGTGGTCGAAGTGTTTTCACCTCCGAGATTTGCTGAGGCGTGCCAGCGTGTAGGACTCAAAGCTCGTAGCATTGATCTGATCACCGGCCAGGATCTTACGGTGCCAGCTACTTGTAGGGAATTGGAACAAGACCTTAAGGATAACCCTCCCGAGCTCTTAGTCCTTTGTCCCCCATGCACTGATGAAGGTGGTTGGTTTCACTTGAACAAGCATAAATGGCCAGTAGAAGAGTATTTGAGACGCACCACCCAGAGCAGGAATTTCATCAAGTACTGTTGCCGGTTGTTCAAAACCCAGGTAAACCTAGGAGGTCGTGCTCTGTTCGAACATCCGAAGCCTGCCAAGACTTGGAAGTATGAAGAGATGCAGAACTTGTTGAAGAAATTTCCTTCTGTTGACTGTGACATGTGTCAATATGGGTTGAAAATTCCTGACAGTGATCGTTTCATTCGCAAGAGTACTCGACTGCTCCTGAGCCATGAGGACATGAGATGTCTAGGCAAGACATGCCCTGGTTCCAGTGATCCGTGTCATGTGTGTCATGATCATGTAGCAGGTTCACATGTCTCGATTGGCCGAGTGAGCACGTTTGCGGGTCGATACACGGAATCCTTTGTGCAGGCTGTGTTGGAAACCATTCCAGCATATCGCAAGCATTGTCACCAATGTCTAGAGGTGCACGAAGATGCAGTTCCAGACCGTCTCTGGCCGGAAGTGTTGGCTGTGGCTGAGAAAGTAGGCGAACAGTCTGATGAAGAACTCAAGGCTGTTTTGCTGAAGGCTCATAAGAATCTTGGCCATCCTGCCACACATGACCTTGTGCGCATACTCCAGAATGCACAAGCCAGTGACCGTGCCATTGCATTAGCCCGCACCTTAGAATGCCCAGTTTGTATCAGCCAAAGCAAGCCAAAGGCCGCTCTGCCGGCTCAACCGCAAAGGGTTTCCGAATTCAATAGGCAGATCGGCATAGATGTGAAACATCTCACCGGCTGGCGTCCTAACCAGAAGATCAAGGCGTTGAACATTGTTGACACTGCGAGTGGCCTCCAACGAATGATTCCTTTTACCAGTCCTGAAACCAGTAAGCTCCTGTGGTCCCTTTTGCAGGAACATTGGATTAGTTGGGCAGGCCCACCAAAGGAAATCGTGTTGGACCCATCTGCCACAAATTTGGGAGAGCCACTTATTGTTCCTTTAGAACACCGTGGTATTCATGTCCGCCAGATTGCTGCCGGTGCTCACTTCCAACTAGGGAAGGTAGAATCGCATGGAGGTTGGTTTAACCGTGTGTTGGAGAAGATCCTGACGGAGTTTCCGCCTTCAACTCATGAAGACTGGTTGGAATGTGTGTGTCATGCCCATGTCAAGAACAGCATGTTGCAACATCATGGAGTCACGCCACATCAGTTTGTGTTTGGTCGTAATCCCGATGTTCCTGAAGATCTTCTCAATGAACCCCAGCGGGTGGTCAGTGCCACTGCAGCTCTTACTGACGAAGCCATCGACCGAGCGAACAAGATCAGACTCTCAGCAAGAGAAGCTGTCATTCGTTTGCAAGATGATCGGTCCCTCCGGTTGGCTCTTGCTGCACGTCCGAGGGTTGTAGAAGATTTTAAGCCTGGAGATATGGTGGCATACTGGCGTAATCAGAAGTGGGTTCAGGGTAAATTGATGTTAGGGGGTAAATGGTATGGAACTGCCATAGTGTTGGGTAAAGTAGGCCGTAACTACGTCCTTGCTCACCGAAAGCAAATCCTCAGAGCTGCCCCTGAACAAGTTCGCTCTGCAACCAATGAGGAAACCACTCTGCTGAAGACAATGGATGTTGAGTTACTGGGAATCAAAGATCTCATTGAAGGAGGTGCTTTCAAGAGCCAGCAGTTTCATGACCTCACGTCGCAATCGTATCCATCGGTGGCCAATGTGAACACCGGTGAACCCACGTGCCTGGAATCAATTGAGTCAGAAAGGACTCCTGATGCCTCTGCCGTGCGAGCCAGTTTGCATGTGCCTGACAACCAAGTGCCACCGCTGGTTCAACAGCAACCAGCCGTACCAGAGTCTGCAGTAGGTGATGCCCCAACAGTGCCTGAATCTCTCGTTCCTGAACCGGAGCGTAACAGCCCGGAAATGAGTGATCAGACAAGCCACTCAAGTGATGTGTCCTCCACTTATGGTCCCATGAGAAAGGTACGAGGGAAGAACGGGCCTGATGCTTTGTGGCGTCCACCCTCCATGAAACAGGAGGATTTTGTGTCCATCATGCAGGAAGTTGCACCACAGCTCATCAGTGATCTTTTACACCAAGAACAATCTGAAGTTGCCGATTCAAGCATGTCTGCTAGCAGCCATGTAGGTAAGCGGAATCACGAACAGAGTGAATCCAGTGCAAGTGAAGAGCCCGCAACTTCCAAACAGCGTACAGCGTCTCCGAGCACAGAAGCCTTGTCCGTTGAGTGGTTGGATACATGTGACACTGCTGAAGTCCTCATTGCAGAATATCTCAAACATAAAGCTGCCAAAGAGATTCCCCATAGTAATTACTCACCAGAGGTTCAGAAGAAAGTTGATCAGGGTAAACGACTCGAGTGGGAAACAATGGTCAATAAACCTGGGGTAGTCAAAGTTCACTATGGTAAGCATGCTCAAAAGATTCGTGAGGAACAGGCCCATCGTTTCATTGGCAGTCGTTTTGTGTTGACGCGGAAAGCAATTGAGGAAGGCCAGGCAGTCAAGCCTGACGATCCAACTACATACACTGTGAAAGGGCGTTGGTGTTTGCAAGGTCATTTGGACCCAGATCTACAGCAGAAGGCTGAAGAAGGCAAGCTTCAGTCTCCAACATTGAGCCAACTTAGCCGTATGGTGTTGATGCAAGTCATTGCCAGTCATGGCTGGGATCTTGAGCTTGGAGACATAAAGAGTGCCTTCCTTGAAGCGGGGTTGTTGGACGACAAATACCGTCCATTGTATGCAAAGCAGCCACCAGGTGGCATTCCAGGTCTCCCAGAGTCTGCCGTGATTGAAGTGTTGGGAAACATCTACGGACAGAACGATGCCCCTGCAGCATGGTTTGGAACGTTCAGACAAGCAGCAATAGACGCAGGATGGATGCAGAGTAGTTTTGACAGCTGTTTGTTTACGCTTCGATCCAAGCAGGATAATTCGCTGATAGGAGTGCTGGGAGTTCATGTCGATGACACAGCTCTTGGAGGAGCTGGTCCCGAGTTCCGTTTGGCCGTAGAGAAGCTTCGTGCACGTTTTCCATACAGAAAATGGCGTGTCAACAGTGGGGAGTTTTGTGGTGCCTTTTGATCAAGATCCCAAGACAAAAGTCATTCGCATGAGTATGAAGAACTGTGCAGAAAAGCTTCGCCCAGCCAATATCAAACGAGGTGTACCACCAGAGACACCTCTTGATGCACTGCAGCAACGCACTTTGCGTGCAATCAATGGTTCATTGAATTGGTTGGCCTCGCAATCAAGACCCGACATTTCAGCACAAACCAGCATAAGTCAACAAGCCTTTCCAAATCCCAAAATTCGACATCTCCGACATGCCAACAATGTGGTTCGAAGAGCCCGCATGCACAGTGATTTAACTATAACGTTCACTCCAATCAAGCCAGAAAAGCTGACAGTCGTGTGTCATTCCGATGCGGCCTTTGCAAATGTAGGTGACTATACCCAAGCTGGTCATATCATTGCTTTTACCGAAACTAGTCTACAGGATGGTCAGGTAGCAGCATGGTGTCCCATAACCTGGAGAAGTCACAAGCTCACGCGAGCAGTAAGTTCAACTCTGGCGCTGAGAGCCAATCATTGGCTACGGCGTCAGGTACAGTAGAATGGATCATGTTGCTGCTGTCAGAAGTTTTGGATGGACCTTTCAAATTGCGTGACTGCCGAGAGAAGCTGAGTGTTAGAAAACCAATCCTGGTGACAGATTGCAAGTCCCTTTACGATCATCTCATGTCACCATCGGCCCCAACTGCAATTGAAGACCGTAGGACCTCCATAGACGTAGTCATAATCAGAGAAAGCATTCGTTCTCTCTCAGCGTTCATGCGTTGGGTTCCAACAGACCGTATGCTAGCAAATGCCCTGACGAAGGATCAGGGCGACCCTCTGGATATGCTGCGTTCGTGTCTAAAAAGCTCTGTGTACCAGATCTCGCCGGAAGATCATGTGTTGCGAATGCAAGCCAAAGAAAGAGAAGACCGACTCCAAAAGAGACCCAAACCAAGTTCCCCAAACTAGATGCGTCAAAACTGGAAGTTAGCCTTTCTATGCTCGTGGTTAACTAGTCTTTCTGTGGAAAGAATGCATAGATGGTCATTCGTTGTGGGGGTCATCATGAACGAGTGTGCTTGTTAAGCTGTAACTGCCAGGCGTTTTCCATAGGATCTCAAATAGCCAGGGTCATAGCCAAGTACAGTAGTTTTTTCCCCTCATGTCGCTCTCCAAGGGATTGAATGCCGATGAATCCAAGATGCTGCGCTCCTTGCTGCAGCGTGCTCATGAGAATGGTTCCTTGAACGTCTTCTTGCCCACATTGGGTTCTGAGACGTCTGATTGGTCAGAAGTCGAATCGCTGGAAGAGGATATGTCTGCCGCCATGAATGATGCGTCCAAGCGCCGCCTTGTGAGCCCAGATCGCCTGGATGCGAAGCATGGCCAGCGGCCAGACCAAGCAGCTTTCAAGCAAAGCTGCACCGGCTGCTGGAACAAAGTCTCCGACAGAGGAGAACTCAGTGAAGATTGACTTTGCAAAGATGAAGATTCCTTCGGATGTGCAGAGCATCGAAGATTGGGGCACCACAATCATGGCTGAGGGCAAGATGGCTCCTCGCCAGATGTCATATGCTGAGTTGGCCTCGTCACCGGAGGCAGATATCCAGCGCTACCTGCGTTGGCTGATGTTCAATGTCAATGCCAAGAACTTGCCGCAGTATCAGGATCTCTCTCACTATCTTCATGTCACGAAGTATGGTGAGGCTTCTGGGCCTACTGGATTCAACCGGGTCCGCAAGACCGGCTGATCGATCTATGGATGGAGCCAAATCTGTGAAAGATGTGATGAATGAAACAGGCTTGCTATGGGGATGGCAAGCGCACTGTGCCTTGCACTACCATATGGAAATGGTATCATGCAAATCATCCCCGGAGGACTTGTCTTTCAATTTTAGATTATGACCGGTGTGAAATCCACAGGTGCCTATCCACCACGTTGGTCACATCTCACAGGTTGCATGTACAGGGAACATTTGGCTGAAGGATCCAAAAGGATGAGCCCGAGCGATCCCACGGTTGGGAGTCTTGAGTTTCCGCATTGCTATATATAATATATAAATATAGCCATATATATATATACATATATATTGCTATTTATATATTGCTATATATATAATATATATAATATATATATATATATTGCTATATATATATTGCTATTTATATATATATATGGTGTGGCTTAATTTTGCTAAAAAATAAAAATATATGATTTGCACTTGAAGATGATTGAACATGGGGGAGATTGGGAAGTTAAAAGTGGTGGAAAGGGGAATAACTAGTGTGAACTACATCAAATGTATTAACAAAAAGGAAGGTTTTGGGGTCATGGTTCTCCGTACAAAGAAGAAACCCACCCAGTTATAAGCTGGTTTATAAACACAATTAACTAGACGTCCATGTATATATATATATGTATATATATATAATACAATTATATCATATTCAATGTATATATTATATATATATTGTATATATATATATATATATTGTATATATATATATTATATGGGTATAGTCTGATTAAGAGCTCTTTGCAGTGTTTGAGAACTTGTCATCGAATTCATAGAAGTTGTCCACGTTTGCAAGAAATTGTGCACGTTTCACACGCCCCCCTAATAACGTTCGTGTTTAACTGCTGTGGAATGGACGGCTCTCATTCGGGGCTCTTAACCAGACTATCCTGATATAATATATATATATTATTGCGTAAATCAACCCGAGTGTGCCTAGTTAATTATAAACCACCTTAGCGAACTATGGGGCACAGCTTAGTGGGCATAGCGCCACAATCTTCGCCATGGCATGGCACGCCGTGGGATCTGGGGTACCCCACGGATCTGCCAGCAGGCAGCGTGCAATGCCGATACGCTGTCGCCTGCCAAGGTGACTGGTGACCCTGCTACCCTAAAATAGCTGGTTAATGGATGGTTATCCTCCCACATATGTGGTAATATTGTGGCCATATTGTGGTAATAATAGGTTTTGAACCCATTCCAATATTGATATTAAGTGCGCATGATGTACACTCTATTTATGTCATGGTCCCTTGGAATCGAACGCGTATGGCTCAAAATACGGGTACGGATGGATTGTTCCTCGGTGATGCGGACGTATGGAACAAAAGGAGTTACGCAAATGATCATCATTGACCATCTAAATTGGCCATCAGCGTTGGCCATCTATTCCATACCATACCATAAATTATCATCTATATAAATTGGGCTATGTCAAAATAGATAAGTCATGGGGATAATCATCATATATAAATGGGGATCATGATCATCTATATATATATAGGGGGATCATCTATATCTATATCATATCATCTATAGGATATGTATTCACACATAATGATCATCTATAATCATCTAAATATACCATAACTATGTTAAATTACCAGAGGATCTCCCCATGGTTTCTTCATCCCCTGGGCTGCCGGACTCTCCGCCGCTGAGTTTCATGCCCCGCTCGCCCACGGCGGTATCGTAGCCTGGAGAGCATTTGGTGGGTAATAATTTATATATACATATATATATATTATCATATTATTATATACAATAATCATACCAGTAACCCAGTTATATAACATGTTAAATATCTATATACATGTATACACATATATATATATATATGTATATATATATTATATATATATCGGATGATGATATATATATATATATATACATACATAATTATGATATATTATAATTGTATATATGGGTTATTAATGGTTTATTAATTAGTAAATTACATAATCACTTTCTGACTGGGATGCACCCCGAAGTAGCTTTGTTTTAAACATCGGCAAAAATCACTGGGATACACCTCCAAGATCATTGCTTGTTTGGGAATGCCCAATGGTGCCTACAAGTGTGCCTATCAAGCCTCACTATTGAATTCTATAATATCTTCTACCGAACTGTTGCTTGGAAATAGGATAAGAAACAGCAAGGGGATTGGAATGTGGAGTGACAAAAAGAAGAAACGCGATAAAACAAGGATAATTCTAAGCGTGTCCTCTTTGACGCTGTTCACTAAAAAAAAAATCTACCGAGAAACTGGATGAGACCCGCAAGCCATCACACCTCCGACCATGGTGAGTGCTGCTCTTATCTGGTATTCCTTTGGCACCCAGAGGCATAGAGGAGATTGTTTGTTAGTGTTTGTTCCACACAGAATTTGAATGGTCTTCATGGTCTTCCTTAACCTTCCTTATACAAACAAACTACCACAATCAACCACACATTTTGGTTATCAGGGACCACAATCACTAACCAAACCTCAGGCCTTCTGGTAGAGACTCGATGTGCTCATGGATTTGCGCTAGTCTGGCAGCCCACTCAACCTGGCGCTGTTTGACACAAAAAATCTACGGGAACCTCGTATACTTGAAATGGGACCTCCTGGAAATGTGGTACACAAAAATGATAAATTCATACAAATTCAATAATACATTGATTATAGTTGATATCATCAAACTTGACTTGTGGGTACCATATTTTCAAACAAACCCAAATAGAAACAATACAAGGAACATGGGAAAAAACAGGATTATTTGTTCGTAATATGCACTAGATGTAGGCAATCAAAGTTGGGATGACTCTGAAGACTTGGAATATGCCACTTTTCAGAAAAATGTGGGTCGTTGCGGGAAATACTGTCCAAACTTTAGTGGCAAAAATGAACAAAAATGAACAAACATAACAACTTGTGCTGGCCTAGATATTCTCTGGTGGAAAGTCCGTTCCTGTAACAAACTGAACCTTCGTAGCATCCGGCCTCTGCATCTGTAGCATCAGGTCGGGCATAGCGGATGTTAAATCCTTGGCCAATCAGGTCCCTTCCTTGTCAAAGGATACTAATAGGGTACAACTGAAAAAAAAACACTAGTCAACAACTTTTAACTATATAATAAATTATAATAATATCTAACAAGTATACTTCCTTCCAACCTTGTTTTTTTTTAATGCACATTCAAGCTACAACGTGAGTGCCTGAGGCATAGGCTGATTGTGTCGTTGAATAAAGCGCAGTCCTGCATGCAGTAGAACTAAAGGAATGTCAGCTAAGAATGCTCCGGGATCTATCTATAGTTATATCATCATGAAAAGGAAACCGTTGGCCACTGCCCAGAACTGGGCAGCAAGGGTATTATGCTATGATATGGTTCACTGCTGTACAGGCTGCCTAGAGGTGATGGCCAGAATTGATCGATAAAACATGATAAATCACCGACCGTATTACAGCAATTCAACAAAAAAGTCAAGCATGCAAAAATGGCATAGAGTATCTTTAGCCATTTTGACATATTTTGACCATAAAAGGTATTCTGAAGTCTGAAGTAATGCAAATTTCCACAATACCCAAATGCATCCAAATGCAGTTCTCGAAAATATAAGTTTGTCTCAAAACGGGGAGTACGACAATTTATGCTATCACATGTGCTTATCTACATACAATCAGAATCAATAAGATATTATATTGTCTACTAGTTCTTGAAATGCTGTGTTTTGTGATCAGATCATATACCACCATATCATCTGGTTGGTGGTTTTAAGTTTTAACAATCTTCAAACATATCAGTCAATGGGAAGGATTACATCCCATATATATGAAATGGAACATTAAAAAAAATGTTTGAAACCACCAAACAGTCATATAACAATCATATAATATCATATACCCTCTGGTAAACATACAAAAAACTATTGAACATGTTGAACATGGCCCATTTATAGTTGATTTACCTATTAAAGATGGTGATTTTCCAGTTCGCTTTTTGTATGTTTACCAGAGGGTAAGTGAAATCGCCATTAATCAACACCATTAATCACCATCATTAACCATCATTAACCACCATGAATCACCATTAAACACAGCCATTTTCAATGGAAAATCACCATTTTTAATAGGTGAACCATCTATAAATCTATGGGCCATCTATACCATATTTGTTTTCTTTCCACCGAGTCATGACCATTGCCCATCGATCCTGTGGCACAATGCCCAGGAAGCGCCGGAAGGACGCCAGATCCAAGGTCTTCACATCCTGGCCATCAATCAGCACCTGGCCGAGGGATGACCTTTGATCAGAAATCATCTGGTGGAGCACCAAATGATAAAGTTACGGATCAACATTTCAAGTACCATCTGGTTATTTAACATAGCCATGGTATAGATGGCCCATAGAAATAGATGGTTTACCTATTAATAGCATGGTGATTTTCCATGGCTATGTTAAATAACCAAAGGGTATAAAAAAAAAAACTATGATAAAGGTTGAACAAAAACACCAAGTCGCTACAATTTCTGGTGTACATATAATCATGTATAAAAAATGACGATTGTGAATTAAAATCATGTGTAGCACTATGATGGAAGTTCAAAGTCGAGTCATGGTGTCGCAGTCCGCCGGAAGCGTAACAGCTGGGCAACAGAGGTAAACATTGGATTGCAATGGATAACCCATGATATTCCCAAAACAAATAAACCATAATAAACCACTGTAAGATCACGTGCTACGAGCGTGCTACGTGGCCCAAAGCGTGAGGTTGCATGATATTCCATTCCTATATTAGATTCCCCGAAGAGTATACAACATTTTACAGCTGAGCAGTGTTCAAACCCTACGTTGCCCCTTTATACTGGAATGTTAGTTCATAGGGATTCACTTCATCGATAATGGATTGTGATATTCCCAAATATATTTGTTAGTACATACCCGAACTAATCATCAGTCAACCATGATTTTTTTGAGTTACATCCACTTATATCCCCAATAGTTTGATGCTCAACACCCTGTTAGTTTTGATGCTTAAATCATAAAACAACCGGGGTTTTGATTACCCTCTGGTAATGACTAACATAGCTATGGAAAATCACCATTTTTAGTGGGAAAATCCACTATAAATCACCATTTTCAATAGCTATCTTAAATTACCAGAGGGTACTACGCAGGCAGGTGGAACACCATCATTATCAGAGGTATCCATCGCGAGCCTGCCCCTGTTGCGGGTCGTTGAGGCGATACAGCAGTCGCAGCAAGGTACTCTTGCCGGAACCTGGCATAAAGGGCCGGGACCCGAAATAGGGAACACTCGAATGTCATCTGGCTGAATTGTAATAGGATTTATATAATGGATTTTGATGGATCTATTAATGGAAATATCATGGGATTTAAGGGATCTGGCTGAATTAGACAAATTCACGAACCTGAACATAGTTGAAAACTTGCGGCCATTCGGGGATGATTCCAGTTACCACAGTTACCAAGCATCATTTCAGTGACGTCACAGTGAGGACATTATTACCCTCTGGTAAATTAACATAGACCCTGGCAGATAGGGGTTGGAAGACTAGTGACTAGTTTCCATTAAAAATTGGTGATTTTCAGGGTCTATGTTTATTTACCAGAGGGTAATCCACGATGTCATATATAAAAATTCAAGGTATCTTTTGGTGAGAATCGATAGCTTGGCCATCTACAGTATAAGTTCACAACTAGTTCACATAAATTCACGTACAGTAAATTCACCATCAGATTCTGATGACTGGATGGCCAATTTCGTGTCCAAACCTACTTTTTGCAAAGTGAACTGTAAAAATAAACAGCCGCAGCTGCTGGAAATGACCGGGGCATCGACCGCTGGATCCAACGATGGCAACTTTGGAGCCAGGCTTCACGTCCTGGCAGCTGTGTTCACATGCAACACTTGCACCAAAGATACTATATTATACTATATTATGTATAGCACATATGTATAGCACTCAATGAGTCTCAAGTACACAACTTCTATTCAATCAGAACATATCATAGCTGCATGGATGTCAATGAACATGATGTTTAGGTACGAGGCTGGGACATTTATCTCTCCCAGTGTTGGAGTGTATACCACCGCAGACTTCCAGAACAGCTGGGACATACCTGTATCAACCGGTATTAACCATCTCTATGATACATCTGTTTGTCATGTATAAGAAAGAAACATGCAAACTTATACAAGTATTCACTTGTATCCCGTAGCGTTTAACCATAACTGGTTGATCATTCCTAGCAAAATCTATGTAGGAATGGGAAGTGACTATATGGCCTAGCCGCCTAGCCACCTAGCAACACCTATCCAGAAAAACAAAAATGATAAATAAACAACAAATGACCAAACATCAAGGGGTATCATCCCAGCCTACCTGGCGTGTTGCGATGTCATCCTGTGGCGAACCGTACACTTCAACCAGTATGTAGTAGATACATCCATTTGAACAACATAAAACAAAATCATGCTGGCAACACCAGAGAGGCTCCCTCAAGAACCACATTGTGCGCATAGGAGTAGTGCACATCACGGAACTCTACACGGCCTGGCAGGTGAGAATGGAATGAGTGGGAAAGGTGATGCTGTGTTGCTGTCATGAATCCAAAAGGCTTATTAGCTACTTCAGAGTGGGTTAATTCATGCCTATAGCAGCCTATAATCTTAATTTGGATTGAGACTTGGCAAGTCGGGCTATTAATAGAATTCTTATCCAGTTGCTGCCCATGTAAGAGAACAATGCTTTAAACAGAACACAAACACAATGTACAGTATGATTCAGTATGATACATTTCTTTTAGAATGTAGAGTATTATACAGTCACATTAAACTTTGACATCTTTGACCATAATCTCTAAGCCAGTCATTCGCGTCGACAGAACTCCCCATGCCTCCATGAAATTGGAAAGTTGCACCATCCTCTGGTGGTTGTACAGCAGGAACCTGCTGGAATTCTGGTGGTCACATGGACATGAACTGACTGTGATTTTAGTCATCCATTTTTTGTCCGAGAAATATGTCCAATTTATTTCATTGGATGATGTTTTCTTGATCTGGCCAATCATTGAATTTGGACCCAGACACCTGCAAGTGCCAGTTGGCTTCTCAACTTTTCTGGCTTCCAAATACTTCAGATTCTTCCTTATATATGAGTAATCATATATATATAATCATATATATATATATTTAGATAACCAAATATATATATATATACACTATCATATCCCATTTAATAATGCAACCGCCCCACGACGCGCCTCCTTCAGAAAGGCTTGCAACTTTCCCAGGTCCACAAAGCCTTGAGTCGTCACCTGATGGAGATGCTGGAGACACTACTCGGATCTCTTTTTAATCTGACATGGAACAACAGGAAAAACATGTGGTGAATAATGGTGAATAATGGCTAATGGTGGTGAATAATGGGTATCATGGCTAATACTGATTAATTGTGGAGAATGATGGTTAATAATGGGTATACCCTCTGGGAAATCAAACATGGCAAGCTGGAACATCCCCTGTCAATGGAGGTTTACAGCTGGGAAAATCAAGTAGAAATGGGTGATTTTCCCAATGCCATAAAACATGCCTAATAATTGTCATAATATACAAATCTAAATTGGTGGTACCTATGATACCCCAAATGTTGAGTTTATCATTGGTTCTACCATGTTCTACCACAATAGTGATTTCTATTGATTTCTTGAGGCAAACTGACTTCAAGGCCTCTGAAAGTCAGTCTACACAATTCTACACATTGAACTTTGCCAAAATCATTCGAACTCCGTGGTTGCAAGACAAGTCTTGTGTTTTCACCGCCACATTGCCACATCAACCGTCGCCACTGCGCCATGCTGCGCCCGGCTGGCCCTATCTGGCCCTTTTCCCTGTCGCAGTTCTTGCTTCACAGTCTGCGGGGGGCCATGTCTCAAAGGAAGTAATCCGGAGTGCGCTTCACTCCCTCGGCTGGAATCTCCTGCGAGCTGACCGGAGTCGATGCAGAACTGACTGACACCCTGCGATAATTATAGCAAAAAAGCTGTGCACATGAAAAAAACATCTCTGAAAAGAGGGTACCCTCCGGTAAACTGTCACATAACTATAGAAAATCACCATGTTCAATTGGAAAATCCACTATAAATAGTCATTTTCAATAGCTATGTTAGTCATTACCAGAGGGTAGGTACCCCAAAAACCCATGACCGTCATGAGACCCAAATGGCACTTAAGATCTTCTGCATCCCATCCCTCCCAGCTGGATGGGAAAAGCACCAAACCTTCTGCACGGGAGGCGGGTCGAATTGCAAAAATGTGTACCTTGATGAAAAAGGTCAGAAGTTACAGAAAGAAGGGAGAAATGTCATGTCTTTTTCCAGCAGGATTTCAGGATGGCCTGATTTAGGAACTTCCGATCCACTATGGCCCTAGTTGTCATGATCACTCTTTCACAGCAGGACTGCAGTGACTTAAAGGACTCTGATGCACACACCTTTGACAAACAATCTGATGCTTATGAATGTTTATCATGTTTTGTCAACATCAACAGGGTCCTGTAATGGTGGAGGAAGGAATCATGATCAACCACTTGAAACACAGAAGTCCTTGCAGCCAAGGCACTTCAGATGTTCATCAATTTCCATGACGGCTGCTTGATTGCCACACCTTGGGATTTTGGATTTGATGAAATCTTGAGTGATGTCGAGTTCGATCAAAGGATATGTCCAGGGCAAACGAAACGCACAGAGAATATCCTTTCAAGGTGCTGCAGTTCCACTCACCCAGAAACTTAGCTGAAGCAGTGCTGAAACCATGTGTGCTAGGGTCAAAACATGGCATACAGTTTATGGTCATCCATACCATATCGGGAATCCCTATAATGGGATAATAGGTATATGTATAATATCATATCTACAATATATATATATATATATCTCATATAGATCCATATAGTGCATATATAGATAGTAGATATATATATATATTATATTATATATCATTATACATCCCTATGATTGAAAACACATGCCATGATGATGGGATAATAGGTAATTATATGTATAATATCATATCTACAATATATATATATATCCCATATAGATCCATATAGTGCATATATAGATAGTGTATATATATATATATATATCATTATAAATACCTATGATTGAAAACACATGCCATGATGATGTCTTTCCACACAAATTCCGCACAGAAAAACACCTCGCCTGTAGCAGTAATTTGGTGCTGAGAAAATTGTCACCACGTGCCTGGCAAAAGTCAAAGAACTTTGAGGGTCACAGGGGTACCCACAATCATTGAATGTGTTTTTTTGTTGTTACTGTTGAATGGTTACTATGTGATGGGTTTTATATAATAGATATGTTTTAAGATGTTTACTGTTTAATCATCAATGTTTAATGATGATAATTTAGCATGGTTTAGCATGGTTTGGCATGGTTTAGCATCATGTTCCCTATGAACATATATTCAACATGGCCCTAATGGGCGGGTAACGCCCCATTTTCAGTTACCAAACCCAAATCCGAAGCAAACGCGTTTAAACTCAGGACTTCCTCCCCAGTTGTTTCGCCAGGTTTGGCCCAGAGATTGGATATTCCTCCGAATTAGTCATGGATGTCATGGGAAACATGTTTCCAAATCACTGATTTTTGCGATATAACTTGACATGACCTGCTTTTTGGACAAGGTGTCCATGTCCGAGGGGTCCCCCATCCTGCCTATCATGACACCAGTTGTAGCCCTCCATTACAAGCTGGTGGGCTCGTGCGATCAGTTTGAGACCATTGGCATGATTGAACCTCAGCGACAGGTCAATGAGTTTTAACTTCCAGGGTTATCCTCTGGTAATCCAACATGGTAATAGCAAATCCGCACTTTTCCAGACTTTCTATGTGAAATAGTGAAACATACTCGCTTTGTACTCTATGATCTCTATTTGTATGAACGCATCTAAGTGAGGATTTCCATTATCAGTTTTTAGACCAGCAGGGTGAGAAGCGTGGTAAATAAATAAAGAAACCCTCGGGTTCCGTCTCCCCCGTTGTGGCTATTGTTCACCTATAATTTATGGAGGAAGGGGCCTGGAAGCCCGCAACGAGTTTGTTGATCTTGAAACAAGCCATGAAGTGGTAGGTTTGGCTAGGATCCATGCACTTTTCTAAAATCAATATTGTGCTACACACGCGTGGTGATTGGACCCTGTGTGTTTTTTTGGACCTACAAGTAAAATCCAGTTGGTTTGCCATCATTTTCCCATTAGATACCCTCTGGTAAACTAACATAACTATGGAAAATCACCATTTATAGTGAGTTTTCCCATGAAAAATGGTGGATCTTTCCATAGTTATGTGACAGTTTACCAGAGGGTAGGTCATATTTTTTCGTTGGGACGCCTTTGCCAACCTTCCGTCTTCCACGACTGAGCCACTGCTCTGAAATGTCCTGACCAAAGGTGTAGCCAGCTCCTGCCGAGCCGAGGGTCGGATTTACCGAAACCTCACGGTGTAGCCAGGATAAAATGGGTTTGTCTGAAAATAGGGTATATTTTCCATAGGGTATGATCATAGCTATTATCCCTATTATCCCTATTTTTCATAGGTTTTTCTGTATCCTATTATTCCCAATGAAATAGCCATTTAATAGGGATAATGATCAGCAAAACCATTGGGTAAAAAGGGGTACACAACATTTTCAGACACACCCAAATGACTGAAAAGGGTGGTAAACAAAAACTGGTTGGTGGTTGAGCCACCCCTCTGAAAAATATGAAAGTCAAATGGGATGATGACATTCCCAATATATGGAAAAATGAACCATGTTCCAAACCAACCAGAAAAGCATATTGAACCATTCTGAAAGTGTTTTTTTGAGTAAATCAACTGGCTGATTGTTGATGTTGTTGGGGGTATCACCAATACAAATGGCAGAGGCATAAGTTAATGACCTGCTGGCCGGTGTCTTTCAACCATAAGCTTCAAGAATATTTGGTGGGTGACCAACGTAGATACGTTCATGTTGTATGTAGTGAATATGGCAAATAATTGGGGCGCAAATCTAATTAAGCGGTTTGGTGTCTTTTCTCCGTTACCCAGCTAAACAATGGATAAAACTCAGCTTGATCATTGTCCCTTGGATAGAAACTAAGAACAATCGACCCACGTTACCGAGACCAACAATATTGGTGCCCGAAATGTTCGTCTTGCAATGTTATAGATCTGTCTGAAAACGGGTGATACCTCAAACATGGTTGTATATTTCAATGGAGAAATGATGATAACATATGATAACCATTCAATCATTGGAGCAGCCGATTTTCAGACAAACCTATATTCCCTACACAAAACATATATTCAATATATTCCCAATGCCCAATATTCCCAATGAGACCACAAAATTACCGGATCCAATATGGTCCAACCGTGCTTTCACGACTCGAAGCGTGCTCCTCTAGGGGAAATGCCCCATCCACAGCGGTCATCTGGATCTGACCAAAGCAAGTCACACCTCCGTGGCTGGGTGGGTCGCCCCGTTGGGTACCGTTGGGTACACCCAAAATATGGATGTTTCAATAGCATTCAATAGCTCCAAGTGATATGGTGATAAGGATCGACCGTCTAGACCGTCCCACTGCAGCTGAGAAGCATTGGACCCTCATGAGGGACCTGGTGCGAGCCGCTGACTATGCCATGTTGAGGAGCTACATCGCCATTGAATAGTCTCAATAGAGACACATGTTTCCGCAGCGTTTGTTCAACATCTCATGAATCTGTGTGTTTTCTGAATACATGACATTTGCATGACATTTACATGACATGTCAGTGGATTTCACCCATCAACTGCCGAAATCTTCGTTGTCTTCATCCCCGCCTCCTGAATCCGATCCAATTGACGGATGTTGTCCAAGGAATCCAATGAAGGAGAGATTCCTCCATGCATGCCTGGGCGCAGAAGGATATCAAAAAAAAACATGGCAAGGAAGCGTAACATAGGAAGATCAAAAGGGGATAGAATCATATATGTATACGATTACGATATATGTATGTGTGTACATATATCATATTTGTATATTGTGTGCATATATAGTGTATATATATATATATGTGCATGTAGTGCATGTATGATGTGTATGTATTTATATACATTTACAAATAGTGCAACTACACTATTATGCAAATATAGTTGCCTTACCGTGGACTGGTGAGAACCAGGCGTGTATTATTCTTAAACATTAATCCCTATCTTTGGGGAGCTCTGTTTGGAACTGATTTTTACCGCGGAACTGGCCAACTGATGTTTTGGAATGTTGTTTGGGAAATTACTTTAAATAAACTGCCCAGCGGAACTGATTTTTTTTAAAATGATATCTATTATTTAATTTCCCAGATGACTGTATCAACCGGAAGACCTGCTCGTCTTTCGGACGTCACTTGCCATGAGCTATCCCGTTGCAAAGAGAAAAGGCAACTCAACTGAGATCAGGAACTGAGATTTCTTTCAGGCGGAAACACATGTTCAAATTGAATTAAAATTTCAGTTGGATTGCGAATTCAAAATCGAACAACAACTGTCTTAGAAAGCAAATATGGCAGCAACCCAGTAACCCAGTTCCTAGATCACACTTGCTGCCAGCAAGACTGCAGCCAAGATGCAAATAATTTGGTTCTCAATGACGGCTGTGACCTGGGCTGTGGCGCTAAGAGTGACTGAAATGATCAATCAATTGCCCGATTGCTCGTCACAAGATCAAGGAAAAAACATACTATATGACCATATATATATATATATATATACATAGCTATATAAGGACATAATTATGCATATAATATATATATATATGTATACTGTATACGTATCATGATATATAAATATATTTTTTTTCGAATTTCTTATACTGGAAAATGTATGTGCTGATTCTTCTTTGTCTTTCTGCAAGGGGGGTTCCCTGGTTTCGCCCATTCCATCCCATGGTTGCAATGTCACTGCCGCTTTTTTGGGGGTGGCCCATGCTTATCCCATGTTCCAAAGACAAACATATCAAATCATGTGGTGTATATATATATAAATAATATATATATATATATATATATTATATATATATATGCCATCAAAATTTAAATCCCGTTGTATCCCAGTAAAATGCTTGGCTTTCTACCTCGATTAGGGCAACAAAAAGCGCTTTAGACATGGTTATCTTACCATCACCAAAAAGACCTCCCGCTGAACCCCCAGATCTCCAACTGGCAAGTAGTCAAAGGAATCGGTGAACAGCTTCCACACCTCGCTGCGAACAGAACTGGGAACTTTTTTATGGGACTCAAACTTGGGTTCCACACAAAAATGGGTTCCACAAACAAAAAACTGGTGAATATCCAAAGATAACCGAAAATTCAAAATATGGTTCCCAAGTTGGATGCAACATTTTGAGGAATACCACAAGAAAAAATACTAGTACCCTAAGGATCCATGTATGGAATATTTACCTACATTGGGATTATTTTAAATTACTTTAGGGGTCAATGTAGGTAAATATTCCATACATGGATCCTCTGGGGTAGACTAGATAAACATGACCAACGTGGAGCCATGAGCCCCAATCTCCCGACCTGTGGGCCACGATAGGCTCGCACGCATTCATCAAAGAAGCCATAGACCTGCGTGATTTGGCCTTGGAAATGAAAAGGCCGTGATTCTGCAAGGCTGCACGAGAATTTGACTGTTTGAATCCCTTTGATATATCATTTGATATATTGTTTGATATAGCGTTTGATATAGCGTTTGATATAGCATTTGATATATCGTTTGATGAGGCTGAACGACGAACGATAGATAGCTAACTGAAACAAGGTGGTTTCAGGGATGTTCCCCTTACCAACAATCATCTGAATCCGCTCACAATTCATTCAGGTTTGATACTATGCAGCCAAAGTTAAGAGTAGGAGCAAAAACATGAGGAAAGTAATGGAAAGTATATGCCTTCAACCCCAGGCTTAAGATGACTTGTCCTATTACCCAATATATTACATTGATTAACAGAGGGTCATCACCAATCAGGGGGTTCCTCGGGCCACTGCTCAAGGTGCATGGCCCAGCAAGTCACGCCCCAAGCCCAACAAAATCAAGCAACGACTCTCGTGGTTTCCTCGCAGGATAGTGATGCGCTCCTGGTCAGGCTATAGGGGAAGAGACGTGGAGGTACAAAAATAATAAGGTCGCGGACCAATTGTCCATCTATCACCATTATCTACTTTCAGGAACTTCAGATACCTTCTCCGATGCTTGCGTTGCAAGCTGTCCCTCCCAGGCCACAGAAAAGCTTCTCCTTAAAGCGGACTTTGTACAGGAACATCAACGACACCGTCTTCACGGAGTAGTAGCCGCGGTCCACATAGTCCCCCAGGAACAAATAGTTGGTCCTTGGGCTGACTTCAGTCCTTCGGTTGGGATCATCCATAGATTCCACAATTGTGGTCAAACCAAGTATTACCCTCTGGTAAACTAACATAACTATGGAAAATAACAATTTTTAATGGGTAAACTCACTATAAATGGCCATTTTCAATAGCTATGTTAAATTACCAGAGGGTACACCTCATACTGGAATTTGCAGGTGATTTCCAGCATCTCAATCGTCTGAATCAGGCAGTCTAAAAATTGCCAATAAATGAAGCCATGCAAAAAAAATCTACATTAGTACCCCGGGTTTACCCCACAAATAGTTAAGATGTAGATACATATAGTACCAGCACCAAGGAGCATGTGGATTATTGGGGTGGGCCAGCAGTTCTCTGTATGTCACATGTACACACATATACATCGATAGATACTATGTATAATTATGTATTAGATAATTAGATAGATGCATGTCATTGAAACAAAGTGGTCATAGTCCAGCTAATTTATACTGACATATAAAATTATATATCCACAAAACAATTGGCATGTAAGTTTCACATAAGAAACGAGAAGTCAAGGCAATCTGACCATGCTCTGTCTATCTAAACACCATCCAAGTTGTGAAACAGAAAACACCAACAGCTTATGAGCAAATCTCATCAAGCCAAAGGTCTCTGGCAGTGGACCTCCAATGCGAAACAGCTCCTGGCAGCCGTTAGTCGTCTCACCATACACAGTGGGTTTTCATGGTGGTTGAGCCAATCTGCATTGCTCTTTTGTAGATGATCTTCCTATTAATTATTAGACATGGCCGTATTGATCTTCCACGTCTATGTTGGAATTCTAGCTATACATTGGGGATTCTCATCTCAACTACGGATAGTCTTTGTTTTCCAAATATAACACAACCAACCAACCTCACAAGCTATGGGACAGGTTGAAAGCTATTCAACTTCCATTTTTTGTCACGCAAACAGCATACTGTATCATACTGTAGCAACATGATTTCTTGTCCTTGCCCCGATGGTCCAAAAAGAAATGGGGGCATTGGGATTAGGATTTGTCCGAAAAGTCGGCCCAAATCCATCGGGTTTGTCATGATATGTTCCGTATACAAAGATTGCCGTATTAATTGGGCTTGAATGCATCATGTTCAAACACACCGAAAAGATATGAACATATCATATGATTGTGGCTTGTATATATCCCCTTGTCCCCATCATTATTCCCTGATTTCTGGCTATACACCCATTAGATCTCCAACCTCCATACTATCCCATGCAATATATCCAAGAAATTACATATATATATAGTTTTGAATGAATGAAACCATCTTAGTAAATGATAATTATTTCATAATTATAGTTTATATATATATGTCTATATCCCAAGGTCTGGCTGCAAGCTCACGTGCTGGGAAGAACTACCCCCCCAGCTGTGAGTAGGGTGCATCGTCCAGCCACCGACCTCAGCGGGCCATATTCGCCCGCGGGCTGCTGTGCGCTTCTCTACAGCCGGCAGCTTTACGCAGTTGTGCTCTTTTGGTCTTGGGCTGGCCAAAAACACCATTGCTCATTGACACCACCTTCTTCGATTGGTGACTGAGCCCTACTTTCTGGACTATTACGTCAAGCAACTGAACTGGTAATACCCTGGTTGTATTGATTGTCCTATTCACTGGAACTACTGAACTGTTTCGCACTGGTACTTCCTTGTGTTGGTATTTTCTGATTGGCTGCATATTTCTTGGAGATTGTGTACACGATCGGGCTTGCACTGTGGTTGATTCTATCCGCTTTGCTTTGACATTTATTTCTACCTTGCCGAAGTGCTGGCGAAGTTTATGTTCATACAGCTCCTCCTCTTACACATCCTCGGAAATTTTTGCGACCATTCAGGAATCTACGGCATATCGTCGCCGACAGCGGCGCCAACGTGCAGCAGTTCGGAGAAATTTGTGGCTTCATCGGAAAGGCTACATCAAACTCACTGCAGGCCGTCTACGACAAGCAGCCCAAACCCTATCAAGGCACCACTCTGTGGATCAAGTACATCTACATCGCATACACCGACTCATTGCTCAGGTGTCTGGGAAGATGACCGAGTCCTGGAGATGCAAACGGTGTTGGGAAGTCCTCAGTGGGAAACACCCACACTGTCCGCACTGTGGTGGACACTGGAACAAAATGCAGGATCAGAGCTTCGTGCCACCCGAAAGGGAGCATTCCCAGCGGCCGAAGAGTCGTGGGCGCTCGCCGCATGTGAGAAGTGCGCAAGACTCTGGATGGAATTGGGATGTCACAGATGGACATCCTCAACGAGATCGCAGTGGATCCACCAAAACAACAAGACAGGGAAGAGGACGACGCAGGACAAAAAACAAAAACAAGGGCCCGCCATATGCAGCACTGGCCATGCCTCCGCCTTGGAAACCGGAGAGTACGCCCTCAAAAGAAGCAACCTCGACCTCCTCTGCAATTGCGACAGCACAAGCAGAGATGGTCAAAGAGATCAGAGATGCCTATGTGGACGAGAAGGACATGCCGGCCAATATCAGACGAGTGGTGGAGAGGCTCGACCCCAACAGCGGTCGTCAACTCACAGCCTCCATGAACAAAACCACCAAAGATCTGGAGAAGGCACGGACCACTTTGCGGCAGCTCTCAGATGCGAAAACGAAACATCGCACACAGTGGATGAACCACATGAAGAGCTTGATGGAGACTCTCTCCAAGCAGGTCGAAGCATTCGAGACTCAACAGAAGTCCTACGACGAGAAGCTCAAGTCCACCCAACGAGATATCCAAGTGACAAGGAGAGAGCTGAGGAGGCTTACGGCTCAGGCCGCAGCCGACCATGCCACCGAAGTCACCGAGCCGATCATGGAGGAGGACGAGCAAGCGGACAATATCGTCGATGTGGAGGAGGATGCCTTGCGCAACCAAGTCCACGACCTGCTGGCAAAGTGCTTGAACACGGCCGACAAGTCCAAAGTGGTGGAGATCAACTCGGGCGAAGAGAACATGGATACCAGCACCGAAAGAGGCAACAAAAGGCCCCGATCGGTAGAACCACTTGGCTCCTCTGCCAAGTGATGCTGGGCAACGATGGTGTTTGTCTTCGGAAGGACCATCGGGAGCCAAATGCATGTTCAGTCAAGGACGCCGGCAACCATGTTGAGGCCTATGACTGTCAATGGGACAGTTGTGCAGCAAGCCTGGATTGCAGCTACAAGCCTTGGCCGCTCCACCCTCGCACCTTCAATCAAGACCACTGCGTGCAGCCCTTTATGGCACTTCACAATGCTCATATTTTGGCAATGCAATGTGGTACTTTTGCGCAAAAATCACGTGAAGACCTTGATGATCTGTCCTTGATCTCCTGTTTTGGGCCTTTGCCAACTTGGACGCCGTTTTCCAAACAGCTCAGCGCTACAAAAACAGTGACTTTCTCCTCTCTTGTCGAAGTTTACAAGGTTTCTGAGGATGAGATCGGATGTGATCTCAAGTACACATTGAGTGATCAATTGAAGGCGAACCCACACATGCATCATTTCACTGATGATCATACCAGACCTACACATGAACGATTCCGTGATGAATTTCAACAACAACCACAAATTGATGCACATGCCCATGTTCTTGCACAGCAACCTGTACACATCCAGGATCTGGCAATTACATTTCATCGCTTTGGAGTTTTTGACCCACGCATGCAAGAGAGGTACATCAAAGTCCTCACATGGTTTATACATGGCCAAGACACTCGTGAGTGCAGAATGCCCCGCATTGTGAGACTTCCAGAAGATTTCACAAGATGGAATCAATTGATGACCTCTGCATGGCATGGACTTTTACATCCACATGAAGCGATTTGGTTCTTCTTTGTTGAACCTGAACCTCCCACCGCTGAATGGGAAGAACATGATGCACAAATCATTTTGGTACAAAACCCTCGACATTTTGAAAGAGCAACCTTGTATACGATGATCTTTCATGCACGAGCTCAGGTTGCAATTCAGCGTATCGCACGATTCAGTCGCTCTGCAGTCCACCTTTCTGACTGTGTTGATTACGCTGAAGTACCTCATCAAGTCCGACATCGACTCATTCATGGCTATTATGGTTGGAGATCCATCCATGATCACCCGCAACCTGCCACACAACTGGTTGACGGTGCTGCCATTGTGATTCATATCAGACCTGAACCTGACTCTCCTAGCCAGCATGAGCAATATCCATTCGACTTTCTTTGGGAAAATGATGATTATGTCCCACAGCACACTCGACGGCATGAACCACGACCCAGAAGTCGGTCACCTCGAAGACATGTGCAAGAAAGCGATGATGAAACCTCATTCATGGCAAGACAACCACGACAGATTCCACTACAAGGAGATGAACCCACGGGAGACAGTGCTGGATCAAGTGATTCTGCTTCTACATATGAAAGTGATGAGCCTTCGAGCTTCTTCAACATCTTTCAGTTGCAAGCGCCCATGTATGCGGCCAGAGTCCGTACTGACAGTTGGCCTCATGCCTACAGCCAAATCCGTCATGTCCTTGGACTTGGCCGACATGATATCCAGTACATCCATGTGGCTCCTTACAGACCCGCTGACCTTTATGCAGCAGACACACTTGTGGCAGTTGTTCAGCGTGTCCATGATCTACAACCTGGTGACCATCGACGCATTGTTCTGATTGACATTGTTTTCCATGAACATGCAGTTGAGGCGACCATGACACACCGATATGCAACTCTTGTACGGAAAGATCTCACCAGACGAATCCTCCTTGAAGAGCTCAAGCTCCAAGAGTATTGCAAACAGGTGAAACATCAATGCATTGTTCAGATCAACGGGAAAACTATTCCTCTGTCTAGCCATCTTTTGTTTGATGTCAATCATGCTGACTACATCCGGATCGACTTGCCTCCGCATCCGAGAAAAACGCTCCCATCTAGAGCCATTGCACGCTGTCTGCGAGATGGCACTCAACTCTCAGTTGCTCAGAGGCAGTTTGACAATGAGGAGACAGACTTTGAATGGGAGACGTTTCAGGCTGACAGAGATGAAGATCAAGACGAAGCAATGTTGCTTCAAGCGCAATGGAACAGGCGCCTAACAGCTGAGCAGGTAGCTCATACTCAGCGGCCTGCTTCCATGCCAACCCAACTATGTCTTGACGAGTTGATCCCAATGCCACCACAAACAAGTGTTGACTTTGCTGCGGTGCAATGGACTGCCATTGAATTGGCCCATTTGCCGCTCGATCTCATTCCTGCGTGGCCTGATGAGATTGACCTGCAGCAAGTCACAATTGAGCACTTAAACAATCTCGGGCAGATCCTTCAGACCAAGCCCAATGCCATCCACCTCTATGTTGATGGATCGAAATCGGGAACCCATGTTGGTGCTGGTATTGCATGTTTCCTTGAGTATGACACTCACTCTGCCCTGGCAGGCTGCATGAGTAAATCCGTGCAACCTGCACAACATGCCTTTATTGGCGAACATGCAGCCATGACCTGGGCACTTTTGTGGGCAATACAGCTGAGTGATTGGATCTATAACACCTTCATGACCAATGACATTGATTTCAGCTTCAACTTTGACGCCATGAACACTGGATATCAGACAGCAGGCACATGGCGCACAGTTGAACATCGAGACTGGAAAAATGTCCTACGCTCACTTGCTCACATTTTGGAGTACCGTCATACTCAATTGAGACTCCATTGGAATCATGTCAAAGCCCACACTCAACACCCGAGAAATGAGCTGGTTGACCAACTTGCCAAATATGCAGCCCGAAACCCCGGATCTGTTGGCAATTGCGATGGTTGGATGCCTTGGATCACTGAAGGACGTTTTCAAACCACCTTGCCCTGGGTTTGGTACTATGAGCATTTGCAACATCAACCTCATGATGCACCAGCCCTTGAGGGTACCTTGATGACCGCGTATTGTACACCTGCAGTTACAGCACGACCTGAAACATGTCCTGAAGTCGTGAACCAGGAGCACAAAGAGACCTCCATTGACATCTCCTTTGACTTCGTGATTGCAACTGCAAACGTCCTTACGCTGGCCACTGAAGATGCCTATGGTAAGATTACTCCAACCAGACAAGAACTCTTGATGGAACAGTTTGCGGAAGCTGGATGTCATGTCATTGGTCTACAAGAAACGAGACACAAACGCATCATCAATCCAAACAATCATCATTTCCACATCATTGGACACCCCTGTGATGCAAGAGGACAAGATGGCATACAAATGTGGTTGACGAAGACCAAGCCCCTCTACCTTGATGGCCCTTGCATCCTGATGAAGAATGTTCGGATTGTACATGCCACTCCCTCGATCTTGATAGTCAAAGTTGACATGAACCATTGGCGATGCCTCTTTGTCACTGGACGGGCTCCGCATGCTGGACGACCTGCTCATGAAGTGATCCAATTCTGGGATCAAATCTCGAAGAAAGTACGTCAATATGTCCATGTGATGCCAATCTTCTTCCTCGGGGACACCAATGGCCATCTTGGAGCCCATCCTACCAGTGCTGTTGGATCGCGTCACCCATCCACTGAGAATGCGCCAGGCACGGCATTTCATGATTGGCTGCTTGAACACCGGCTGTGGCTCCCCAGCACTTTTGATCGATATCACACTGGAGACCGCGATGCGACACATATTTCTCCAGATGGGCAGTCTGAGACTCGCATTGACTACGTGGCTCTCCCGACTGCCATTGAGTACAACCAGATCACAAGCTGGGTTGATGACACCATTGATCTTGGTGGAATCAGAATTGACCACTATGCCACCTTATGCCATTGTCAATTTGACAAGACGATTCCAGCGTCACCGAAACCACGGCAATCTTGGTACAAGAAACCAAGCAGGTATGCCATTGCTGAACAGCTACGAGACCCTGCATCCTCTGAAGCCTTGTATCAGCTTTTGAGCAACCCTGCATGGAACGTTGATCCGCATCTTTCAGCAGACCACTTGGCGCTTTGCACACAACATGCCCTGCATCAAATTACACCCACTACCACGAGATGGCGGCGGAAGTCTCATATTGATGCGGCCACATGGGATATTGTTGAGGCAAAGAAGATGCACTTCCGACAGTTCAAAGCCCTGCGGAAGACAAAGACCAAGACCATTTTGCAAGTGATTCTTCGAGTCTGGAGAACACAAACATTGGGAACCAACGACGAAGCTCTCCATGATCACACAGTTTGGATGAAAATGATTGACCATGCAATTGCCATGACCACTGCCAACATGAAGTTAGCAGCAAAGCAAGCTTCTGCTGCTATCAGACAGGCAGATACGAAATACTACCTCCACCTTGTCGAACAATGTGGGCATGCCTACACACATGAAGGCCTCACCGCAGTGTGGAAGCAGATCAAAGCAGTTCTTCCTCGCAACAAAATGAAGCAAATTCATGCGAAACCAGACATCGATGGAGAGCTTCTACAACATTTTGCTGAGCTTGAAGCTGGAACTGTGACTGACCATGATAGCAGTCTTCAAAGCTGCATCCACCGCAACAACCAGGACCTTGCCACAGGCCCTCGGTGTCGACAGATTGCGCTTGAGGACCTCCCTACCTTGGTTGAGATCGAAGACATCTGTTTACGGCAACGTCCAAATCGTGCCTCAGGCCTTGATGCGATCCCACCGGAAGTGTGTAGATATGCTGCGAAGGCAATTGCCCCGTACCTTCACAACATTATCCTCAAATCCTTCATTTGGGGATTTGAACCCCAGCGGTACAAAGGAGGACAGCTATGCGCTATTTGGAAGCAGAAGCAGTCGAAGCAGGATGCGAGTGCCTATAGGGGCATTTTGCTGGCAGAGGTCTACGGCAAGATCCTGCACTCCTGGGCCAGAAAGCGTCTCCTTCCAACACTGGTGCAACGACGTGCACCGGGTCAAATAGGAGGACTTCCCTCGCAGCAGACAACGGCAGCGATACAGTTGCTGAAGCTCCATGGGCGCCAAGGTAGACACCTTCACTTGACAACTGCAGTCATATTTGTCGACCTCAAGGCGGCATTCCATCACATGTTGCGGGAGTATGTGTTCTCCATCAAAGACCCCCTCCAGCAACAAGAGCTTCTCCGCATCTTCGATGGCAATGAGTTCAACATTGAAAAGCTAGCAGCTGACCTTCAGGCAGCATGTGATGAGAGGCCCACTGACATACCAGATGCCTTGCGGGTTTTCCTCCACGACATTCATCGGTCTACTTGGTTCCAGTTAGACCCAGACAAAGATCAAGTTGTCACAACAGATAGGGGCACGAGACCAGGATCTCCTTTGGCTGATTTGGGATTCAACTTGCTGATGTCGCGCATCATGCACCAGATTGGGGAAGGATTGCAACAGCTCCCTGATTATGAGCGTGGCTGTGCACTTCTTGGCACTCAGGTGCCACCCATTTCGTGGGTTGACGACTTAGCAATCCCATTGGCGACTGAGCATCCTGGCCAAATGATTTCGCTGATCCAAGACACTGTTGCGCTGCTACACACAACTTTCCGGGACTATGGCATGACTATGAACTTTGAGTCAGGCAAATCCGAAGCCGTAGTGATGTATCGTGGCAAAGGCGCAAATGAGTGTAGAACAGCTCTTTTTGATGCTGACTGCATGCCATGCATTGTCACTGCAACGGATACGCATATCCTTTCCCTCAAAGTTGTGGCAACCTACAAGCATCTTGGTGCTCGTTTTACGATGAATACTGATGGTGAACTTGAAATCCAAACTCGGACGGCCATGGCAAGGCAAGCCTACCAGGAGCTCAAGCGAGCCATCTTTCACAATCGGTATATACCTCTCAAAGGAAGGATGCAACTTTATGACAGCCTGATTGTTTCGAGACTGATGTATGCGTGTTCTGTCTGGATGGATGTGTCCAAGTCCCAACTGCAACAACTTGAGGCTCTGATCATCAAGCACCATCGCCAGATGGCGAACATTGGCTTCTGGACTGACATGCACATGACAGACGTTGATCTCCGACACCACCTGGAGATCCCGTCTTTTCGCATCGTTTGGGCTCGACATCGGCTTGTATACCTTCAACATCTTGGACGACATGCAGCACATTTCCACAGGCAACTTCTCCTTGCCGAATTTCAACAAGGGCGAGGATGGTTGTGTGAAGTTACAACAGACCTACGATGGATGGCAACACTGGTAGAGCTCCCCTTCAACATACCTGCTGAGCCACATGAATGGGATGAAGCTTGGAAGATGCTGACACAGTGCAACCACTGGAAAAGCCTCGTCAAACGTGCCTGCAAGAAACATGTTCTTCAGGATCGCATTGCTCGTGACGTTGAACACTATCACGACCTTATCACGGACGAGCTTACAACAGCAGGTTTTCACATTTGGCGAGATGACTCTTCTGCACCAAGTGAAATTCCTACACGATTTCGATGTGGCCAGTGTGACATGGAATTTCCCTCTGCTCATGCTCGAGGCTCCCATGCCTACCAAGTTCATGGTACCACATCCGATGAACGCCCTTTTGTTCAATCGACGATTTGCCCAGGTTGTTTGAAAGACCACCATACCACATGGCGCGTCCAACAACACCTGAAATATCGCCGAAATGGATGTTGGGACCGCATCTATGGAGCTCGTGAACCTGGTGAACCGTGCACCATCAAGTTGCCCAAGCACCTTCAACATGTTCCAAGACTACCTGCAGTACGTCGCCATCACGGACCGCTTCGACCTACAAGTGTCCAGCGCCAGCGGACCCAACTGCGGCAGCGCATTACTGCACTCCGTGCTGCAGGACAAGATGAGTACGCTTGGTGGTATCCTGAACGTGATCCACAACTGGTGCTGAGAGCATGTGATTCGTTCACACAGGGCTTGAAGCAATGGTGCATTTGCAATGAACCTACGCATGTTGAATTCCAAAACATCATGTTCGGAGAGATCTTCAAGCTTGGAATCCCGGACCTCTTGGGCGGGCGCATCTTTGTTCATTGGATTGAAACTCGTTTCTATGAGGAATGGCCGACCGATCTTGATCCTGATCTCATTGAGATTCTTGAGGAAGCCTACATGCAGATGTTGGAAGACATCCCGGCATGGCAGAGACGTTGTGAGATGAAGAAGCTAACAAACCACTGGATACACCTTCCTCATGATGAACCAGATTTTCCACCTCGCCAACCGCCGCAGATGCAGATGCCTCGATGTCGGTTCCATGAGATTGATATGCCTTATGGGCTCATGGGAGAACGTGAGTTGCTCCGCCGACAATGGAAGATTTTGACAGCTCCGCGACCAAGATCACCAGCGGCACAGGGGCCTTACTATATCGTGCATCTGTATTCTGGCAGAAGACGCCCCATGGACTTCCACGAAGCCACCGAGGAGCTCTTACCGCGATTTTCACATCTGGACATTCGCATTCTGTCAGTTGACACTGCGGTTGACCCAATCTTCAACGTGCACGACGAGAAGCTATGGCGCTTCCTTGTTGGGCTTGCCCGTGAGGGGCGCATCCTTGGCCTTCTCCAAGGCCCTCCGTGAGAGACTTGGACGGCAGCGCGACACCAACAGCAAGTTGACTCTGATGGACGCGCTGTACGTGGCCCCAGGCCGCTTCGATCGACAGAGGATCTCTGGGGGTTGGCCATGCTCTCGCTCCGGGAGTTAGACCAAATCTACACTGGGAACATTTTGCTTCTCAAGGGGCTGCTCTTGGCATGTCTGGTGACATTTAGCGGTGGTGCAACATTTCTGGAGCACCCTGCCATGCCGTTCCAGGACGAGATCTCGAGCATTTGGCGCCTTGGGCTCATTTGCATGTTGCAGCGCTGGCCTACTGGCCCCTTCCGGCGAGTGAGTGTAGAGCAGTGGAAATTCGGCAGTTGTGGAGTCAAACCCACCACATTTTTGTACTCTAATGCGAATCTGCCTCGTGCTCTTGCGATGTGTAGTGATCCTCTTGCACAGAGGCCAACGACTCATTTGATTGGCCGCAGTGCCGATGGCACGTATCGTACATCCAAAGCTAAGGAATACCCTGCCCAGCTTAACCGTGCCTTTGCACAGGCCATTTTTGAGTCCATGACAAAATGGACTATGGCGGCCGGCCCTGCTGGTGCTGATTCCTATGGAATAGAATTGGCCCGAGTATCAGCTTGCACGGAGTGCGGTGAGATACTCCCTGACTACCAACCGCAACGGTAGACGTGGCCAGCTGCATGAAGGCACGAGCGTGACTCAAAGGCCGGAGGAAAAAAAATGTCTATATCCCAAAAAAACTGTGTATATATATATATCCCAATATATCTATATCCCATAACCTTGGGGCCGTAACCTTAGGGCCTCATCCCCATCCCTCGAACCCCCCATCCCGCCTTGAGGTCCAAGAATTGGCCGTGGATGTCTCCGCAAACGGTGACCTGGAAGCCCAAATTGGCCGTGGCTGTCCCCCTGATTTTCGTGCTAGTGGTAGCAGCAATAGTAGTAGCTAATAGTACCCTCTGGTAAATTAACATAGACCCTGGCAAATAGGGGTTGGAAGACTAGTTTCCATTAAAAAATGGTGATTTTCAGGGTCTACGTTTATTTACCAGAGGGTATAGTATATGAGTAAAAGTAATCATAATAAGTGTCATGACATTGCGTGATCTTAATGGTACGTATTAGTAATTGGCATCATGTGATAATAGAAAAGTAAGAATGACAATGGCCTAATGGTAATACATAATCGTAATTATGTAATAGCAGTAATATGTACAGTAGTAATGTGTATATAACATGTATTAACACAAAATCATTGAAAACAATAACTAGTAAGTCATCAATCACCATCGTCGACACCATCATTGTCATCATCATCATCATCAACATCTACTGCTGCACTTCTGCTGTTGGGTCCTCAAGTTTGGTCCAAACTGACTGATTCCTGCTATGTGCAAACGATGTACCCCGTTCTTGGTCACATATTCTTCAATGTTTCACGTCCCATCAACCCTACCACTGGCAAAATATGAATTTCACATTAGAATCACACACATTCCTTTGGTTCTTGACTATATCTCCATCTGCCATATCGTCTTATTGAATCAAGCTATTTCACCAACCTGAAAAAAAACAACTTTGTTGTAAGAAAATAACCTTATACAATTCACACCCTTTGATCACAATCATTATGGCTTGAATCCTCAGGATTATTGATCACTATTTAAAAAAATATCCCCAGTTGTCACTGTTGATTCTGATTTCATATCCCATCCCCATACAGTGGATTCACTATTGCTAATTTTATGTTATATACATGTGATTATGTATGTACTATTACTATACTATTACCATACTATTATTATTGATGATGTACGTACTATTATTACTGATTATATATGTATATTTATGTATGTACTATTACTATACTATTGATGTGCTGTTGAATATATCCATTTGCCAAGCGACAGGGCAACGAACTGGTTGGCAGTTCGACTCTTCCTGTAGGATCTCCCGGACTTTCTCCTCGGCGTCAGATTCATCAGATCCGGCAGGAATGGTACCCTGAATACCCTGTGCCAAGTCAAAATTTGAAGTGAAACTAGAAAAGCACGTGTTACTCATGTATATAATATATTTATATTCTAGATATCCCAGGCCTTCCAAAGGCCAGGTTAAACTTGGCCGTTACACTAACAGCCGGCCGTTACCTAAAGACCATCCAAAACCCATGGTATTTATTTATATAAATTTACATAATTGTCATGTTGATCTTGGGAATCTTGGGATATATGTTAACATATACAGTATAAGGGGAAACCCGCCAAACCCCACATACACTCCACAGCCTCAGCAACAACAGCTGCGCATCAACCAATTTCAAGTCTATAAGTGCCAAGACTGCTTGAAATGACCAATGGTTCCAAAGATTTCAATGAAAAGCCCGTGAAAAGACTACAAAATACCCAAACAAATGAGTAAAACTTAGGCGCAAGTTTTTGGTGGCTTTTCACGGGTTTTTCACGGCCTTTTCACGGGTTTTTCACGGTCGTTTCACGGACTTTTCACGGTCCAGATTTTGTGGGAAATTTCAGGTAGGTACTTTCACTAGATCATATTCTGTTTTGTATTTGGTGACATCATGATCCAAGATGCAGACGTTTGTGCAGAGCCCGTGCTCCCAGGCGCATTTTACTTGCATCGAATTGAACCAAATTGCCTTTTTATCCACCTATCTATTGACCATGATTTCCCAACATGACATGTGAGCTTCCTGGACAAAGTATGTATAATGGTTATAAACATAGCTATAAAAAGGAGCATCTTCCAAGAGCCAGGTTCAACCTGGCCGTTAGTAAAGACCGGTTAAACTAGGTCGAGGAAGGGCTGGGTATAGATACTGTAGGTATATGATCCATGGTAAGTAGATAGATGAAACAAGAAGAACATACTATGGTTTATGGATTGTGGTCTGATATTGTTCCAATGATGCATCGGATGTATTCCGAAAGTGATGGTGTACGCCACTGTCAACATCATTCACAGCGAGTTCGCCAAAGCTCTTTCAGAACCACAACTTGTGGTCTTAGATCTATGTTGGATAATTACCCTTTGGCTTATTAACATAGAGATGGAAAAGCCATGGTTTCCCAGGGATATTATCTACAAATGATGGTTTTTCGATATCATTCCAATATTCCATTCCTATTTCAATTTACGGATATCATAAACAGAAATTATATGGGTTTTCCATAAATAAGTGGTTTCAATTTACTGGAGGGTATCATGTTGCTTCCCTAACTTTGACCTATTGAACCCTTCTTGGCAGTAGAATTGGAGCTGCCATAGGGAGACTGCTGGATCCCTCGTCATTTGCCATAGCTATATGGATCATCACCGTTTTTTAATCGGAAAATCATCTATAAATATGGAAAAACATTGTTTTTTAATAGGAAAATCATCCATAAATATCTAGAAATGATCTGCTTTAATAGGAAAAACATTGTTTTTAATAGGAAAATCATCTATAAATATCTATAAATGATCTGTTTTCCATGGCTATATTAAGTTACCAGAGGGTAGCCCATCTCTGCCGATCTTTCACAAGAAATGTCTCTAATTGTGCTGCATTGAGCCCTGGAAGTCATCAGGAATCCGACAGTGTCCTATTTCTGTTCACAACCCACACATTCAATGGCTAATCGGCGAATCTCTTGCTGGAAGCACTAGTTCAATGAGGTAGGCCTTTACAATCAAACCTCAGTAAAAAAAACTGATTTTTTATATACCAATGTCGCAATTATATAGATTTTAAATAATATTATATATAATTTATAATACGTATATATATATATATTTATTTCTATTATTATACAACTGTCCTGTGTACTCTATGCATGTATCATGCACCAATTCCGACACGCCATTGGTGATGAAAACGCGCCTCTGCAAACAAGTCTCGCAAAGCGATCGACAATGTGCTTCTGACAATTCGCCCTTCTCCCTAGTCGCAACAAACAGCATCAGCCATGGTTTGGGGATTGTGCGGTCCAACATTTTGATGATGTCTTATGGTCTTGCCATATTATAACATATATATATAACTAAATATAACTATATATAAAACAAAACTATATATAACTATATATAACTATATATAAAGCTATATATAACTATATATAAAGCTATATATAACTATATATATATAACTATATATAACTATATATAACTATATATAACTATATATAACTATTATAACTATTATAACTATATATGACTATATATATATATATTATATAGTTATATGTGAATGCGGTGCGGGTCAAAACAGGGTTCCAAGAAGTTGGAACCATGATCCACTCACATGGCCAACATCGGGTGTCAGACGTTGGAGCTAGGTCCTGCTTTCTGTTTCCAAGGTTCACTGACAGTCCCGTCACTCAAGTGGTTCTAGAAACTGACTTCAGCATAGAAACTACAAACCCAAATCAAACGCATTCAAAGTGCATATTCATACACATTCTATACAAATATAAAATTTGATGGCAATTGCTGTCGTTTCTTGGGTTCCTGCAAACACAAACCAACAATCTCGCTCGGCACGGCACCCATCTTTTGCCTTACATGCTCGATCTGACCCTCCAGATCTGTATTGACGGCATACTCTTCAGCAGCCGGCATACCCTGCGCAGGCATTTGAATGGCAGTCGATATAGACCGTTTGGGAGATCATGGTAGATCAGGGGAGTTTTTTGTTGTGATTCCAAGTTTCCCAGACGCAACAATCACCTTTTGGATCATGTTCTGGAAATCATTATGTAATCATTATGTAATCATTGATCATTCTTGGTATGTTGTTGTTTGAATCATGTTGGGAGAGTCATTATTAAACCATGCACCAAAAAGATGTTTGAACTTGGGGGCAAAAAAACAATTGGAAAGCCTTCAGAACGGTTGCTACCGAAAGTAAAGACCATGTGGTCAATACCGCAAAGGGCATCCATTCTTTGATTGGATAGTTCGGACCCATACCCAAATGCAGTACCAAGGGGGGATATAGATCCATATAGCAACTAGGATCAAATAAGAACGAATGTACCAAATTCCCAGAAAAAATACGTGGCACTTCCATTGCTCACGTCGAGAGAAACACCACCAAAAACCAACTGATCCATCACAATTCACAGTGGCCTTTGGCAATCTAATTTGGTCATGGGGCTCCCCAATTTTGACGAGGAAACATCACACATCAACAAATTGCCAGAGGGAGCCCGGATTTTTTGTTCTTCGACATTATGTATCCACAACTATAGTGGGTGTGTTTAGAACTTGGGACCTGCGGGAAGCCTGAAATGGACGACTTTGGCGGCGAAACTTTTTTGAAACACAATGTAATATGATTCATATATGAAGCTCAAGCCGTTCCAACACAATCCTGACATGCCTTTCAACTCGTTTAATCGTGTTATGCCTGAGTATATATTCCAATACCACTACCACCGCTTTCAAACTTCCAAACACTGTTGAAGAATGACCGAGGAAGCAAAAGGATTCATAAGCACACTCGTCGCACTCTTTGAACAAACAAGAGAATACACAAAACACAAGATTCACAAGATTAACATTGCTAATGTGGTTAAAACTTAAAACAATAAAAAACCATCCCCCAAATCACCATTTTTCTGGGTGGTTATAAACCATCAAAAAAATGGGGTGGTTTATTCTTGTTTTACCCATAGCTAGGACCGCTAGGATCTTTTGGGAGAGTCTGAACTGCCCATCACTTGCATGTCCAGCTCTTGCCTGCACGATTGGTACGCGGCCCAAGCCCCCTTCCCCCCCGGGTGAAATCTTCAACCGGGACCGTGTTTTTTGATCAGCCCTCGAGCCGTAGACACTGCAGCATGCTGTCCTCAAGTTTTGAACTCAGCAGGTTTCCCCCTCGATCCTAAGAAAAATGAGCAACAAATAAACATTGTTTTGTCAAAAGTTTTTTCTGTGAATAGTAATCTTACTGGTGCTAAACGTAGGGAATGAATGGGAAAGAGGTGATTATGGATCATTCCCGAAAATTCCCTGCTAAGCACCAGTAAGTAATGTTAAGCCAGGATGAATAAACCACTGGGCTGCTTGGGCCGGGGGTCAAACAGGGATATTTTCCCCAGAAAACGATGGACTATCAAGCTTGGAGGTCTCAATTCTTGCCAATCTTTGGACGTCTTTCGGCATCCCCATTTCATTAGCTATTGTATTTCCAGGCATAGCACATATAAAAATACATATCATTAGATACGAAACAATACTATGCTATTTGATCCATACAACATCTTTAAACATCCTAGTTTCATTGATCATTCTATCTTGAGATATGCTACACCTTGAGCAATTTTGTATCAATTTAATGTGGGATCCCGATAGTAGCAATCTCCATTTTCTTAATTAATCCTGTTATACAGTGGCCTTCGTATGTTGATACTTGAGGATGATTTCTGACTCATTTCTGACATTGTGGGGTTTGTCTGAACATATGGCAAGTACCCGCAGGTCCACTGCTTTATGATATCAGCATTGTATCCCCAGTTTTTTTGGTGGTTAAATCATGTTAAATCCACATGGACAGTACCCTCTGGTAAACTAACATAACAAAACATAACTATGGAAAATCACCATTTTTCATGGGAAAACTCACTATAAATGGTGATTTTCCATAGTTATGTTAGTTTACCAGAGGGTATCAGCAATTCCAAATCTTTGCCCCCCAGCAACTTCAACGTCACGAGGTCTCCAGCAGACTCTAAGACTCTGGCGCGATAGACTCCACCCAAGATGCCCAAGGGTTGCATAAGCTGCGCCTGCCCAATCCGCTGAATCCCAGAAGCACCACCGATGAGAATTTCACCAACAAAGATGTGGATATTTATAAAGGGATTCAATGAGGAGTTGATGATATTTGATGATATTTGATGATATTTGATGATATTTGATGATATTTGATTATATTTGATGATATTTGATGATATTGTTGTGTCATGCTTGGGTGTCTCTGAAAATGGGGTATACTTGAAAAAAACATTAGTGGATTTGGGGGTACACTATTTTCAGACAAACCCATATGATGTTGGGTTTCAAACAAACCCATACGAGAATTGTAGGTGTTTACTTGGGGACCGCATCGCAAATTCTTACTCTTGGGGGTAAGCCCCGATTTGTAATCGACGATGGCTTGTGAATCCAGGGTCACATTCATGTTTTATGCAATAATGATCATCCCTTCTTGTACTAGTGCGTGTTTCTATGTGTTCTTTGTTTCAACGATCTTCAGAGAGAGACGGCCATCATGATATGACCCTGGAAGAAATAGTCATCACTTAAATTCAGCTGTTGGTTGCTGCCTCATGAATGCTCTAGGCCTCTAGGAACTGCAAGTTGCAGGAGCATGTGGTAGTGAAATCTGCAAGCATGCATTCTCAACCCCGCAGGCTTACAGGTGTACAACCTCAAGTTGCAAGCGTTGATGTTCTTTTTGTTCGCCAGCAACAATAATCCAAAGCATTTCAAACTCAAAGAAGAAGTGGAGTTCCATTCAACAACTACCCTCCGGTAATCAAACATGCGGGAAAACCACCATTTATAGATGATATTCCCATGAAATCCTCTTTGATATGAGGCTATTCTTGGATTTTCTCTTTAAAAACCTATGCCACCTGCGGGCCGCCCGGTGCCCACCAGAATGCCGTGGATCGCCACGACGTCCCCGACCTGAGGATATCAATTTTCATGCGAGATAAAGCAAAGCTACTCATCAAGCTCTCACCACAAAGATGGTAGGGTTCAGTCCTAAAACTGAAAATTGTCCATCTAAGCACTACCCCTCACATCACCATCTTTAACAGCTCATTCTTCTTAATATTACATCATATTACATCCCATTAAAAGTGCCTAACAATTCTGGCTGAATTAAAGTAATTCACTGACCTGCTAATCGTTGTATAATCGTTGTTATCATACGGCCATTTGGGGAAAACGACGTGAGGTCATTATACAACAATTCATCCAGACTAGTATCCGCAGTAAACTCCACTATATATCACTATATATGGTTTTTTTACATACTCCCAATTATGACATAATTACTACAATATTTGTTGGTTAAATCACAATTTTTGGTCACATCCGGCTGCATTCCCATGAACCGTGTACCCTACCACTGACCGTTGGCCCACCAACGCCAGGGCCGGGTTTCCCCACGGGCAGTTGACCATTCAGCACGCGCAGAGAGGTGAGGGCCAGGATGGAGGTGAAGCTGGTCACCACGATCACCGACTGTCCGAAGTTCAGCCTGGGGAACCATTGGGAACCATGGCAGCATGGCAGATGTTTCGCCTGTAACTCATCGGGGTTTCACCCAAAAATATGGGAGTTAATCTATTAACTATAAGATTCAACCAATCATCATAGTGATTTGAATGGATTTGAGGTATTTTTTTTTTGACGGGCGGGTTTTAATCTCGGGGTTTATCCCACATCCACTGGTTAAACTAGCTAAAATTTGTTGGGATATTCACAGCAATGGGAACAACATGGGAACCAAACAAACAATTTAAATCATATGGGCGAGCCTGAAAAGGCGCTGAAAACACAGTACCAAATTTAGGGCAAATTCAATGGGGAGACTGTAAAATGATAAAACTCGTATATAAACATCAAAACGATAAACATAATAGTAAAGAGAAAACACATAATCCATTATCATTTGGTACGCATTGCTGTTCACATTCTCCATTATTAAAACATAAGCTATCCCATTCTGCAACAATAAGGAGTATCCAATGTAATTTTTGGTTACACCATGATAAGCCTATTGGATTTTGGAATAGGGACGCCTTTTCAACATCGGTTCAGGTGATGATTGAAAACCCCTCATGGAAGAAAATCTGTTCCGACTCATTGAAACCACTGGCCCAATGGCCGTGAATCAAATACATAAAAAAAACATCAATCTACTTTCAATTGATGGTTGTTAAAACAAAAAAAATACGGATAAGTGAGGCCGTCAATCCATATCAATTACTTTCAATTGATTAGCCGTGATGGGTCAAGTCCTTCCAGAGGTGCGGCTGAGACGGCAGAACCTTGACCAGAGCCATGTTTTGTTTCCCATTGCGGTGGGCACTGCTTTGTTTCCAAGGGCAATCAGCGACCACTTGACCTTGGCTATCTTGATACTTTCAAGTCTGGCTGGGTGGCATGCCACTGGATTCAGTGGCTACTGGTATGTTGGTTCTGATCATAACTCTCGCTGCAGTGGTGTCACATTGCTGACTTCCAGCTTTGCGCTATGGGTCCTGTGCATCACAACCTTTGTAGCATCTGGCCGGTCCAATGACCCAGCTTTTTGTGACGAGAAATCTGGAAGGTGCAATCTTGCATCGATACCCTTTCTATGTTCCTTTAGAAACTTTGGTCATGGTGGTGCGCGTGCTTCAGTGATTGCCTGACCGGTCCGGATTCAGTCGTAGCAACTCAGCTTGAGTGGCATTCGACATGCAAGTTGTAAGGGAAATGGCGTGCTGCTAGCTAGACTTCAGCACTTTCAGCATAGGAGTTATTGCCAGTTATTGCTAGCAGTTTGGCAGCTGGTTGGCACCACAGCCACATGAACGAAGCGGAAGAAGACATGGAGGAAAAGTCGTAACACACCCTATTTCTAGATCCATTGTTTCGACCTGACCTGCACGACTTGAGGCTCAGGCTTGGGTCGCACAGCTTTTGTGTTTTTCTCGCCCTGGCCTGCTAATTTGAAACTAGATTTGTCAAACGATTCTTGTCAGCTGTTGAGTCCCCTAAATGGTATTCCTCTGGCAGCATCAGTCTGCCAACAAAATAATTGTCACCAGCTGCGCTTGTCTGGTGCCCAAGTTAATGCCCAGCAGCGGCCTGTGGACTATGCTCGGAAGGTGAGTGAGGGCCAACCAGAGCTTTCGCCCATCTTTGATGTGTACAAAACAGCCCGCTGTTTCACCTCAAGACTGGCCTCGCCGCACTGCTGCCGCCGTGCGCGAGTGCTCCAATCGTCCGCGCTACTTTCAATTGATTATCCTGAACATTTGGTCTGGGAAAAAAACACATACAGTAGGATATCATAGGATCTTGCATTATTTAGAAAAAATGCGCAATAGAAGACAATTCTTCTAATCAAAGCTCAACATTAGGGACATCAATTAATGGACGTCAAAGTACAAAGGCGACCAAGCATGGCTGTGTGTTGACTAGTCCGAAGCGAGTTGCATCTGACTTTTGCTTCGCTGAGCTTCTGGCTTCGCCAAAGAGTGGAGCACCGAAACCTGCTTGACAAACCCAAACTGGCACACTGTTTCAACATGACAATGATAACAACATCCCATGGATGCTTCATGATAACTTTAGATCATGTGTCATTATACACTAGATTTATATAAAACAATTGAAACACTCCTCACTCCTCCTCCTACTCCTCCTCCTCATCATCATCATCATCGTCGTCATCCTCATCATCATCCTCATCATCCTCATCCTCATATTCATCATCATCATCATCATCATCGTCATCATAATCAACATCATCACTGCAAAGTTGAGTGGAGGTTAGAGTCGCACCATATCGTACTATATTATATATATATATGTTATACAACGTTATACATATATACGTATATACATCTATTATATAGATAGATATATATATATATATATATATTGTTTTTTTATGTGATTCCAGTGTCATCTTGAACTGCCTGCTCCGTCTCGTAGCGAGCCAAGGCTTTGTCGTATCGTCGGATCTCGTGAGCCTAGAGGGCTGAATAGACTGTCTATGAAGAACGGCGTCTGGTTTATTATCCCAAAACATTGCACAGTTACATTGATCAACATTTGAGGTTTCAATTTGGTTTGCAGGTACTCCTCCACGTGGGATGATGTTTGTGTAGCCACTACAAGTAGTCTACTGCCGTATTGTGGTTGATATTTGGGGATGGTGAACCCATTGCAATGTGGATCCGTTGCTGTCTGCGTTGCGGCTGACCCCGGATGTTCGGGGGTGTCCCCTTGCTGTGAACCTACCATAACCTACCCATCTCGGCACCTCCGAGGCAAATCAGAACGGACCGTGTGATCAAAAAACTTGGTGCTGGCACGGTACCGCTCTTTTTGAAGCATTGATTTCCAAAACTGTAATTAAAAACAAATCAAAAAAGAATCCTGGCAGTTGGGACAATTGCGGTTCCTATTCTGAAAAAGCTAGTCACTGTTCTGGTTGTGATTCTGGTTGTAATATGTTGTAATTAGATGCCATGCAAAGGGCTCTCTAATCTTCTTCCGCAAAGATTCAGATGTCAATGACACCTCCCAGAGATTCCCACGGCATTCCAGTGAGATCGGCGACGCGGCGACTAGCCTCCCCTTGGAAGTATTTCACGATCTCACAGTTCGCCAAGGAATCGTAGAAGACCTCGAAAATCGAAAAACTATGGTTTTCAAATGCTGTGAAACATGCCCTGATGATGCCAAAACACCTTAAGAAGACATGAGAAGATCACTTTCATCCAATATTTAAATATGGAGTGAAGCGAGCAGGGAGTACCGGTAGTCCTCAATCAAACATGAGGTCATGCAAAACAACAAGGAAAAACATGTTTCACAGGACCTGACCGGTTTGGTGTCATGATCTTCTGAGTGAAATTGACATTCTGACCTACTTGCAACTACTCGTTGGAACATGTTCGATGCTCAACTGCGTCTAACCGATCCACAAGTAGCCAATGATGATTCATCGTTCCATACTGGTAATACTGGTAACTTGAGTATACTTCACATATTTTAATTTCCTTCAGGGAATTTTTATCAATTGCATCAACCATCAGCCAGTCACCACATGGACCACCCTCGGACTTGCTGAGATCCCCCTCGGCACTGGCATCTTCTTCTGCTCGATTGGCCCTGCGCATGATCTCTCGCCTGGCCACAACAAAAAACGCTGGATCTTCGGTGGAGTTTCACCAACCAACATTGGGGATCTACTGTTTTTTCTTTCCCATGCACAATATGCATCTGAATGAGAAAAACAACACAACAACCTCCGGAAACCTGTAAGATGTTGCTTCTAAAAAATCTGGGAAAATGGGGCGACCAACCAGCAGGAATGATGAGATTTATGGTCAAGATGGGCCATATTAAGCAACAAACCTTGCATGATCAGAGATGCATATAGTGCTGCAATGCATAGAGAGAGAGAGAGGGAGAGAGAGACCACGTTTTGCTGCATTATCAAAAAAACGCTGGGCTGTTTGGTTTATCCAGGATGATCGAGTTTCAACCAGAACATCCAAACATCCATGAAAGTGTGTGTCCAAGGTAGCATAAAATGATGACATCACGACCAACCAACAACACGATGTGGGTCAACAATGGAAACCCGAAAACAATATGTTTACAACAAAAATATAGGTTTTGTAAAACCTACATTATATATATATATATAGTTTTTTTTTATGGCTTTTTGAAGCAGTGGTTTCAAGTTGGGCTTCAAGTCTAACCCATTCCCAGTGCGTTTTAAACACCACGCCTGTGATTGGAAAACCAGGTGGTGAAGCCCTGAAGAGACTATGACCAAGATCACCACATGGCGTTAGCTGTGACGCTATGTCCTGACTTGAGATCTACAGTATGTATAAATGTATATAAATGTAATTCTATGTATAATGATCTCGAGAGATAGAGAGAGAGAGAGAGAGATTTGCAAAGTCACTTGTTGAATGATCATTTGGTTTCACACTGTTTCACAGGCAGTCAGAAACCACCTGCTTGTGGTACCCCAGCCATCTTTGTTTTAACACCCCCAAAAAAAAAGCGCTAAGACGGCCGCCACGTAAGCCACCAGGGTGTTCAAGGCTGCAAATGCACATTCCGGTCCTGCTGAGTTGGCAATGATCCAGCAACCTATGATCATTCCTGGTGGTTGAGCCACCCCTCTGAAAAATGATGGAGTGAGTAACAGTTGGGATGATGACATTCCCAATATGATGGGAAAGTCATACAAAATTCATGTTCCAAACCACTAGCCAGATTCTACCATTGTTGATGTTGTTGATATATGCTGTTATGATATATATATATATATAGATATATATATATATATGTATATATATATGTATATTGCTATGATGGTTGGGATATGTCGTTGGGATCATAATACCAACACATCCCAACAGCATGACCTCCTTCGCCCCATGTTCCATGCTGGGATGAGACCTAAACCCGGTCCTGCTAAGGAGGCCATAACCCCAAGTGCCATGGTGCACTCCACAGCGATGGGCATCACGTTGAAGAGCAACATGTTCAACACCTCAAAGTGGGTCACAATGAATGATTCACCAGTTTAACATGATCTTCATCCTAAAGCGGGTTGGAGGTTTTACCAAGGGAAATTGTGATGTTGTCCTCCACCAAAAACTGAAGATGCTTGTGTGGCCGCCCAATTTCATGATGAAAATATGATGATCTGGCGAAAACTGTTGGATGGTCAAAGTCTCACTATCACCACCCGATGAGTGATCTCACTATATGCATATTATACATATAACATACTGAATGTATAGCTGTGTGACTGTGCGTGACTTATGTTCATTCAATCTCATCTGGATTTGTCCAAAAACCGGGTACAGTACCCCAAAATGGAGTAGTTATTTCATTTCATCAAAATTGCCGCTTTGGAGGAAATACTATATTTCTGGACAAGACCAAATTGTCTCTCTTGCTTATGTACATCCCATTACCATCAAGTACCAAATTGATGGCTAGATCTCCTTTTTTGGCGAAATATCCCGATTTATCTCCATACCCCCAAATCCGGTTTAGGTTTAGATATCCATATTTTTTTTCTAGTTCGATTAGTATCCATTACTTTCCTATGAGTTTTGATTACAGTTGGTTATACCACTATAGTTTTGTATATCTATATTAGTTTTATATAACCATATGACCATATATATGATGTTTTCCATTTCTTTCCCACTGGCTTTGTATATCCCATTCTACCACATGTCTATTGGTGAAACCTGCGCTTCCTGTTTAAAAACGTCACCTGCGTCAAGGACTTGGTCGCGCGATTCACCACCACCTCGGTCATGGACAAATGGACAGCATGTTAATGTATGTTAATGTATGTTAATGTATGTTAATGTACGTTAATGTATGTTAATGTATGTTAATGTACGTTAATGTATGTTAATGTATGTTAATGTATGTTAATGTATGTTAATGTATGTTAATGTACGTTAATGTATGTTACTCGGTTCTGGGTATCATTGATACTTGGATACTGGTATCAGGGTATCATTGACATTCGGTTTGGGCTATCATGGATACTCGGTTCTGGGTATCGTTGATACTTGGATACTGGTATCTGGGTATCATTGATACTAGGCTCTGGGTATCGTTGATACTTAGATACTGGTATCTGGGTATCATTGGTACTAGGGTTGGGTATCTGCGATTATGCATGCAATATGTGAAAATTACTCTTGGATGACTCACCCACAAAACATCTCAAGCGCCACAGTTTTTTTTCACCGGCGAAGCTCACATGTATCCTGCATCCCTCAACTTCGGCTCATCCTCTTCAAAGAGCTTGGCGACGAAATGCCAATGTTTCAAAGCCACAGTTTCACTGGTTGTACTCCTCAGGACACAGTCTGCTGGCTCCTCACGAAGAAGATTCAAAGTCATTTGGGTCGTCTGCTTGTTGTTTGGGAGATACCCCATGGGTCCTGCCTCAGCCACCTTGAGGAGATAGTCCTTCACTTCCTGGTCATCCAATTTCTTTTCAATTGGTTCCACCCTCCGGTTGTACCACTGCTCAACCCGCTCGATGACCGCATCCGCACCTTTCTGACCTGCTCTGGAGACGTTTTCCAGTATCAAGTTCAAGTCGCGGAAGTTGCCCCCTGTGCGGATGTAGTAGTGCTTCAACACCTCGTCCATGTCATCTTCGGCAAGAACCTTGTTCAGCATCCGGAAGTCGTTTCCCTGCTTTGCCACCTCCTTGACCACAGATGTGAAGTCTTCGAAAGGCAGCGGTCGCACCACAACCAGCCTTGACATGTTAAACCTTTCGGTGATGATGTCGGCCACAGCAGACACGCTGACCTCCAAAATGAACTTGCACGCGGCATTGTCGTAGGTGACGTTGCGAGCGAAGGCACCGAGGGTGGAAGCAATGTCATCACAGGCATCCCTGCTAAATTTGTTTCCGCGGCTTTTGGTTGTGAGTTGCAGGTATACCACGACGGCACTGCCTGTTCGGCGCTTGCACGTCTCATTCACCCGTTCCAGCAAAAATTTGACATTTGACGGGTAATGTCGGGGCAAATCTACGGCTTGTAACGCTGGGGGTAGCGCCTCGTTCAGCTTCAAGTCCTCACCAGGACGAACAGAAATATCAAGAGGAAGCACCCTTTTGCCATTCTTCACATGCTCACACATGAGACTGTTCAGCATGGTTGATTTCCCAATGCCTTGGGAACCACTGACCACCAAGAAGGAAGGGGTGCTCAAAGCTTCACCTTGAGGTGAATTTATGAAGTCCTTGATGTATTCCTCCTCGAGAGGCCGTGCAGGGGCGGGCTCTTTCCTTTTCAGCCTTTGCCCAGCCTTCCTCACTGCCCTGTTCATGAAGAAGCCAGGAAGGAACCTTTGAATGAGAGCTTGGAGAACCAGCAATACGACGCTCCCTGTGCTCAACAACGTCCAACCAGTTTTAACGGTCTGCGCCGGAAAAGCCCTTGCGGGCTGTGTTCGTGCATGACCGCTTGGAAGGACGAACGGGCCTGGCGCAAGCTCAACCTGCCTCACAAAGATGCATCTGCGGAATGTCGAAGAAAAGGGACAATACATCGGTTCAGTCAATGTGTGCCAAACTGGCTTTGGTATTGAAGGTTGCTTGATATGCAAAACCAAACAGGAACCACAGCGCCTAACCTCAATCAATACATGAATTTGAAGCAAATAATTCGACATCTTTGAACAACAGCTTGGTAGAATTTGAACCTGAACCTACACATAGAAACTCTGACCACCTCAACAATTATCCCCTTCATTCAATCCAAACATTATCACAACAACCTCAACAACACATTTAGCAAGATAATCAAAAAGAAACAGTCAAACATTTAGATTTACAACATTGAACAAAAACATAACAGCCTCCCACCTGACCTCCAACCTGTCTTGTCCTAGCATCCCTGTTTTACCATTTTTTTATGGGATTTATGGATGTTCATCCCCCTAAAAATGGTATTAATAGGTATTGATCCATACCCATATCCCCCGCAGACCGCCCATCTCCGATCCAAAGCTGAGTTCCTGACGTTCAATGCGCCAGGTTTGCTGGATAAAAGGTAGCCCCTTAGAAAAAAAAACACGAGCTTCCCGTCCAAATGCCGTAGAGAACCTCCTTAAATAGTCTGCTTTTGTACTCTAAAACAATGGACCCCAAATCTGTCAGTCTTAAATTTTGACCCAAACATACTCAAAACCAAAGAAATCCTGGATCTGGGATGGAAAGATGGTACTCCCATCCCGCATTCAGATTGGACACCCTCATTTATGGGTCCCAAATATGTGTTTTAATGTACATATGTATATATATATATACACCCCTTCTTAAATCATGATTTCTGGGGAGGTGTTGGAGATGTTATTAGGGGATATTAGGAGGATGAGATTCCCCCCAAAATTGGACAAAACAAGGAGACACAGCCCAGATGCTGCCGAGAAGCGCATCCAGGCTGTGCAAATGCCTGGGGCCATGGCAGGCTGGCCATGGCTTACTGATCTTACTGAAAGCACCAACCAGATTGGGGAGACCCAATTCACAGCTGGAACAGAAAACACAAGTCTAAAACATTCTAAAGACATAGAACCATTACCCTCCAGTAAACAAACATATTTACAAATGGCAGATGTTCCATATCTATTTTTAGTTTACTGGAGGGTGAGCATTCTGTCCGTCAGAAGGATTTATCAATTTGCACACCCTTATAAGCTACAGCTGCAACACTTTTTTTTTGCTTAAGATATGGTTTTCATTGTCACCGACAGGGCTCGGACATTCTTCTAGGATGTGAATTGTTTCATAGATTTGAACATGTTTGGATTAGAGTGAATGTCGTGGCCTTTGATAAAAGCAATCCAACGCTGGATGAGATATTTGGCATTCACCATACGTACCATAAGCCAATATTTGATTGCAGGCGTCATTATACATTATAACCCACCGTTGTATCATGGATGTGTGTGTACTTCCCAAACTCATCCCATGTCCATCACTTCTCACCTGACTTGTTCATTAATGGTTCCCATTTTCCCATTGCACAGCCATCACCCCATTTTTGGATGCTTCCCCAATTTGAACATCGCTATTCGGTTTTGCTGGTTTTAACCCCAGAACAAAAAATGGATTTAGGGCGTGGATTTAACCGGTTTTAGAAGCAGTTGCTCTATACTCACCATTGAGAAATCACTGTTCAAGTTGGAGACCCACAACACACCCCGCCACAACACCCCGCAATAGACCAACAATACCTCCATGATCACCCACAAATAATCCAACAGTAGCCCAAACATATCACCAAATAACACCATTTGTACCCCATGTTGTGGATTAAATCAAGTTAAATCACATTCTTGGTTACGGAAACACAATTATGTCGGTTAAATCCCATTGATTCGTTATAGTTGTTCATGAAAAAAACAATGTTACCCCCTATGATATCCTAATTGTTCTCGGTTTCAATACCGATCTTCATCTGTTAACTCCCATGGTAACACCATAACATCACATGTAAATCGGCTAAAATCCTATCAAATCACCATTTTTATAATATCTTTACTGCCAAAAATCACCAGATTTTTCTGGGTTACCCGTTCAACGGATGCCGAGCTGCTGAAAGCTGCGCCGCGCCAAACTGCGACAGCTGCTCTGTGACACCGTGGCAAAGAGCGCGGAGCGCAGTTCGTTGAAGGCCTGGAATTCTGGCGAGCGGCAGCCGGGGTCCCCAAATGGCCATTTTGAAGGGGAAACACATGGAATTCCTTGTGACTTTACATATTTTACCAGGGTTTGTTTTAGAATTTTCTGGTTCCATGATAAACCATGAGAAACCAAATTAAAATTGTGATAAACCGTCTTGACCCTCCAATTTTGGTGATGTTAGAAAGAAGAATGTGATAAACCATCAGAAACCATGATAGCAAAGTCATGATGGAGGTACCCTAGTTTGATCGATAGCAACTTCAAGAAAATTATATAATGTAAAGCTTCAAAATTTGGGGTACCTGGGATCTACTCGGGATCTACTACCAAATTGGTTCATGGATTTCTCAACGGCTTGTTCATCACCAAGAACCACTAGTAGGGGCTTATTAACCTGATATCAGTGGGAGAGTCACATCATTTTCCCTATTACAGTAAACTAAAATTGCAATTTGGCATGTGCAATCTTCAGACACACCCATGGCCCATGTAAGAACAGGATTCCCTGCTCATGATGATACCAACAGCGGTTTTGTACACCTCCCAACCATTGGTTTCAACATAAACAAAACATAAATAATACATAATAATACAATGTCTTAGAATGTCTTAGATGTGTTGGGTTCCCCCTTTTTCAAAACCACCAGACATATAGTAACTATAGTATCATTATATTTGGTATGTTATGAGTTTATATGAGTTTAATATATCGAGAAACAATGATAAACCGTATACACACGAATGAAGTGCTTATTACGTGTATACATCTTTTACACATATTCAAAACGGGAAAGCGTGGGTGGATAATTTGAGAAAGGGAAGACCTTTGAGGCCAGGCGGAGTTCCACTCCCTTTAATCATCTGTACATATATCATACATATTACACAATGATCTGCGTGTGTCCAAAATTATATATAAATATATAAACATACATGACACCCCAACATGACCATTTTAGCGAGCAAAATTCTGAATCACCAGCAAAATTAGGGATACACTATTCTCAATCAAACCCATCTATTGATTATATCATCAACTATATGATTATATGCTCAAAAACTGTCGAGCCACACTGGTGGACAGCCGCGCCAATCCATAGGCCTTGGCTGGGCTCTGGGTTGAGAACTGATTGAAAACCGTGTTGGCAAATCGATTCAGGGCAAAAAATAAGAAAAACATATCAGGAATGTCGCTCATTACTTTTGAACATCGACTTAACTTTTGTGTTGGTTCAGTGCGATTTTGTCTGTTAGCTCCCATTGAAATGTTTGCGAAACCCTTTACGTGTTGGTGGAAACCGACCCTTTGTTTTCTGGCGAAATATGTGAAATCTCTTTTTTGTTGGCAGCACCTGATTATTTCGCTGGTGAAATATCAATATCATGTGCACCATGGCCAAAATATGGTGCATGTAGTATGTCATCCCGCGTTTATTCAGAATCCTTATGTTGGCCACTATATATATATATATATATATATACATATACAGTATATAATTCGCATTAATTCGCTATTGGCTGGGTGTGACCGATGTGAATGTATCATCCAATTTCCGACCCTGGCACATGCGTCTGCTGGTTTGCCAACGCACTTAAATCAAGAAAAATACCCCTATCACGTCCGATGATGCTGGCAACTGCTTGCAAGAGGGTATCCCGTCAACAAATTAAAGACAAGCACAATAAACCAAATAGGTACTAAACCCGATATCAAACCAATCAACAGAGGTACCCTCTGATGATTGAACTGAACAAACACTGGAACATCACATGTTGTGTTTCCATAGGTAAAGCACACAGGAATGGGCAATCTATACCATAGCAAACTGTTGAATCAAAGGGTATTTCAAAAATCCTGTTGATTGAGGACTGGTGCTGGGGGTTACAGTAATCCTATGTCTTACTATATAACCTCTATCTATTGGTGGGGATTTCCACAATCCACTATATATACATATATATTCATATATATATATATATATGTATATGCAATAGCTAGGATAACCGATATATTAACCAACCACTTGGGATAAAATATCAATCCCTCTCCCCTAAAACAGATTTCCCCCCCCCAGAAACCCATGGTCAAAAAGTCGGGAATTGGAAAACATCTTTGGGATCATAGATGGTGCTGTATAATATGAATGGGGGATGGGTTTTTGTTGGAATTCAACCAACAAAAAACCACCCCATTTTCTGATTCCGTGGATCCGGTTTACATTGTAGGAACATGAAAATATTCATCATTATTGATCCAGTATATGTTATACTATGCAATATATATATATATACCCTCTGGTAATTTAACATAGCTATTGAAAATGACCATAGAAATAGTGGATTTTTCCATTAAAAATGGTGATTTTCCATAGCTATGTTAGTTTACCAGAGGGTATATATATATATAGATCTATCACAGTCAGCCTACAGCACGAATAGTCTCTGAGTCTCCAGGTTTGATCGCCCCAAGGCTGGTTGTTAAGCAGACAACGAGCCATCCCGACCAGCTATAGGTGGTGATCTATTCCCATAGTATACTATATGAAACCCAACTATAGTAATATAATGTAATATATTAATTCCAAACTCTCTATACATATATAATCTACCCCGCCCACATAGAATATGGAATTGAAATTTCGGCTTCCCAGGGCATCCCCATGATTGAACTTGAAACAGGATACTTAGAATACAGTTGACGTCAAAAAACCTATACTTAGAATATCGTTGGGCCATATAAATTCTTTCACTTTCACTTTTCCAGACGAATTCGTCATTTTTCCATAGAAATTCTTCACTTTTCTTTATAAATCCTTCACGTTTCCATTCAAATTCTTCACTTTTCCATATTTTTGCCATACAATTTCTTTCACTTGTTCAGTCAAATTCATCATTTTTCCATATATATATATATATATTACATATATATATATATGTCTTAATAAATCCTTCACATTTCTATACAAATTCTTCACTTTTCCATATTTGTTCCATATAAATTCTTTCATGTTTCCAGACAAATTCATTATTTTTCCATATAAATTGTTCACTTTCCTATAACAATTCTGGACGTTTCCAGCGAAACTAGTTAACCATCTTTTTTTAGGAACACCAACTAATTCCATTAGTTTTCATTGCAAACTAGTTTTTTTTTCATAGTTCTCCGACACCGTTCGTGGGGGGTACCCTTCGGTGAGCTTGAAAAACTCATTTTTTTAATACAATATGAAAAGAAATTGATCATTTCGGGGAACCTGTTTTTTTGTTGAAACGTTCCAGTTTAGGAACTTCAGATATCCAGGATTGCTGCTCCCCAAAGGGAATTACGTATATAATAATCATACATGAAGGGGACCTATTCCTTGCAGAACTACATACATAGAATATAGGTACCCAGTGAAAAATATTCATCATTTTTTTAAGGAACACCACCTAATTCCATTGGTTTTTATTGCAAAATATTTTTTTTTCATAGTTCTACGACGCCGGTCGTGGGGGGTACCCCTCGGTGAGCCTGAAAAATTCATTTTTTCAATACAATATTAAAAGAAATTGATCATTTCGGGGACCTGTTTTTTTGTTGAAACGTTCTATTTTAGGAACTTCAAACATCCAGGGTTGCTACTCCCCAAAGGGAATTACGTATATCCTATACACCCTGTTGTATGGAAGAGACCAAATTCCTTTCAGAACTACATACATAGAATATAGGTCCCCGGTGAAAATATTCATTCATTTTATTGGTTTTCATTGCAAACATACGTTTTTTGTCATAGTTCCCCGACACCGGTCGTGGGGGATACCCTTCGGTGAGCTTGAAAAACTCACTTTTTTAAATACAATATAAAAAGAAATTGATCATTTCGGGGGAGCTGTTTTTTTGTTGAAACGTTCTAGTTTGGGAACTTCAGATATCCAGGATTGCTGCTACCCAAAGGGAATTACGTATATAATAATTATACATGAAGGGGACCCTATTGCTTGCAAAACTACATACATAGAATATAGGTCCCCAGTGAAAAGTATTCATCAATTTTTGAAGGAATGCCACCTAAGTCCATTAGTTTTCATTGCAAACTATTTTTTTTTCATAGTTCTCCGACACCGTTCGTGGGGGGTACCCTTCGGTGAGCTTGAAAAACTCATTTTTTTAATACAATATGAAAAGAAATTGATCATTTCGGGGGACCTGTTTTTTTATTGAAACGTTCCAGTTTAGGAACTTCAGATATCCAGGATTGCTTCTACCCAAAGGGAATTATGTATAAAATAATTATACATGAAGGGGACCCTATTCCTTGCAAAACTACATACATAGAATATAGGTTCCCAGTGAGAATATTCATCATTTTTTGAAGGAATGCCACCTAATTCCATTGGCTTTCATTGCAAAATAGTTTTTTCATAGTTCTCCGACACCGGTCGTGGGGGGTACCCTTCGGTGAGCTTGAAAAACTCATTTTTTTAAATACAATATAAAAAGAAATTGATCATTTCGGGGGAGCTGTTTTTTTGTTGAAACGTTCTAGTTTACGGACTTCAGACATCCAGGATTGCTTCTACCCAAAGGGAATTACGTATTTAATAATAATACATGAAGGGGACCCTATGCCTTGCAGAACTACACACATAGAAAATAGATCCCCAGTGAAAATATTCATCAATTTTTGAAGGAATGCCACCTAAGTCCATTGGTTTTCATTGCAAAATATTTTTTTTCATAGTTCTACGACACCGGTCGTGGGGGGTACCCTTCGATGAGCCTGAAAAACTCATTTTTTTAATACAATATGAAAAGAAATTGATCATTTCGGGGGACCTGTTTTTTTATTGAAACGTTCCAGTTTAGGAACTTCAGATATCCAGGATTGCTTCTACCCAAAGGGAATTATGTATAAAATAATTATACATGAAGGGGACCCTATTCCTTGCAAAACTACATACATAGAATATAGGTTCCCAGTGAAAATATTCATCATTTTTTGAAGGAATGCCACCTAATTCCATTGGCTTTCATTGCAAAATAATTTTTTCATAGTTCTCCGACACCGGTCGTGGGGGGTACCCTTCGGTGAGCTTGAAAAACTCATTTTTTTAAATACAATATAAAAAGAAATTGATCATTTCGGGGGAGCTGTTTTCTTGTTGAAACGTTCTAGTTTGGGAACTTGAGATATCCAGGATTGCTGCTACCCAAAGGGAATTACGTATATAATAATTATACATGAAGGGGACCCTATTGCTTGCAAAACTACATACATAGAATATAGGTCCCCAGTGAAAATATTCATCAATTTTTGAAGGAATGCCACCTAAGTCCATTAGTTTTCAATGCAAACTATTTTTTTTTCATAGTTCTCCGACACCGTTCGTGGGAGGTACCCTTCGGTGAGCTTGAAAAACTCATTTTTTTAAATACAATATGAAAAGAAATTGATCATTTCGGGGGACCTGTTTTTTTGTTGAAACGTTCCAGTTTAGGAACTTCAGACATCCAGGATTGCTGCTCCCCAAAGGGAATTATGTATATGATAATTATATGACCTTTTACATGGAAACGATCAAATTCCTTGCAGAACTACATACATAGAAAATAGGTCCCCAGTGAAAATATTCATCAATTTTTGAAGGAATGCCACCTAAGTCCATTAGTTTTCATTGCAAAAAAAAAAATCTTTCATAGTTCCTCGACACCGGTCAAGGTGGGTACCTTTAGGTGAGCTTGAACAATTTCAAAAAGGATTTTGATGGTGTTTTGGTGGATTTTAGTGGGGTGAAAAAATTGAAACATGACCATTTATGTCCATTTATAATGCAGTATGGGTGATATTTTGATAATTCAAAGCAAAATAGTGGGGTGAAAACTTGAAAAATGTTCTTGTATGCTGCAGTACGGATGATATTTTGATAATTCAAAGGATTTTGGTGGGGTGAAAATTTGAAACATGTCCATATATGTCTATTTATGCTGCAGTATGGGTGATATGTTGATAACTCAAAGGATTTTAGTGGGATGACAATTTGAAAAATGTCCATTTATGTCCATTTATGCTGTAATATGGGTGATATTTTGATAATTCAAACGAAAATTAGTGGGGTGAAAAATTGAAAAATGTCCATATATGTCCATTTGTGTTGCAGTATGGGTGATATGTTGATAATTCAAATGGGGAGAAAACAAATAAGCACGAAATGGGGGCATATTCTAAGTGGAGTTGCGTTCGAGTTCAACTGCATAATCGGAAAAACGCATATTCTATGTGGGCGGGGTACATTATATATATACCAATAAGTTGGTGATATGTCTAATAGTTGATTGAGATATATTGGATGGTATACCAACTATTGATTGTCTATAAAACCAACCTATTGGATGACTTTCAGCAAATAAGTTGCTTTTTTAGTCAAAACCCTGGAACCCTACGAAGCCCAACAGGCCGCTGGTGGGTGTTTTCCCCCACCAAGGCACAGCCAGCAGACCCACAGGCAGCGATTCTGTTCCGCTGCCCAGTGCATCCACCAGGTGACCTAACCTGAGTCGCGCAAGAGGTTTTGATGCTGCGAAAAATGAGAGTTTCAGCAACAAACATGCGGATTTAACATGATTTATATGGATATATATTATATTATATATATTATATATTATATATTATAGTTAGACTAGGGCAATCCCGTCTTTTTACAGACCGCACCCCCTACAATACAATAGATTTTAAAGCGGTCAAAACAAAAAGATGGGATTGCTTTACCTTATAGATAATAACATAATCAACAACAAAATCATAACAAACAAATAAAACGAAAAAAACAAAACAACATAAGCAATACAATAGATTATAAAATAGACTATACCAAAAACAATAACAACAAACCAAAACAAAAGACAATTTCACTTTTATAAAAAGAAATTTAACTATCATTCTTCTTCAAATTCTCCTCATGTTTTAAAGTGTTTGTGTGCCTCTTGTAATTTTGAGTTTGAATTTCATAATCATCACTTCAAATTTATGGGGATAACCAACATAATTTTCATAATCATTTACTATGAAGATTAAGGGATTAATTACCACAGTCTCCCCCTATAGGGGAAGCCTCAGCCCCCAGCCAATATCTTTCTCAACATATTATCTCTTTAAATTACCGCAATTACCATGCCCAAACCGCCCTTCATGAACTTGTTGATAACCATGTCTTCTTAACCTCAGTGCGATGTAAATGGCACAGCGATCCAAACTTTTGGGGCGAAATGGAGTGAAAAAGATTTGTGTGGTGTGCGTCCCAGACTTGTTGGTGCCAGTCTTCTCAAGTTTTTGGAAGGGTTTGTCTTTGTATCAGGCATGAATGCACTGAATGTCAAGCTTGCGAAGGCTCACTGGCATGAATGCTCTATTGAAGCAATGTCCTATTCCTACTTGACACCCTGAAACCTTGCTACCTACAGACCTTGTCAATCAAAACAGCATCAGCCAAGAGCCCTGTTTTGCAAGTCGCCCTCCTGTGGCGAAGCAAGCAGCACTGTTTTGAAAGTCGCCGGGAAGCCCCCCCAAGACGTGAACCATCATCATGCTCGATCTCACCCAATCATGGGATGATATTGCCGCTTTTCTCAGTCTCCTTGCCGAGGTTCTCAGACCTGGGGGTGACGTTGCCGAGGTTCTCGGACCTGTTGCCGAGGTTCTCAGACCTAAAGGCGATGTTGCCGAGGTTCTCGGACCTCCCGATGATGATGTTGCTTTTCTCAGTCTCCTTGCCGAGGTTCTCGGACCTGGGGATGATGAAGCCGCTTTTCTCGACCACCCTGACGCAGGAGAGAATTATGTCGTTGCAGTAGTAAATTATAGGGCTTTTAGACCTGACCTCCCAAAGCCCTTTAATCTCGTTGAGTATCACGCACATGACAGTACCGCTTTCCTCACTGTCGGTGCAGGAGAGAGTTGTGTCCTTGCAGTAGTGAGTTGCGCCGCTTTTAGACCTGACCTCCCAAAGCCCTTTAATCTCGCCGATTATCTCGCACATGAAAACATATCTTTTCACAGTCTCCTTGCTGAGGTTCTCGGACCTGGGGATGATGAAGCCGCTTTTCTCAGTCTCCTTAAGGTCGGTGTTCTGTGCCATGACGTTGTTGCAGCCCACGCACAATGCAAGGATTAGGCAAGCGAATACACCGGATTTGAGCGCCATGGCAATGCCGACACCCCTGAGCTAAAAAGCGTCCCTGAGTGGCTTGAGGAAAAACTCGCAAAAACAGCTACGGAAGAACATAAAGATGCTGAAAAATGACACAAGAATCCAAACTCAAACTGAAAAAGCTAATTTCTGTAGCTTTCCATTTGAGAATGTCAAAGGTGCTCAAATTGAAACAAATTCCAAGGTCAAGCTCTCCAATTGGCTTAAGAACATGTGGCAAATTCACAATTTCAAACCTCCAACTGGCATATTCCCAACAGCTGAGCGCCCCGACAACAGGATAAAGAAGAGATTGATGACGAAACCATGGCGGGGCAGAAGGACAAAGGAACATAGAGTAATCCCAGCCAATGACCCAGTCAAACACAAATTCGTGGGGAGAAACAAATGAAGGGCAAAACAAAACCACGAAACCAAAGGAGCACATCAAATCAACCATATCATGGTTGCATCATGGCTTTCTAAAAACACTAAATCTTTAAAAGTTCATGCCTCATCAACAATCTTGGGTA